TCACCCCACCCCCATCCCCACCCCTGCTGACACAACAAAGTCCCTCTTGGTCAGCACTCAAAGCAGGACCCAGCAGAAGCTGCAGAGGGCAAAGGGGACAGCCCTGGGCAGCACTAGAGGACGGCTCAGACGCCACTTTGCATCAGACTCCACCCATGACTTTGAGCTTCCATGATGCCTCCTGCCTGAAACAGGCAGGACATGTCTCCCTATGAGAAGCTTATCAACCATAGAGAGAGGTCTGGGTGCCCCCTTGACCAGGTGGCCCGACTGACTATCCCCAAGAGCATCCACTTGCCCTGATGTACTGTGGCTGCCAGGCTACCAGGGCCCACTCAGAGGGAGGGGAGTGACCCAAACCCAGGCATCCATACATATTGGCAGAGGCACTCAGATGCCAATAGTGAAACAGATGCCCCTTCAGACTCTCCAGGAGTCAGGGATGAAATACCCTAAGGGCAGGTCTCAGCCCAGTGGGATGAAGGGCTCTGAGATGCTTCTGCAGGATGGCAATGCCCAGCTTCCTGAGTGGACCTCACTGTTTCTGTGATTACAGAGACTGGTCATTCTGTGCCCTCTCCCCCTCCCATCTGCTTTCTGACTTGAAACATACCTGTTTTCAACCCACTCGGGCTCAGAGCTGGTTGCTTCCCTTTCTGGCTGTGTGAGGTCTTCCTCAGAGCCTCCTGACACCCAGAAGGGTGAGCCCCTGCCCAGAACATTCCCCAGCCACAAGCCCCTCTGCCTGTGATATGCACTCACAGGAACAGGGTCCTGTAATCAAGGAAGGGCTGAGGCACTTGACATCAATATCAGCAAGAAGCAGGGGTCTGTCAGGTACAGTGGCTCATGCCTGTAATCCCTTACTTGGGAGGTAGAGGTAAGAGGATCACAAGTTTGAGGCCAGGCTCAGCAATTTAGTGAGACCCTGTCTCAATATGAAATAAAAGGCTTGGAGTAGTAGCTCAGCAATAAAGCACCCCTGGTGCCTTCCTCAGTATCAAAACAAAACAGATTCAGGGCTGCTGCCTGAGGCTTGGACAGGCAGCAGTGACAGCTATGCACCTTTCTGCCCCCCAGTTAAGTTCTTTGCTTCTTCCCATGTGGCATCAGGGCTTATAGGTGCAGGATCCACCTGCAGCAGCATTACTTCCCAGGAAGGCAGATGCAAATGCAGACATTTGTCTGTTTTCTGAGCAGCCCTATCCCTGGACTGGTTCCACAGTCATTGGAGAAAGACCATGGATGTGATGAAGGTCCCCTTACTCTGGGCCACCATAGGGTCAGTGAGTGAGGGATGATGGAGGAACCAGCCAGGCAGAGGCAGTGTCCCCACAGAGAGGCATTCCAAGGCTGTAGAGGGTTATTCTTTCCATGTAGAAACTTGGAAGCAGCTTAAAAATGCCAGATGTCACCCAAGCACACCCTGACTTCAAACACACCTGTTTTCAAATGGTCTTGTCTGATGCTTTAATTTCCATTATTCACAGGTTATCTTTTTAATTAGAAAAAAACATTATAAGGCTGGAGGCTGAGCTCCCCAGTAGAAAGCCCCCACCCACCCCACCCCACTGTGCAGAAGTGGTGGTGTTCCTGCTCAGCGAAAGGTCACCTGGGATTGGTGGGCTTGGGATGGCTTTGAGAGTGGGGTCCTCACTCTCACCCGTGTCCCCACAGGCTGGAGTGGGTGGAGATCATCGAGCCACGTACCCGGGAGCGCATGTATGCCAACCTGGTTACCGGCGAGTGCGTGTGGGACCCTCCGGCCGGAGTACGCATCAAACGCACCAGCGAGGACCAGTGGTGGGAGCTCTTTGACCCCAACACATCGCGCTTCTACTACTACAGTGCCGCCTCGCAGCGCACTGTGTGGCACCGCCCGCAGAACTGCGACATCATCCCGCTGGCCAAGCTGCAGACGCTGAAGCAGAACACAGAGTCCCCTCGTGCCTCGGCTGATAGCAGTCCTGGCCGTGGCAGCCGCGATGGCAGCACTGGCTCCTCACTGGAGCCCGAGCTTGAAGCCACGGAGAGGGCACAGGAACTGCCCACAAGGGCAGGGAGGCCCGCAGCACTGGGGACCCCAAAGGAGGAGAGTGGCAGGTGAGGAGGGTCGGGGCTGGCCGGCGCTGGGTGGTCCCCCTGGGAGGGGGTGGCGTGGGGCCTGAATGTGGCTGCCTGGCCGCAGCTCCTGCCTCCTGGCTCTCCACTTGTGAACGGTAATGAGGGCTTGGGGTTTCTGGCGGGTGAGGGGATGGCTGTGACCCAGCTGATGCACATTCTGGCTCCTTCCTCCCCATTTTGCTCAGGACCTGCTCTTTGTTGACACTGTCCTTAGTCACCTGGATTCCTAGATCCAGGAGCTCATTAGAGAAACAGAACCTGCTAGGCCCAGAAATCCTGGTGAGCTGTCAGGAGGGCCCTCCAGTGGGTATTTTCCTGGCTAATAGAGTCATGACTTTGGTACTTGACTTCTGTTTGTTGGAGGGTTGCCCTTCCTTGGCATAGCCTGGGGACTGATTCTCCTGAATCCCCCAGGAGGGGGCTGCTGCTGTTATTCTCATTGTACAAGTGAAGAAACAGGTAGCTCAGGTGCAGGACCTTACTTGCATTGTCAGGCAGATTGATCTGCAGTGGGAGCCTGTGGTCAGGGTCCCCCAGCTACAGAGGCCACCAGGTGTGTGTCTGCTTGGTCACAGACATTTTTGTTTTATGCCTCATCGGGAGCAGTTTCTTGTGTTGTGCATCCAGCCGCTGGCCTTTTCTTCTTCGGGGCTGACCCTCCGTCAGTCCCTTTCAGGTGTGATGTTCATGTATAGAGTTTGGATTTTGTTTTGCATGTTCCATGCCTCGGCACGATGTGCTGGGTCTGCTTCTCACTCTGAACACAGGGAGCACATGGAACCAGCTCTTGCTGCCCTTCACCGCGGACTCCCCTGTCCTTGTCATTCTGGCTCAGCTTATCCCTGGTTGGTTGTTGTGAGCAGGAACAGGGTCCCTGAGGGTAAACACAGCAGATGAGAGGGTGAGCAGCCCCAGCAGGGCATATGGCATCCTAAGGGAACAGCAGGGTGATGAGACTGCTGTTCTTCATAGACAGAGGTGCTGCCAGACTTGGACCTGGATTGCACATACACGATTTTAATTGAGCATATTTGTCACTTGGCATTTACCAAATCCTGTTAGATTGTTCTCCTGGTGTGTGTCTTTTATCAGGCAGTGCCTTGCAGGTTGGTCACACCTGACTGAAGGTTAGGCAGAAGCTCCTCAACTGCAGTCAAGTAGGTCTTGAAACAGAAGTTTCCGTTATGCTTGCACATGCATCAGAGTCAGAAAGATTCTGCTGGGACTATAGCTTCAGCTTGGAAAACACCTGCTACACATGCGTGTGGGAATGGGTCATGCCTCTGGTAATGTTCACAGGGTGGTATGTGGATAAAGCAGCTCAACGTTGCTTGTGACTGAGACATTAGTTGTCTTTGCAGTGACTGCTGTAGTGTGTTTCACAGGCTGTCACCATTTGCCTTGTGATTTTAGGCTGAATTCATTAAGAAACGTTACCAAGAGTCTGCAACAAAAACTAATCTCCAAAGCCACTCACAGTGTTTAATAGTGATCAAAAGAAGTTTTTCACATTCAGAAAATTTGACTCAACCCTGAGTTTTTAAAAAAAAAAATCATAATAAAATATGTGGCTCCCTGGCTGCTGGGTTGCTGTGTGACAGGATGTTCAGCTGCTGTCTTTGACCAAAATATCCATGGTACTTATGATGGCCAAGTCCAGGGGATTGGCTTATGATGGATTCAAGTGTTTTCTGCAAAGTACCTACGAATGGACAGCAAGTAACCCTAGGCTTATGTTATCACAAGCTTTGTAAGTGGCCAGCCAAGCCTTTGCCTGGGCCACATATGCTCCCAGCACAATAATTTGTGACTCCACTTAATCTCCAGGTGTGCCAAATTAATGTTTTCTCAGGTAATTTTAAGACAGGACCTCCTGAAGTTTCCCAGGCTGGCCTCAAACTTGTGATCAATCCTCCTGCCTCAACCTCCCATTGTCACTGGGACACCACCACACCTGACATCCCCAGCCCTTTTTATCTTTTTATATTTATTTATTTATTTATTTTGGTGCCAGGGATCGAACTCTAGGGCACTCGACCACTGAACCACATCCTCAGCCCTATTTTATATTTTATTCAGAGACAGGGTCTCACTGAGTTGCTTAGCGCCTCACTTTTGCTGAGGCTGGCTTTGAATTTGTGATCCTCCTGCCTCAGCCTCCCAAGCTGCTGGGATTACAGGCGTGCGCCACCACATCTGGCCCTTTTTATTTTTTATTGAAGACAGTGTTTTGCTAACTTGCCCAGGCTGGCCTTGAACTTGCGATCCTGCTGCCTGTGCTGCCTGATTGGTTGGTATCATAGGTGGCATCAAGGGTTCTTTGATTATTTAATTATTAATATATATTAGTTTGATCATATGCCTTATGAATATCTGTCAAGATAAATGCTCACTCTGTCACCTGCTTCTTAGATCTCTATTGAGTGTGCCAAGCTTGGCACTCAGGCACACACAGCCCCATGAGGGTCTTTCTAGCTACGCTTCTTCCTTAGGCCATCCCATCAGTACTGGTTGAAGCTGTGACTCTCACTGACCCATCTCTGGATCCTGAGAGCAGCAGCTCCCATCCCAGTGGTTCAGGTTCCTGAAACACTAGACAAGGCTGGTTTCCTGTCCTGGCATGTGGCCTTTGGATGGGTCACCATGGGCTGACCCTGTGGGAGGAGGCAGGTGCAGGGCAGAAGAAATACCCAACAGCATTATGAGCAGAAGCCAGGCCATGTCCTCCCTAGTCAGCTGAAGGGCACTTAGGTTCACATCTTTTCCATTCTCCTGTGTTTCAGTTCGTCACCACCAGGCGTAATCCTCGAGAAGGACTATGAGGTTTACCGGGATTATAGCACGGATGGCCAGCTGCTTCACTACAGGTAGACCCCTCTACCTCCCCATATCCATCCACTATCCCGAGATGGACTCTTGGGTGGGCTGGCCTGGGGCACCTGGAGCAGAGTCTGACTCAGCAGAAAGCCGGGGCAGTGCCCACCCTATGGTGGCTTTGGAGGCTGCCAAAATGGCTTGGTAGCCCCGTCTGGGAAGACTCTTGTCGCTGCCCAGAACAGATAGCTGTGGGTCCTGGGTGCGGCCTTTGTCCCCCATTGGAAAAGTAAAGTATGAAGGTCCCTGGCATGTGGTTGACGCCTGGGTCACACTGGCTACTCGTGTCAGAGTGCTTTTCAATCCTAGTCCGGAAGATCCCGTTAGTCCTGCAGGGGAGTGGGCCTCGGCTCACTGTGCGGAGCTGGAGGACCCTGAGGGCCAGCCCTCTGCCCACTGGTCTTCCATTGCCTCGTGACTGGTTGGCTGTAGGGTCTCAGGGCCAGGGTCAGTGATGTCCCTGGAGTGACCTGGCAATGGTGCTGCAGAGGGTCGAAGGCCTGAGAGCCTAGGCTCCTCCTCAGACAGTGGTCTCTCTCTCAGATTCGTGTTTGTGGAACATCAAGAAGGGCCTCGAGCTGCCCTGCCCATACTGTGACCCATGACTATGGCATGCTCTGTGCTCCTCAGGCTTCATTCCCCGTCATAAGATGAGTCTAGCACTGTGACCCAGCACATTCCTGGTGGCTGCTCATCCTCACTGTGGTGAGATTGATTTTGGCTCTGGCACAGGCCTAAGCTTCCCCACGACCCCTGCAGCACTTTCCTGGACTGTATGTATGCTCTATATGGCCATGTGCCCACCTGGCCTTTGGCTGAGCATTGTCACAACCCTGCTATCCCTGGGGAGCCATTGTCCTTTAAAAGAGCCTGGCAGCATCCCCATTGTCACAGTAGGCACCTGCAGAGCCTTCAGTGAGGTGGGTCCCAAATAGGACAAAGAAGACCCTCTGGGCCTTTCAGGTATCACAGAGATGGGTAGCTGTTCCAATGTTCTCCCACTTGCCAAACCTCTCTGGCAGCTGAGCCGCCCTCAGCCCTATGGGACCTCCTCTAGCCACATGAGCTGATGAGTCTGGTCTTTGCTCTGGGGCTCCTTGCCCCTAGCCCCTCAGCCCTCTGGTGGCCACTGTTCCTGTGCCTGTTGCTCGTCTTGGCAGCCCCCAGCCTCTCACCCTGCTAATGATGTTGCCTATCAGAGACCCCACTCAGACCCCTGGTGTGGTCCACCTGCTGGCTGGACCATCCAGCACAGGACAAGCAGTTGCATTTGTAAGTAAATAAATAGTGATTGGAGAAGTAGACCATCCCCAGTGTTGACCTCTGGGTGAGGTACATCTGAGACCCACTGGGCTTAGCTGCACAGAGGCAACCAGCATGTCTGCCTAGGTGGGGCCTGCTCCTGAAACTCTTGAGAGTGCTCTGGCCCTCGGCCAGTGTGGTGCTGCAGCCTGGTGTCATCTGTGACCTGCTGGGGGCAGTTCAATGCCAGGCAGCTGAGCCATCTCCTCCTGCCCCTTCTACCATTACTGAGACCTTGGGACAGAGACCTGGCGATATCTGGAAGACGAAGCAGGTCCACGGGAGGGCTGCCAACATGTGTGCCAGCAGATGTTGTATTCTATCAGGGAGGTGGAGGGAGGAGGTCAGACCCCCTGCTGAGACGTTCAGGATCCTTTCTGCTGAGAATCTGTATTCTGTGTATCACCTGAGCATCACCTGAGCAGACCTGGACTGGCACTCACAGATCATAGCCTGCTCAAAAGGGAGATACACATGCCCATGCTGACCCCCCAGTTCACTTGTGCCACATAGCATGGGCAGAGCAAGGCTCCTTGGAGGTGACAGCATCTCCCAGGTGGAGTGTGCCATGAGGAGACCCATCCACTCACCCACCTGCCCAGCACCCCGCACGAGGAGGCCTCAATGCAGACACACTGGAGGCCGGGTGAGCTGCCTGGCTATGCAGTCAGTCCTGTGTGCCCATCTGGCCTTGAAGTCCCAGAGCTGGCACTTCTCTCCCAAGCTGTCCCCGGTGGTGCAGATGGTGTGATGGGAAGTGGGATGGAAGGAATCACAGTCATATGAACACATTATTGAGAGGAAGCCAGGGTGATCCACGCTGAGAGAGGTGAAGCTATGCCGCTGCTGAGCCTGGCGGGAGCATTCTGGTATTCCTGCGGCCTGGGACTGCCTGGGACAGCAGGCCTGACCCCAGCACTGAGGCTCAAGGAGTGCCACATCCTGGCCGCAAGAGTCTTTGTTGGGCCAGGTGTTAGTCTTTGGGATCCCCGTGCTGGGGCCAGCTGTGAGTTTCTTGGGGAGAACAAAAGTTCCAGAGACAGAGCCCTATCAGAGCCAACTCAGGCCTGGGGTGGGGACAGTTTGGGGAGAAAGGAATAGTAGACCTGAGAAAGATCTAGAAGGTAAAGGAATGTGGGGTTCATGTGAGGGAATGAAGATGTGTCCCATGAGAGCCCCCAATGGGATGTGGGGGTGGGCACACTTGGAGCTCAGCCTCCAGAGAGACCTTAGAGCAGCCTGCAGTTGCCTTTGAAGTGATGCACTTACCAGAGAGAGTAGGAAGATCAGAAATAGCACCAGCAACTGAGGAGGCTGAGGCAGGAGGATCCCAAGTTCAAGGCCAGTCTCAGCAATTTAGCGAGACCCTGTCTCAAAAGAAAAAAAAGGGCTGGGCTGTGGCTCAGTGGTATGCCCTTGCCTTGCATGTGGAAGGCCCTGGGTTCAGTCCCCAGTACAGGTGCCTCATATCAGAGGGACAGTACAGGGTCAGCTGGCAGGACTGAGGAGGAGGCACCCCTGAAGCACTAGCGACTCTGTGCGGAGGGGAGGCAAGAAGGGAACTGTCCAGGAGCAGGCTGTGCCACCTCAGAGGTTGTTCAGAGATCAGGGCCCTCGGCAGGTCAAGGGCCGGGCATCCCCCAGGTTGTGAGTGAAACCCCTGGCCACCAGCCCAGGCAAGAGGAGCCAACAGAGGTGGGAGCTGCGGAACGGTTGGCCAGATGGTCACTTTCAGGGATTGTTTCTCCGTATGTCGTGCAAGCACAACTCTGTTTGGACTCAGGCTGCAGTTGCTGGCCTGCCCTTGTCCTGCCAGGCCTCTTGCCTCAGCATGGTAGAGGGAGACATTCCAGCTTTGGTTCTAGTTCTGGGGTTTGGCTTTGTGCAGGACCTCTCCATTCTTCCTTTGAAATAGCCTTTGGGGAAATTGCCCTGCAGGGCCCGGAACAGAATGAGTCCTTTGACCCTGGCTAGCCTCCCTTTTGGCATTTCCAGAGGCGGTGGCTGTGCCAGGGTTTCCTGCTCCCTCACTGTCGAAACCAACCCGCGAGGCAGAGATAGGGGTCTTTCTGCCCCTGTCTGCTCTCTGGTGCCTTCACCTGTCAGAGCTGTCATTGGAACCAGGGAGCTGAGGAGAAGGATGTGCCAGATATGGGGACAGTCTGGGTTTAGGAGGAGGGAATGTGGGGGGAAGGCAGACACACCCGAGAGGAAGCCTGACAGGACTGCAGGCAACAGAGCCATCAGAGCCAGTGGCTCCTGGGACAGAGGCAGCATCACAGTTGTCAGGGCCTGCAAACTACCATGTGAGGCTAGGACTGTGGAGAGCAAAGTGGTGGAGTGGGCTGCAGAGGGGCCCAGCCCTTGTGGTGAGCTTGGAGCTGCCTATACAGCAGATGGGGAACCAGGAAGTGGGCAGGGTGAGAGAGCTCTCAGATCAGAAGGTATGCTGGACACCCATGGGGTGGCCTTCACTTGGCTGCTGCTTCATCTTAGGTGCACTTCCAAGAAAGGCTTCACTCTCTGAGCCATGGTACCTGTGACCAGGCTCCCCCGAAGGCTTTGGCCTCCTCTGAGAACCAAACGAGACTTTGTGCAGGTGCCCAGGACACACGCAGCCTTGGGGGACCACCTGCGGCCACCTCCCTAGTTCTCTCCCACCTCTGCCCTGCCTGGACAGAACCAACTGCAGTGGCTGAAATAGAGGGCATTCCTGACCAGCAGGCTTTTCTGCCTCTCCTGACACTTGCTTCTGCCTCAGCAAACAGGAGCAGAAACTCCAGGAATGGGGGCCTCCTCACCCAGGCCATGAGGAGCATGGCCTGCAGCATGGCTATTCTGAGTGGTCTCACACCTGTCACTCTGGAGTAGTCCCAGCCCCACATCACCTGTCCCAGGGAATGAGGCATCAAGGCCTTGTCCAGATTTGCCTCATATCAGAGGGACAGAACCTAGAGATCAGACTCACAGCTGGGTCACAGAGATGCTCTGGGCTTTTCTTTGCCGACCTCAGACCCACGTTCGCCCACTGACAGCTGGAGAAGCTAACAGAATACACAGAACCACTCTGAAGTCCTCAGAGATGTACTAAGTGGTGAGGTCTGGAGACTGCTCCTTCTCAAGCAGTCCCCAGGGCTGAGAAGCTAAGCAGACCCTTGGAGCTTCCTCTAGTTAACATCCAACGAGTCCCTGCTTTTTCCTTGACTCCTCAAGGGCCTCAGAAAGAGGAGGAGGGTGAGCCATGAGCAGGCTGCCCTCAGCATGAGCCCAGCCCCAGTCAGCTGGGCCCCACCCTCCTCAAGGAGATGCCCTCCTAACACCTGCCAGAAACTAAAGTAAGCCCAGAGCTCAGATTGCCATGATGGCTTTTCATGAACAACAACCAGAATTTCAGTCTAAAATACCAGAGTTGATCAGAAACAGAAACAGATCTACCTTTTGGGATTACCCGAAAGTTACTTTAATAAATATCCAATGTGAAAGATACTAAATGGAAATTTTTTTATCTTTATTTATCTATTCATTTTTTTTTATATGGTGCTGAGGATCGAACCCAGCACCTCGAATATGCTAGGCAAGCGCTCTACCACTGAGCCCCAGCCCCCTAAATGGAAATTTAAAAGATTCAAATGTGTTTTCTAGAGCTGAAAAACAAAAACCAGGAACACAATAGATGGTGCTAAGGTGTAAATGTGTGTCCCCTTGTTGAGATGGGCAAAGTTGCCACTTATGCAGTCGAGAGGGAGAAATAAAGAATGTCCATGCGCTTCTGCCCTTTTCAATGTTTTGTTCACTCAAATCACTCAATACAATTTCACTCTATAGGTTTTTAATCAAGAAAATGATGGTCCTTGATGCTGGGCACTGCAATATTCATAATCACTTAACAACAAATAATTCTAAGTTAACTCTAAGCACTGCAAACACACCTAATCATGACCTAGTTATTACAGACATTCCCTCTGCATGCTAAACTCAAGTGCCAGGTCTAGAGTCTCACGTCTTAGGCTTTTAAGTCCAGCAGATGCAGTCACTCAGACCGCAGTGATCAGATCAGGAACCGATGGAGGCTCCTGGTGTGGAGTTGGTGGCCAGTTGAGGGGAGCGTAATAGGGAGATGTCACCATTCTCACCAGAGCAAAAAGCTATAGAGTTTGAGAGAGGTGAGGAAGATGCAGGGGATCAGGCAAACGATGAGAAGAGTGGGGATGTTAGCCCAGGTCCTCATCAGGCTTTCCGGCATGTGGGCATCAGTGTCAGCTGGCTGAATGTTCATTTGCTCCATCATTTATACTAAATTTTGGGGCTCCTTTCGGTCCCTGTCAGCTGTTACCAAGTTTCTTAGTGACATCTTACATTTTAGAGTCAGGACATACGGTTTGGTGATTTTCCACCCTGATCTTCTTATACCTCTGACTCTTATCAAGGTGAAGGCAAATGATATGTGACTTCACCCTGACTCTTACCAGGGTTGTGGAAAGTGACTTGTCTTTATCAGGCTATGCCTAATTGACATATCGGAGGGATCTGTAGGCTGTGCCTGGTGGGATTGCAGGTCTGTTTTAAAATATAGTTGCTTAGGCTAAGGCCATACTTACAGTCAGGCTAAGGCCACCCTTACACCACCCCCCCGCCCAAATTCCTTTGTTGAATAGCTTGAGGAGATGGGGTCTATGGGCATAAATGAAGGAATTCATACTTGTGACAGAGGAGGGCACTGTCCTTAGGAGGCCCCAGTGGGTCACTGTGGCACCTGCCTATAATCCCAGTACTCAGGAGGCCGAGGCAGGAGAATCAAAAGTCCAAAGCCTGCCTAGGCAATTTATTGAGACTATCCCAAAATAAAAAATGAAAAGGGTCTCGCACACATCCCGCATGAGTGAGGGAAAGGGTTCCCCTCCAGAGGGATGGGCTGACTGAGAAATAAAAGCTAAGAAAACAGTAGTATGAAATAAACACAGGACACAGAAATATAGTTTCAGAGCGGGGGCAGCAACAGGCCAAGCTGAACATAGGGTTACGGCTTCTAGCAGAGATGGAGCCTGCATTTGCTTTATTTATAGCAGTACAGATCAAAGGGGATTGGGAGGAGTCTTGTCTGGTGCTTGCTTCTTCACGAAAAACAAGACGTGGTGCGGGTAGGCAGGCTGTTTGGCTCTTAACCACAGTCGTGACCTTCTCCTGGGTTGTGTGCAACCTTTTGGCAGAGCTGGGTGGGAGTTCACATGTATCAGACCATCTCACCCGCAGGAGCGCCAGTGCAAGTTCCCAGACACCCGACCTTCCCACTCAGTAGCTTCAGTGCTGATGTAGTCCACGCACATTTCACGGATGGCTTCCTGCAAAAAGGACTGTACCTCAGTGGAGGAGTACCCCTGGATTTAATCCCCGATACCATCACCACAACAACAAAAAGTAAAAGGTCAAAGAGAGCTCGAACCTCCCCTGGGTGAGAACACACAGCCAGGCATCACCTGTGAAACAGGGAGGAGTCCTTATCAGATACTGGATCTGTCTGTGCCATGACTGGGTACTTCCAGCTCCAGAACTAAGTAAATATCTTGTTTTTAAACCACTCAGTCCATGGAATTTTGTTATAGCAGTATGAATGGATCAAAACAATGGATTTTAAATTAGATTAAACATAGCTGAGAGGAGAATTAGTAAATTGGAAGACAGATCAGAAGAAAATATCAATTCTGAAGTATAGAGAAGCCCGGGATGGGAAATACAGAACCCAGCATGAAAACCACAGGATGCAGGGTGAAAAGGATTGTAATTGAATTCCCAAACTAGAAGAAATATAATAAACATAATATTTGAAAAGATAATGGTCAGGATTTTACCAAAACTCATAGAAGATGTTGAGCCACAGATTTAAGAAGTGCTACCCCTAAGTATCCTGGGGTAGAGAGTGTGAAGGAGGGACGTGTTCTGCCCCCCATCATCTCTCCCCAGCAGTGTCCTGGGTCTGGCCCCTAGCTACAGCTGGTACCACCATGGATTCAGGACCTGTGCCAACCTTGGGCTCACAGCAGGCAGAGCATGCAAAGACATCAAGTCCACCAGCAGTACAGCACTGGGGCAGAGAGCAAATGAAGCTAAGAGACCAAATGTCCAGCATGAACCCGCTGGGGGAGGGGCCAGGATGTAAGCAGTATAACTCCCAGGAGGCTGTGGGTACCCTTGGCCTAATGCAGGCATTAGTGGGTAGGTGGGGTAAAGGGAGGATTCATAGGAGCCTCTGGTGAGAAATGGGGTCTTGAGTTGCTGGCATAGTGTGCTGGTCTCACCTGGGACACTGGTGAACACCCCTATACCCCCCCACACACACACACACACCAACTGTGTGCTCAGTTGAGTGGTCCCTGGGAAGGCCCCTTTCTTTCTCATGATAGCTGCAAATCTGTGCCTGGTGTTGGGCGGGTGTAGAGCAATATGGGCAGGAGAGCTCCTGGGAAAGAGTGCCACAGGGTTCATAGGGAGCACCGCCTTGATCAGGGAGGATGCTGTGGGACCACCATGCCAAGTAGTGAGATGGGGCTAGCCTTCTCCACTGCTTCCCTGCAGGACCTCCTCACTTCGGTGGAACTCAGGCACCAAGGAGCGCATGCTCATCAAGGTCGCTGACAGGGAGCCCAGCTTCCTCACTCCTCAGGGCAATGGCTACTCTTCAGATGGCCAGCCTGGGAGCCGCCCCCGCAGACCCTCTGGCAGCCAGCATTCGCCCAACCTACAGACATTCACCCAGGACTCGGAAGGCGCTGTCTTCTTCCCTGAGAGGCGACCTTCGCCCTTCCTGAGAAGGGCTGAACTCTCCGGGAGCTGCTCCCCACTGCTCACGCAGCCTCGAAAGTCCTCCAGTGACTCACAGCCCTCTTCCCCACGCTATGGCTATGAGCCCCCTCTCTATGAGGAGCCCCCTATGGAGTATCAGGCCCCCATCTATGATGAGCCCCCCATGGACGTACAGTTCGAGGCTGGTGGCCCCTACCAGGCTGGCTCCCCACAGAGGTCGCCCAGCCGCAAGCCCCGCCCCTTCTTGCCCGGGGCCAAGCAGGCCCCTGCCTCCCCCTGCCAGCAGCTGGTGCGCACTAAACAGAAGTGCCCTGAGCGCTTCCTGAGCCTGGAGTACAGTCCTGCAGGCAAAGAGTATGTAAGGCAGCTGGTGTACGTGGAGCAGGCCGGCTCTAGCCCCAAGCTGCATGCAGGCCCCCGGCACAAATATGCTCCCAACCCTGGTGGTGGCTCCTACTCACTGCAGCCCAGCCCTTGCCTGCTGAGGGACCAACGCCTAGGGATCAGGTCTGGAGACTACAGCACCATGGAGGGACCCGAGCCCCGGCTGAGCCAACCACCCACACCACTGCCCCCAGCCCAGGAGGACACCATGTCTTGGTCCAGCCAGCAGGACACCATGTCTTCCACGGGCTACTCCCCAGGCACACGTAAGAGGAAGAGCAGAAAGCCCTCTCTGTGCCAAACTCCTGGCGCCCCCTCCACGGATGGCCCAGGGGACCTACTGGGTGAGCAGCCTCTGGCTGAGGAGCGCTCTCCATGTGGGCCCAGCCTTGCCCAGATGAAGCGTGCAGAGGCTGAAGTGGACGTAGCACGGGGTATGGCCGAGCCTTTCCTGGCACAGGCGCGGCTGGCCTGGGAGGCACAGCAGGCCCACTTTCACATGAAGCAGAGGGGCAGCTGGGACTCCCAGCAGGATGGCTCTGGCTACGAGAGTGATGGTGCTGTGCCACTACCCATGCCCGGACCTGTGGTACGTGCCTTCAGTGAGGATGAGGCACTGGCGCAGCAGGATAGCAAGCATTGGAAGCGGAATACTTTCGAGAAGCTCGGCTTCCCCCAGATCCTGCTGGAGAAGAGCGTCTCTGTGCAGACCAACTTGGCCTCACCAGAACCTTACCTCCACCCCTCACAGGTGAGGAGTACTTGGTGGGCAGATGGGGACCCTGGGCCCATAAGACCCCCAAGTCCCAGCCTAGAGCCTGGGATCAGCTGCAGGCAGAATGGGGCTGGGTGCACCTGGCATCCACAAGGTGTGTGTGGCACTGAGCGTGTTCAGAGCCTGGCCTCTGAACGTCCAGCACACCACTGGCAGGGAGGGCATCTTCACGGAACACCCCACTCAGGCCACCCACCACCAGGCATAGGGCTTCCTGGACCTTGGCCACCAGGGAGTTTCAAGCCTTGCCTACGGGACACAGCAGCTGAGGGCAACTGGCAGCCAGCTCTGGGACTATTGTACTCCTGGGGAGCTGGGCAGGTGGGGCATCAGCATTCTTTGGTGGCTCTGGAACTATCTCCAAGCACGTCTCCCTCAGGCAGGAAGAGCTGCTAGTGAGGTAGTGACTGGGTGGTTGCCAGACATCACAGCCAGAGCTGGAGCCCAAGCCCAAGCCCAAGCCCAGCCTGCTGTGTCCTCCCCATACAGTGCCAGAGCACACATCAGTCAGTGCCCCACAGAGCCCACAAGTACCTCTGTTCAGCAGCAGGTACCTGAGTGTCCACCTGCAGGTCTTCCCTTCTGGAGATCACCAGGCAATTCAGATTTGATGGCTCTAATGTCCTCATTCCCACTTCTAGCTTCCACCTTTCACACTGGTTGACTAGAGACACAGGCCAAGCCTGAGGGTGACCTGGAATCTGGTTGGTTTGCTTAGTGGGCCCAGGTTCCAAGGAAGTTAAAGTGAAAATCTTAAGGCCTCCTGGACATGTATGGCAGGCCCACCTTTGCCCTGCTGGGGAAGGCCTCTGTGACCTGTGGGTAGCCAGCTTCCCAGGCCCTTCAGGCTAGTGAGCTCAGAGCCACATCCAGCCAGACTTTCCATCCACTGCTCATAAACTGGTAGGATGACAGGGCAGATGGGAGAGGCAACCTTGGGAAACAGTGAGCAGACAGAAAGCTACCTCTAATGGAATGGGCAGGTCAAGAGCAGAGCAGAGGGAGAGACCTGCAGAGGCCAGGCCCACTGGGGTCCTGCAGAGATGGGAGCAGGGCTCGAGAGCCACCCCTGCCTGTCCCTGCCCTCTCTCCCTGGGTACCTGACAGTGCAGCTGTCCTGCTGCCACCCCACCTGGGGTTTTGAAGCTCAGCTTCTTGCTATGTTAGACTGGCCACGCCACACCTGGCTGGCTCACACCTCTTGGGACTGTGATCCAAGTGGGCCCAGCTGCCCACTCCATCCCTACCCCCGATGGCACAGCCCATTTGTCCTTCCCAGTCTGAGGACTTAGGAGCCTGTGCCCAGTTTGAGAGCAGCCGGCAGAACCGTAGCGCGATGCCCAGCTCCAGCTGTGTCTTCCCCACCTTCACGCTGCGCAAGCCCTCCTCAGAGACGGACATCGAGAACTGGGCCTCCAAGCACTTCAACAAGCACACCCAGGGCCTCTTTCGACGGAAGGTGTCCATCGCCAACATGCTGGCCTGGAGCAGTGAGTCCATCAAGAAGCCCATGATTGTGACCAACGACCGGCATGTGAAGAAAGAGGCCTGTGAGATCTTCAAGCTGATCCAGATGTACATGGGCGACCGGCGGGCCAAGGCAGACCCACTGCATGTGGCCCTCGAGATTGCCACTAAAGGCTGGAGCGTGCAGGGCCTCCGGGATGAGCTCTACATCCAGCTGTGCAGGCAGACCACCGAGAACTTCCGCCTCGAGAGCCTGGCCCGTGGCTGGGAGCTCATGGCCATCTGCCTGGCCTTCTTCCCGCCCACACCCAAGTTCCACTCCTACCTAGAGGGATACATCTACCGGCACATGGACCCTGTCAATGACACCAAAGGTAAGACCCAGTGTGCAGGACCCTTGGCACCCCTAGGGTCTGCTGCAACTGAGGTAAGGGCTGTGGAGAGGGCTCCCAGCCATTCTGGGCAACACCCGCCCAGTCCCCTATCCTCACACCCCACCAGACCTGGCACCACATAGGAGTGGTACTTCTAAGAAGATGCATGTCCCCTAGGAGACCCCACACCCAGCTTTCAGTGGTTTGTGGGCATCCTCAGGGAACCCTACCTTGGCTCTGAGAAGAGCCCTAGGCAGCCCTGGCAGATGAGGGCATATGGCCTGCCCTTTGATGCCTGCCCAGTTTGGCTTCTGTCACCCTGCAGTATAAGGGCAGCTGCACCGTGAGGCTTAAGCTGTGTATTCTAGGCAGGGAGGGGCATGGTGGCCACAGTGCATCTGCCACAACTCAATCACAGGCTTCCCACACACAAGTCTGTGGAGATCAGCTGGTCTCCAGGGCACTATGAGCTGAGCTGCCCTGAGGGCCAGAGGTTCAGGCCAGCACAGGTGTCCACTTGCTGATGGCTGCCAGGTGTCAAATAGAAGGCCCCCAGATGGGATGCACTAGGTCTGTCGGGCCCAGGCCGTGGTCTTTCAGCTGGGCAGTCCCCATGTGATAAACTAGTGGCTGGCCCAAGCCCTGGGATGGACAGAGTGGGCATGGGGCAAGGATACAGGCAGTCCCAGCTGTAGCAGGCTGTGTCCCACATGATGCTCGTGAGCATCTGTAGGACACAGCCGTAGCATTGACGGCCAGACACGCATACTTGTGTTCAGGTACACGTACATGTACAGATGCATACCTGCCAGGGCGGACATGTTAGCTCTTCTGGGTTGTCCAGCCTCTGCTGAGGTGGAAACTGTGCTCCCTTCTAGGCCTTGCCCCCAGCTCAGGCATGGGAAAGGCAGCTCTCAGGCTGCCATGGGGCCCTCAGTGTGCATGCAAACTTGAGGGAGGGGGTTCTGGAGAAGGTATGTCAGGCACAGGAACCACCAGCTCCTCAGACACTTGTAAACAGTTTTGGAAAACATGCTATTCCTGCCCATGTGTGCACCTGCAACACACATTGCAGCAGATACAGACTGACCTGGGGCCTGGACTGCACTGGGGCCTCAGGGACCCCATTCCTTGATCTTCTTGGACCTCTCTAGGCACTGGTATAGTCCTGGGGCTTCCTAGGTCACCATCTTGCCTTCTTGAGAAAGGGCCTTGACATGCACCTTGACATGGGAGCTGTAGGAATGTGTCTGCACTGCTCAGGACAGCACTGGGCCCACAGATCCGAGAGCCTGCTGAGTGAAAACCAAATGAGTGGGCAGTAGTTGGCAAACAGTCAGAGGCCTGGGTTCCTTGCTCTGCCTGGGCCAGCTGACCAGCAAGTATGTGGCTGGGCCGTCCCGCCATCCAGGGCTTCCCAGAAGAGTTTGTGCTTTAGGCCCCATGGAGGAGCCCCCAGGATCTCCCACATACAAAGGTACGCATACTTTTCTCTTAGAGTCGCACACCCACAGGGCCCTGTGTTGCACGTCAGAGGGAAGCAGGCTCAGCTTTGAGGCTCCTATGTAAGGCCCACAAGGTCTCAGAGGACCATGTGGGCTACAGGGGGATGGGCTCTGTGTGGTTCTGCTAGCATTCAAACTGCCCTCACAGCCAAAACCCCATCTCTAGTACTGGGGACCCCAACCTAGATTTGCCTGTCCAAGGTTGTACTCCACCCTGAGCCCAGAGAAGAGACTTCTACACACAAGGTGGCCGCCCCTTCTTCAATAGGCCTCATCTTCACTCCAGACAGCGCACAGTCCCTGGGAGATGCCAGTTTCCACATGTAAGAAATATTGGTCAAAAATGTGGTACTGCTGGGGGTGGTAGTGACACCTATAATTCCAGCTACTTAGGTGGCTGAGGCAGGAGAATCACAAGTTCAAAGCCAGACTCAATAACTTACTGAGACCCTGTCTCAAAATAAAATAAAAAAGGTTGGAATTGTAGCTCAGTGTAGTAGTGTGTCCCTGGGTTCTATCGTAGTACTGAGAATAAAAATAAAGAAAGAACATGGGTCCTGGCTGCCTTATCAGCCCAGAAAGATGTAGACCATGCTCTGGAAGACCAACCAGTTGACCACATAGCACCTAGAAGAATGAGACCACAGCAGAGGGACCCATGATGAGGGAAGTGCTCGGCTTGGCTCCTGGACCTGGCACTGGCCCTGGCCCCGGCCCCGGCCCCGAACCACTTGCCTTGGCCTCAGGAAACTTGATCAACTTGTTTATCAGCATTCGTGTGACCTCCACTCTGTGATCACCATCCCAGGACCAAGGTACTATGAGGTAACCCCCATTTAACCTGTGTCAGGCACTAGGAGGTTCTCCTGGTTGTCCTCAGGAGCCCCTCAGTTAGACTAACCCAGATGGGGAGGGTGCTTGGCCCTGGATCAGGAAGCTACAGGAGCCAGGTGTGTGGAACACACCTGTGGTCCCAGCAACCTGGGAAGCTGAGGCAGGAGGAAGGACTAGGCAGGTGGCTCAGTGGTGAAACACCCCTGATTCAATTTCCAGTACCCCGCCCCCCATAAAAAAAAAATAAGAAAAAGAAATTGCGGGAGAAGTCCTGCAAATGCCATGGGAGACTGAAGCCTGGAGGGATTCTAGTGCTGCCGAAGCTTGTGCTCTCGGTGAGACTTCTGGCAAAGCACAACAGGAAGTTAGCAAAAGGGCGGAGATGATGAAGATGGTAGTAGAAACCAACACAAGGGAACACAGAACAGTGGCTGATGAAACAAAAAACTGATTCTTGGGTAAATCTACAGCCAAACTGACAAGGACAAAATGAGAGAAGAAATGAATCACCAAAACCAAGAGTGAGAGGTCCTGCCACTGCAGGCCCTGCAGGTGCTGAAGGGGTAGCAATCAGGTATAGTGAACCTTTTGCTAAGGAATTCAAAATGGACAGATTCCTCAGGTGACCCAGGCTGCCAGAGGTCACTCAAAGAGAAACAGAAAAGTTATATGTCCAGTAAGGAGATTGCATTTGTACCTAAAAATCCAGGCCTAAATGGCTTCACTGGTGAATTCTACCAAACACTTTATTGTTTGTGCAGCAATTCTGTGGAATGTCTCCCAGAAAAATGAAGTGGAGGGCTGGGGTTGTGGCTCAGAGGTACAGCACTCACCTAGCATGTGTGAGGCACTGGGTTCCATCTTCAGCACCACATAAAAAAGATATTGTGTCCACCTATAACTAAAACATAAATATTAAAAAAAAAATGAAGTAGAGAGAATGTTTCCTGATTCACTCATGCTAAAATTAGAGAAGAACATTATAAGAAAGAATCCCTCATGAACAAGGAAACAAAAATTTTAGCAATATTTTATCAGGTTGAGTACAACAGTATATAAAGGAGATAATATATCTTGACCAAGTGAAGTTTATCCTAGGAATCGAGGAACGAAAGATAGGTTTAGCCAGGGGTAGTGGCATACACTGTCATTTCAGTGACTCAGGAGAATCTCACATTCAAGGTCAGTCTCAGCAATTTAGCAAGGCTCTGTCTCAAAATAAAAAATAAAAAGGACTGGGAATATACCTCAGTGGTAGAGCACCTCTGGGTTCAAGGTTCAAGCCCCAGTATGGGGGGAGGGGAGCAATCAATGGAAAATGGAAACCATTTTAACAAAGTAAAAAAGAGTATATCATCTCATAAAATCCAACATTCCATTCTTGATCAAAACTGAACAAACTTAGAAGATAATCTCTTCACCCTGATTAAAGGCATCTATTAAAAACCTACATGGGCCAGGGTGTGTGGCTCAGTGATGGAGTTCTTGCCTAGCATGAGAGAGGCCCTGGCTCACTCCTCAGCAACTCAAAACCAAAAAAACAACTACAGTACCCAAAGGGATTTAAAGAAGGTTTCAGACACACTTGCACATGTTCACAGCAGCACTGTTCACAGCAGCCAGTAGGTGGAAGTGGTCCAGGGTCCACCCACTGAGGAATGGTGAGCACATGTGGCAGAGCCATGCAGAGGACATCATTCACCCAAAGAAGAATGACACTCGATAGGTGCTGCAGCATGAGTGGACTTAAAACACGTCGAAGATAAGAGCCAGACCCACAGTGGCAAACCTGGTATGCTACCACTTACCTATAACTGGAACAGACAAACTGATACAGAAAGCAAGGTCAGGCAGAGTGAGAGGAGAGAGAGATTGCTTAATAGGTATTGAGATTTAGCTTTGGAAGATGAAAGGGTTTTGGAAATTTGGTGACAGTTGCATAGCATTGTGAATGTAGTTAATGCCACTGAATGGTACTTAAAAAATGGTTCAGTGGCCAAACTTATGTTTATATTTTATCACAATTTAAACACACACACACACACACACACACACACCCCTCATACTTACTAGCCAAAGACTGAATGCTTTCCCCTAACAAGAGGAGCAGAGCTCGGACCTTCAGTTATACCCGCTGTGCACAGCATCACACTGGAAGTTGAAGCTGGATCTCAATCATGATAAGAGATAAAAGTCACACACCTTGGAGAGGAGGTATGCAGTGGTTTTTATTCACAGACAGTATGATCTGCAGAATACTACTGGAAGAGTATTCTATATACTGAATTTATTACAAGATACAGGACCAATACATTAAAATTTTATCAATTTGTATATACTAGCAACAAGCTATAGGAAACTGATATTTTAAAAATACCATTTACAGTAGCATTGACAAGTATGATATACTGAGAGAACTCTAACAAAAGATGTGTAAGACCTCTATGCTGAAAAGTACAAAACATTACTGAAAGAAATAAATAAATGGTGAAACATACCATGTTTATGGATCTGAAACTCAGTGTTGTTAAGACGTCATTTCCATCCAAATTGATCTATAGATTCAACCCTAATCAAAATTTAATTTTTGATTTTTTTAATTTTAGAAAGTGACATGCTGAACTGGGGGCAGTGGTACATAACTATCACCCCAGCTGCTTGGGAGGCTGAGGCAGGAGGATTGAAAGTTTGAGCCCAGCTTGAGCAACTTAGCAAGACCCTGTGGGGATGTAGCTCAGTGATAAAGCAACCCTGGATTCAATCTCTGGTGCAACAATAACAACAAAAAGACTGATTCTAAAGTTCATGGGAAATGTAAAGGGCCTAAAATAGCCAAAGCCCCTTTGATGAAGAACAGCCAGCCTATGAGAGCCACACTTGCTGGCTTGGTACAGCTGCAGTGGTCAGGAGAGGGCAGCATTTGTTCTTAGAGCAGAACAGAGGTCCCCAAAGTACACCCATGTGAGAACCGGGCAGTTTCCTCAGGTGCAGGACAACTGACTCAGTGAAGAAAGGGCAGGCTCTCCCTAGTGGTGCTGGGATATCTGCACATCTAAATGCAACCAAGACAGAGTTCAACTATGCTTTATACTGTCTGCAAAAACTAACTCAATGGATCATAAACCAAAATATAAAACCTAAAAGTAAGCTGAGCGTGGTGTCTCACACCCATGACCCCAACAACTCAGGAGGCTGAGACCTGAGAACTGCATGTTTAAAGCCAGCTTTAACAATTTAGTGAGACTCTAACTCAAAATAAAGTAAAAAGGGCCAGGAATGTAGCTCAGTGGCAGAGCGCTTGCTTAGCTTGAGTGAGACCCTGGGTTCAATCCCCAATACTGCAAAAAACGGTTAAAATTTTTTAAATAAATAAAACCTAAAATAAAAAAAACTTCTAACATAGGAGAAAAATCTGTGTTTTCCTGCATTAAGCAAATATAATACCAAAAGCACTATCTATAAAAGAAAAACAATGATAAAATTGGACTTTCTTAAGATTAAATCCACCAGGTGCGATGGCACATACCTGTAGTCTCAATAGCTCAGGAGGTTAAGCCAGGAGGATCATAGGTTCAAGGCCAGCCTCAGCAATTTAGTGAGACCTTGTCTCAAAATTAAAAAAAAAAAAAAAAAAAAAAAAAATATATATATATATATATATATATATATATATGTGTGTGTGTGTGTGTGTGTGTGTGTGTGTGTAGCTCAGTGGTAGAGCACCCCTGGGTCCAATCTTCAGGGGAGGAGGAATCCTCCAAGACACAATTGAGACAATGAGGGGTTGGAAGTATAGCTCAGTGATGGACTGTGTGAGGCTCTGGATGGTGATCCGAGGCATTAGTATGAACTCGGGTTTACCTTAATATAGACACAGATGGATACATCTGTGGATGGATACAAAGATGGATACAAAAATTCTTACAGGTCTGTATACACACAGGATTAGAAGACACACAGATGTCCTTGCTGTCAGTCGAAGGGACCTAGCATCCAGACACCCTCACCTAATACCTAGATGATGGTTTCTAAGTACCAGTTTCCATGAAGAGGAACTGTAGTTCCTTGGGTGACTGATTTTAGGCTGGTGCAGGGAATCTACAAGATGTAGTATTGCTGGTAAAAAAAAAAAAAAAAAACAAAGTTGAGCAGAGCAATAATGGTGGCTGCCAAAGGGACACAGAAAGCAACTGAAAGAGCGGCAGTGGCAAAGCTGGAACCGGCGAGCAGTAAAAGTGTCACGAGGATCATAATTCAAAGTTGAGAGTAAATGTCCGGTCCCTGTGAGAGACTTCCCTCCAGAAAGCACGTCGTGAAAGGGCAAGAGTCTCTTCACAGGGCGGACAACCTGACAGAAGTGGCCTTGGCTGCTGACTGGGATCCCTCGGGACAGCATAAACTGTTGTGCAGCCCCCCTGGGACCACCCCGGCTCCTCCTCCCCTAGCAGCAGCACCCACGTGGTCACGTGCCTGCTTCTGTTGGTTTCTTGGCTGGTGGGCAGGATGGGCTGAGCATCTCCTGCAGCCCAGGAGCCAGGGCAGCCCCAGGCTGGCTGTCAGCAGAAGGCCGAGTGGTTGGGCCACCTCATTGCTGCCCACTCCCTTCCCTCCACTTCCTGCCTACCTCTGGTATGGAGAGAGCCAGTCTTCTGATCCCACAATGCCACAAGGGCCCTGCACCTCATGCATCCCCAGGTGTGCATATGCCTGCACATGGCACCCACCCACAGACACACTTGGTCCCCAGCTAGACGGGGACAGCCCCCAACAGGCCCAGGGGCCTCCTTGCCACCAAGTGCGGGAACCACATGGGCATGGGTTCCTGGCTTGAATCTGTGGTCCTCATGGTTCTGTTTGCTCCCCAGTGACACAGCACATAAGAGAGCTCCTGGAAAGGAACACTAAGAAGAAGTCCAAATTGAGAAAGAAACCCAAGCCTTATGTTGAAGAGCCGGATGGTAGGGCTCCTGCAGGCCCGGGCACTGCCTCTGCACAGCTCTGCTCTCCAGCCTCGGCCGCCTGGCCTTCTCTTCTCTAACCGCTTCTGGGCTCGGGGAGGGACACTAACCTCAGGCTTGGACCTCCTCAGCGTTCTGGAGGCCCAGGGTGGCTGACAAGCTCCTGGAGAGGCCAGGCCAGCCCTGCACCTCCCTTGGTGGTGCCCAGAACAATTCCAAATTTGTTTGCTGGGTTGTTGGTGGGCAGGGGGCATGAGGAATAGCCAGCAAGGCCTGGAGGCTCCCCCAGGTGAGTGAGTGGGCCTGAGCCAGGTAAGGCTCACAGGAAGGAGAACAGGGGCACTCTGTGGCAATGCTTTCCCAGCCCTGTCCTCCAGCCCAGGATCCCCTGGGGCCAGAGAGTAGAGCCTGGTGTCCACAAGTCACCAGGGAATCTCCCCTCTTCCGTGATGAGCCCTAGCACAGTCCCCCAAGCTCTGGAGTCTCCCTGCCCTCTCCCTGGGCCCTGGCTCAGGACCCAGGCTGCCCAGTCTGTCCAGAAATAAGAATAGTTCCTGCTAACATGGCAGGTCAGCCACTTCAGGGCCTCCAAGACCCACCACCCCCACCACAAGTTGTGCAGAACTGCCTTCACCAAGTGTGGCTCACACTTGTCTGTCTGGAACCCTGCCTCCTGCACTTTGCTTCTCTCCCCTTCTGAGAAGCCCTCTCTGACTGCACACTGCTTCAGGGACACATGTGGTCGGGAGCTTTCTGCAGGTGAGGCCTATGTCGAGTGAACCCTAGGGCAAGCAGGAAGCTTCAGGGGCTTGAAGGGGCCCTTGTGGGCAAGGCCAGGATGGCATCTGCAGAGCAGGGGACTTGTCCTCACCCTGAGGCCCCCAGCAGGTTTGTTCCAGGACAGCTACAGTTCAGGGTTAGATTCCAGGCCATGGGCATCCAGCTACTCATCTGGGACAGCAGTGGAAGGATCTCTGAGCTCCTGCCTGAGCCAGCCACTGGTGGCCTGGGAACTGGACAGATGCCAGTTGACCAAGAGAATCTTGTTGCTGCAGGTGGCAGAGCAGGGAGCAGGTGCCACGGGACCAGGGTGCAGATCTGATGAGGACACTGCAACCTGAGCTGTGTCAGGTACAGAGAAGGGAGCCAGCCCACCCTGGCCACAGCTGTGGCCTTTGAGAGCTTATAATCTGGACCCCTGGTATAGCAGCACGGACACTGCTTCTGTCTACTCTCTGTGGGCAGCTGTGTCTCCACCTACCAAATTGGGCTGACCTGCCTCCAGATAGATGGAGGTGCTGGCTGAGGTCCAAGTAGGGCTAGTGGATCAAGCAAGGCCAGATCAGGGGCCTAGAAGCAGAGCATCTTACACAAGTGAGGATCTTCCTAGGCTGGCCGTGGGCACTGCCCACTACATCCTGGGTGCTTCAGAGAGAGTGGAAGTCCCTCCAGGACCTGGTCCATGAACCACAGCTGTGGTGCCTGCAGCTCTCTTCTAAGCACTGGTACCACAACCTCAGCTTAGCCCTTCACAGGCACCTGTGAGTTTGTGCTGCCCCCGTCCTCCCTCCAAGAACAGGGCAGGAGCAGCAGTGCACGCCTGTAATCCCAGCAACTTGGGAGCCTGAGGCAGGAGGATCCCAAGTTCAAAGCCAGCCTCAGCAACTTAGGAAGGCCTTGAGCAAATTAGTGAGACCCTATGTCAAAAAATTAAGGCTGGGGGTGAGGGGTTGGGGATGTGGCTCTGTGGTTAAGTGCCCCCTGGGTTTAATCCCTAACACCAAGAAACTGAGGCTCAGAGATCATCAGCTGAGAGGCAGTGGCCCCAGGACACCATCCTGGTTCAAGCAATCACAGGCTCTAAGGTCTGGGTGTTTGCTTTAGGGACAGGAAGCAGCCCTGCCACTACCCTCAGACCTCTCCTGCTCAGTGAGCAGGTATCCTCACTGCTGGGCTGAAGCAGGGCCTGGAAGCTTCTCCACCTGCTGCTTTCTGCAAAGCTTCCAGGCTCTGAACATTGCGGGGCTAAGGCCTGAGTCCCATCTGCTTAAGCACTGTCTGTTCATTCCCTCAAAATGAGGGGCCCTCGGAATGGCCTGTGGTAGAAGGATCCCGGCACTGGATCAATACCTGCTGGGGCCTGGAGAAGGTTGTCCAGGTTGTCTGTGAGAAACCTTTGTCTTCTTGATTTAAAAAGAATTTTCTTTCACAGACACAAGGAGAGAGCCATTTTAGGATAACTAGAAACAAAATGGTGTTCTCATGAATCAAGACATTTGTGCTAAAATGTTTTCTGAACTGAGTCTAAGGACCCCTGTGTCCGCAGACATCCACAGAAACTACTTCCTTTAAAAGAAGGCAAAGTCTGTGAAGGCCTGGGTCTAGAGGCCTCCCTTACACCCTGGGAGGCAACAGGTGTGGGGAGGGGCAGGGTCCCATGCCCAGAAGCACATGCTTCAGGCTGCCTGCCTGTCCCCGGCTTCAGGCATCTTCTCTCCCTGCCTCCCCACCCCTTTCCTGCTTAGGCCAGGAGGGGTAGCACACATCCTAGGTCCCAAGGGGAAGCCTTACTGTCTCCTTTCCTTTCTCTCACTTGCACTGTCTTGGTCTTTCTGCCTGCCATCTCCTGACCCTACAGGACTCGCAGCTAGAACCTCTGCTTCAGGGAGGCTGAGTTACAGAAGGCCCTTTCCTGGAGGCCTGGTTCCCATTCTCAAAGGGTCCAAAGGTGGTCCTGCCACCGCCCTGCCCTCTCATGGGGTAGAGCATGCTGACACCTGCTCCACATTCCCCCTCACACTGTGGCCTAGGACCAGGGCCTTGCTTCCCTTTACCCTCACTCCTACCCCATCTCCAGGCAGCCTCAGACCCATGAGGGCCCCTGGCTAAAGACCAGGGCTGCAGGAGAGCTCTACCTGCCCTCCGCACACACGGCGTGGTGTCTTATCCAGGCACTCCTTCCCGGGGCCAGGGAGGGTAGGGGAGGTCTGGAGGACTTGGGGCTCAGATTTTGCTCTATCCTGCCTGTGTTTTCATACAGGGAAGCAGCTTGATCCCCAGCCTGGCCTTCCTGTCCTGGGTGGGCTGGCAGAGGGGATCCCCCAGCCTGGCACAGGGACGTGGGGAAAGCCTCTCCACTTGGGGCTCCACTCTAAAGGACATTACCTAAGAGTGGGGGCTGCTGTACTAGTCAAGGGTGGGCGGGAGCATAGCCAAGCCATCTATCCCCCAGGGCCCCCACAGGTCGCTGCTCTCTCTTAGTCCCTGCACATCCACCCCAGGCTGACCAGCACCCATTCTTTTCCAGGGGTGGCGATAAGCACCTACGCCAAGTATTGCTACCACAAGCTGCAGAAGGCGGCCCTGACAGGGGCCAAGAAGGTACAAGCACGCTGGGAGGAGTATCCCAGCCAAAGTGTGGTGGGGAGGTGTGAGGCTCAGGGGAGCACTGAGTGGCAGAGAGGGTGCTGCCAGGGTGCACCTAGGCAGCTGGCTGAAAAGGCTTCAGGGCCCTCCTCCTGTACCATGCCCCCTTTCCCCTCAGGGGGCTCCTCTCCATGCCTGGACCCCCAATTCAGAAGTGGTGCAGGCAAACTGGTGTGTCCTGCACAGGGCCGCATTAAGGGGCCTTTTCGCATGAGTGGGCCAGCTGCCTGGCTGTGCCCAGCCTGCCCTCGTGCATGGGAGGGACCGCAAGGGAACAGCATCCTGGGTGCACCAACCCAAGAAACCAGCTGGTGTGATGAGATACAGGAGTCAGGTACAGCCATGGCAGGCCACGAGACCACCCTCTGGAGGGGTCCCTCCCTCAGCCTGGCAGGCTCAGGCTGCAGTGTGGGCCTGGAAGAGACCCTGCCTTTGCATCCTCTGGGAGCCTAAGCTCCTCCCTGCAAAGCCTCTCTGACGCCAAAGAACATTGAGGCCTCAGTTACAGCACACAGCTGGACTTTGTTTTCTGGCTCTGTCCCTCCTCCCACCCTTGTCCAGGATGTCTCTTGAGCCCCCTGTGCCTGTCCCAGACCCTGGCCCCTTCCCCACTTCCTATTCCTCATATGTGTTTCTCCAGCCATTCTGGCCTATCTCACCAGAGGACTCCCCCTGCCAGTTGGGCTTCCAGAACCATCACAGATCAACAGACCTGGCCCCCCACTGTGGTCCACCCTGATAGCTCAAACTGGCCCATCCACCTTCCTGCATGGCCAGGGGGCCCACTGAAGTTTTGGGTGCTGTAGGTGGCCCAGCAAGAGGCCCCCTTGGTGAATTGATGGCTAGGGTTCTGAGACTGTCCCTGGCTTTGGTTAGGGAAGAGAAGATCCTTGGGGCGGGGGAGGGGGGTTAGCAGGAGAAAGGCTGGGCCAGACCAGGACAGAAGAGCCTGGCTGTCTTCACAGGGGCTAAAGAAGCCCAACGTGGAGGAGATCCGGCACGCCAAGAATGCTGTGTTCAGCCCATCCATGTTTGGCAGTGCACTGCAGGAGGTCATGAGCATGCAGAAGGAACGTTACCCAGACCGGCAGCTGCCCTGGGTACAGACGAGGCTCTCCGAGGAGGTGCTGGCACTCAACGGTGACCAGACGGAGGGCATCTTCAGGTGCCTTGTCAACCCTGGTCCCTGGATGTGGGAGACACAGGCTTGTGTCCACAGTGCATCTCTGGAGGCCCATGAGGCCTGCATCCATGCCCCTGCCTCAGAGTAGATGGAAGGGTGGGCCACCTTGCGGAAGCTGATCCCAAGGGACGTGTGGCCAAGAGAGGAAGGTCAGGGCCCATCCTTAGGAGGCAGGTCTGCTGGTTCATCCTCAGTCTGGCAGCACAATGACCCGCAGAGATTTTTGCCTCTGCAGAAATGGCCACCAGGGGTCCAGAGGGTGCTTGGCCTAAGCTGTGAGCCCCAGAGGGGAGATCAGTTAGGCATCAGAGCATTGCAGCAGCTGGGCTTATCATCCCCACCTGTGAACAGGGATGCATAGCCCCTGTCCTGACTCACCTCTCAAGAGCAGGCTGCCCAAGCCCCAGAAGGAAAAGTCTCCCCAATCTGGGACACAGGTGTGCAAGCTTGAGCCTTAACAGCCTGCAGAGGGTCTAGGAAGGGACAGTCTGGGAGACCCCACACCCCCGAGCCAAGCACAAGGGGCAGAACCCAAAAGAGAGCCATGAGGCTTTGTCACAGCACCCTCCCCTTTGAGAAAAGGCCTTGAGGACTGTTCCAAACTGGCCCTCCAGTCTGAGACCTGCCCTGTGCTCTGCAGGGTGCCTGGAGACATTGATGAGGTAAACGCCCTGAAGCTCCAGGTGGATCAGTGGAAGGTGCCCACAGGCCTGGAGGACCCCCATGTCCCAGGTAAGTCCCTGGACCACTCAACACCAGAGCATGCACTGCCTAGAGGGTCGATGGCCATTCACTCCTCCTGTCACCCCCAGCTTCTTTCCCTGCTGTATCTCATGACCTTCCTTCCGCAGCTCTGGGGCCGGCCCATCACTAGTCGGATATATCCCGCACTGGGGGCTGGGGGGGGGCGGAGGCTGGACTGTGCCGCTCCTCCATCCACAGATACTGAGTCAGATTGGCAGGACCCTAGGTTTTATTCAAAGCCAGCTTTGAAGGAAGATCTAAGAAACTTTTGTTTCAAATTTCCATCTTGGGAAAATTGAACGGCCAGGATACCTTTTATAAGGGGATAGATACAGGGAGATTGATTTAGCCTGTGATGCAGCAGCGCCAGTGGCCGCAGACCTGGGCGGGGAACCTTTTCCAGAAAGCCCTTTCCCTACGCTCCCTGATGCGGTCCGAGCGGGCTGCCAGGCCCATGCGTTCCCAGAGCAGGCCCACCTGAACCGCCCTCGCCCACAGCGTCGCTGCTGAAGCTGTGGTACCGGGAACTGGAGGAGCCCCTGATCCCGCACGAGTTCTACGAGCAGTGCATCGCTCACTATGAGAGTCCCGAGGCCGCCGTGGCCGTGGTGCACGCGCTGCCTCGCATCAATCGCATGGTGCTGTGCTACCTCATCCGCTTCCTTCAGGTACCCGCGCCTTGCCCCGCCCGCGTCCCCGCATCCCCGCGCCCCCTGCCTGCTCCCCGGCCCTGTGCTCCACCCACCGCGCCCCGCGCCCCCGGCCTCTGGTCCGCCCGCCACGCCCTCCGCTCCTCCCCTCCGCAGGTGTTCGTGCAGCCTGCCAACGTAGCCATCACCAAGATGGACGTCAGCAACCTGGCCATGGTGATGGCGCCCAACTGCCTGCGCTGCCAGTCGGATGACCCGCGCGTCATCTTCGAGAACACACGCAAGGAGATGTCCTTCCTGCGCGTACTCATCCAGCACCTGGACACCAGCTTTATGGAGGGCGTGCTATAGCACGCGGGCACCACGGACGGCGGGCTGCGCGGCGCACGCGGGAGCGGGGGCCCCGCCGGGGCAGCATGCCAGGCCCCGCCGGCCCCGAGAAGTGCCTTCTGTTCCCCGGAGCCGAGCGACACTGCCCTCCCGGCTGGCCGCGGCCCACGCCGCGCGGCCTCTCCGCTCCAGAGCCCCGGCTGCCCGCCGCCAGGCCGCGGTTCTCCTGCGCGGGGAGGGCCCCGAACCAAAGTCCTCGCGGCGGGCAGGGCCGGGCAGGCACTCTTGGGGCGGGGGGAGAGTATTTTTTTCGTGGTGTACCTACGAGTCCAGATTCCATCCCGCACCCCGCCCTCTTGTGCATAGAGATATAAATAGAGCGACAGACGTCGGGACTAAATTTGCTAAGGACATAGTTCTAACCAGATGCTATTTATCTCTGAGCCGTCCTCACCGCCCTCGTGCAGAGCACTCGCACCCTCCTTCCTTACCCGCAGCTCCCGACCCAACCCCGCGCCGCGCGGCGGCTGGGCCGGACTCGCCTGCGTTCCCGTTATGGAATCAGTTCCAACTGTTGTCAAACTTAATTTCTCCCGGTTTTTATATATATATTTTTTAGAGTTGAGTTTTTATTTATTATTAAAACAAAACAGCCAGCCCTGCCGAGCCGGCCCCTGAGCGGGCCGCAGACGTGCTCTGACACGTGGACCGAGGAACCGCTTTTCGTGTGAATAAAGTTCGTGTGGACACTCGCGCGCCGCTTCGGGTTCCTTCCGTCGCTGCGGGTCGCGGGGCGAGGCCGGAACCCGAGGCGCGAGGCCACGGCGCCGGCGGACGCCTGTTCGCGTGCACCGTCCCCCGCCTGACCTGCCGGCCGCTTCCGGAGCGGGAGGATGTGGCGGACTTGCGGGGCGCTAAGCGCTTCGGCCCTAGCCTTGGCGCGGTCGCGGGGAGCCCGGGCCTGCAGCGGAGACGGGGGCGTCTCCTACACGCAGGGCCAGAGCCCGGAGCCCCGGACGCGCGAGTATTTCTACTACGTGGATCATCAGGGTCAGGTGTGTGGGGAGCGAGGCAGGGCGCCGGGAAGGGGAAGGGCCTCTGTGGGGGCGGGACGGGAGCTGGAGTCCCGGTGCGTACTGACGAGGAGAGGAGTCCTCGTAGGCCAAGGGAAAGGGGGGAACCTGGAAAGCGCGTGAGCCCCACTCTGCAGAGCCCAGACAATCAGCGGGAAAAACCCGGAGCGCGCGGGCGGCGTGGGCCTGGTGCGCTCTGCCCCGGCCTTCGAGCTCAGCGCCTGCTTCGAGTACGGCCCTGGCGCGCCCGCGCTGCCCTCGCACGTGCGCTGGGAGGGCGGTCGCCTCGCCCTCACCATGGAGCTGGCCCCGCTGCTGCTGGCGACTCCGCCGTCCTGAGCCCGCGGGCGGCTCGGGAGGTCGAGTGCCCGCGTGGGGAGGCTCGGCCTGCTTTGTAATCAAGGAAGAGGGGAAAAGCCACCGAAAGTGCAAGGAAGCATTACTCGGGTTGCGGGTCGATGTCGGAAAGGCAGCAGGCCCGGGGTTTACTTTCAAAGCGCCGCCCTGCACAGGGAACAGCAAGACAGTGAACACACCCACGGGGTCTCATTCACTGGCCTCGGCCTGTCCTCTGCAGCTCTTCCTGGACGATTCCAAAATGAAGAACTTCATCACCTGCTTCAAAGGTACTGCTGCACCCCTTCCTTCGCCCTTCAGGACAGCCGAGGACAGGCCCTGCCCCGGGCCCCGACCCAGGGCTGACTCGCACCAGGTGCCCCGCTGTCGCAGTGAGGCCAGCGCCGGCCTTGGGTGTGGTCCGGGGTGAGGCGCCTGCCGAGGTGAGCAGCCGCACTCTCTGCTCCCCCCAGACCTGCAGTTCCTGGTCACCTTCTTCTCTCGCCTGAAACCCAACCGCAGCGGGCGCTACGAGGCCGCCTTCCCCTTCCTCTCACTGTGCGGCAGAGAGCGCAACTTCCTGCGCTGTGAGGACCGGCCCGTGGTCTTCACGCACCTGCTGGCCACGGGCCGCGGGCCCTCTCGCCTGTCCTACTGCGGCGGGGGCGAGGCCCTGGCAGTGCCCTTCGAGCCGGCGCGCTTGCTGCCCCTGGCGGCCAACGGGCGCCTGTACCACCCGGCGCCAGAGCGCGCGGGCGGCGTGGGCCTGGTGCGCTCTGCCCTGGCCTTCGAGCTCAGCGCCTGCTTCGAGTACGGCCCTGGCGCTCCCGCGCTGCCCTCGCACGTGCGCTGGGAGGGCCGTCGCCTCGCCCTCACCATGGAGCTGGCCCCGCTGCTGCTGGCGACTCCGCGGTCCTGAGCCGCGGACTGTTCCGGAGTTCCCGCGGATCCTGCGCTCCGCCGGCCGAGTGCGCGTGCGCGTGCGTGGAGTGCGCCGGGGCTCCGCCTGCTGGCGCTGTCCGAGGTGCTGCTGCCCGTCCTAGGGCTCGGCGCCGCCCCTTGCTCCGCTCCTCGCTCCCCTTCCGGGCATCCTCTGGATTGGCCCGCGCTCCCGACGTCAGGCCCGGGCGGCGGGCGCAGGAGGCGCGGGGCTCCGGTGCGCGTGCGCGCCCCGCCTCTGCTGGAGCCAGGCCGCCGCAGGCTCGGCGGGGAGCCGCGAGCCGCCGGAGCGTCAGGTGAGGGGGGGCCCCGACCCAAGGTCACCGGGCTTAGGGGCGGGATCGCGGACCTCCCCGGCTCGGACCCCGGCACGCACCTAGAAGGGTGTGCAACCCGGCACCGGGGAGGGCACGCGGATACCACGCCCTCCACGATCGCAGGCCTGCACCTACCTGCGCGAGAGGGCGAAAGGGGACTTCGTGCAGGATCCCAGCGCCGGTCGCAAGGACCACCCGGAGATCCTGGCTCGAGTGTGCCAGAGAGAGGAAACCGGGTGCCCCCAGCCCCCTGCTAAGCCGGATTAGGGTTTGTCCGCTGGTAAAAGGACTTCTGGGCCCTCATCCGGGTCCCTCATCCCTGTCCGGGCCGTCTTTCCACACCAGTTTGTATTTAACGGGTCCTCCAGAGCTGCAGCGCCGAGCCAAGGAAGAAACCAAGGCTTTATTGCTGGAGGCTGGGTGGGTGGGTGAGTCCTGGAGCTGGAGGCCGCCCCTTGGTGCTCAGGGAGACTAATGCCATGGGCCCAAAGAATGCGCCCCCCCCCCCAGTCCCATTTCTTGGGGGCTCACACACATCCTAAGACCCCTGGCAACCGCCTCTGCCTTTTTCATTAAAACTTTATTGCTATGCTTACTCATATGTCCTGATTATAAATAATCGTGTGAGTTACAGTTTAGGGCAGAATTGAAACAAGCACTGAAGCCATTTGGCACCTTTCATCTTGACTCACAGAGACAGGGACACCTAGGTAACAGTATACCCTGGGTTTTGCCTTTCTTGGCTCCAGAGGAGCTGGTTTCTCAGTCACGCCCATACCTATAAAACTGGGTTCTTGTGTTTGGAACTAGACCCCAGCTTTCCCATCCCTGAGGCCACAGATACATGCACATAAACCCCTGCAAACCACATGCTTCTTCCTATTCTCTCTGGCCCACTTAGAAAACCACACCTGAAACCCAGTTGGTGTGGTTGGAGTAGCTCAGTGGTGGAGTATGTGCTTAACATGTGAGACCCTGGGGTCAATCCCCCCCCCCCCACACACACACACACAAAGAAGAAACACAAAAGCTTTATTGGTGACCTAAGGCCCGTCTCTCACACCCAATCTTTCCCAGCACTCCACCTACCCCAAAGACAGGGGTTTTCTTTCCGGAGCCAGCCTAGGGAGCCCCAGCCCATAGTTCCTGAATTAACTTTCCTATTGTTTGCCTCATCCTCAATTCTCTACAAGTTACTTGAGGAAAAGCCCCAGCTCTGTCATCTGGCTCCCCCTCTGCCCAGGTCTCCCTTCAAGTCATGATGTATGAACCACCAGGTGGAGCCAGAGCATACCTGCTTCCAGTGTTAATTCTAGAGTTTGAAGTGAGACAACAGGTCTTGTCCTAGGGGCACCTAAGGAACTCTGCTTTGGATTGAGCCTTAGGTTTGTGCCAGTCCTGAGAGTGAAGACAAGAGTGAAGACATGCCTGCCCAGGGCCCGTTCCCTCCTTCTGGTCTATGCTTGGGTAGGTCCCGGATTTTGCTGCCGAGTAGTCCTGGGTCCCAGCTCAGGAGCCACGGGGCTGAGTCAACAGGGTCAGAGGGAGCTTGAACCAGCTGTGCTGTGCATGAGCAGAGGGCCCTCAGGACAGGCATGGGAAGGGGTCTGAGAATGGGTTGCCCTCCCCACATGGCCACATCCTGGGGAAACAGGACACCAAGAATTCTCAACTTGAACCTCCTGCCCTCAGTCTTGGTGTTTTTGTCAAGGAAGGAAACTAGAAAATTTTATTCATCAGTTTCTTTATTGGGAGTGGGGGTTGCAGACAGGGTAGCCCAGGGCCTCGTGTATGCTAGGCAGGTGTTCTGCCACTGACTTACAATCCCCAGCACACGAACTGACTTAAAACTGTGAAAGTTAGACACAGGTTGTGTGGGCCTCCACTCGTGCTCTTGGGCTGGCTCTATAATGTTAGCAGTGGCCTGCCAACCTGTGTTTCAGGAGGTGCATCCATCGCATCTGGGGCCAACCCTGGGGAGGCTCGCAGTCCCAGGCCTTTCTCTAGGGAAATGGCCCCGGGGGCTCCTGTGCTGCTGCTGCTGCTGCTGCTGCTGGGGCTGCTGCTGCTGCCGCCACTGCCAGGGCTCCCGCCTCGCGCCGCCGGCTGCCCCGCCGCCTGCCGCTGCTACAGCGCCACGGTTGAGTGCGGTGCCCTGCGGCTGCGCGTCGTCCCACTGGGAATCCCCCCAGGGACGCAGGTGGGCACCATGTGGGGCCACCGGGCCTCGGGTTGGAGCAGGCTGCGAGTGCCCATGGGATGGAGGGAGCCTTGTGTGAGCATCCGGGTGGGGTCGGTGGGGCGCCCCAATGGAGCGAGAGACTCCTGCAGTGGGGTAAGATTCGCCCTCCCCCGGCCCGCAGACGCTGTTCCTGCAGGACAACAACATCGCGCGTCTGGAGCCAGGCGCCCTGGCGCCACTCGCCGCCCTTCGCCATCTCTACCTGCACAACAACAGTCTGCGTGCTCTGGAGTCTGGCGCTTTCCGCTCGCAACCGCGCCTGCTGGAGCTGGCCCTCACAGGCAACAGGCTACGTGGCTTGCGGGGAGGGGCTTTTGCGGGCCTAGCCCAGCTGCGTGTACTCTACCTGGCTGGCAACCAGCTGGCGCGGCTGCTGGATTTCACCTTCTTGCACCTGCCGGTGAGAGGCCAAAAGCGCGGGATCTTCTTGTCCTGCCAGTCATCCAGCGCGCTGTAGTAGTTGTTAGGGGAGAAAAGTCAACCTAGTCTAGCTCCCCTGGGCCCTTTTTCCTGATGATCTGCTGTCCCTACTCCAGCGACTGCAGGAGCTGCACCTGCAAGAAAACAGCATTGAGCTGCTGGAGGACCAGGCCCTGGCAGGGCTCTCCTCCCTGGCCCTGCTTGACCTCAGCAGGAATCAACTGGGCACCATCAGCCGTGAGGCCCTGCAGCCCTTGGCCAGCCTGCAAGTCCTGCGCCTCACAGGTAACTCCTCAGGCAGGGGTCCCTAACTGGGCTCAGTGGCATCAGTAGGGAGCAGGCCCAGGTGTGGAGGGGGTCCCTATGATAAACCATTGGGTAGCATTTTGGAGGGCCACACCACCACCCTGCAGTTCTGGTAAAGGGCAGCTGGGAACTGAAGTTCTGATAGATACATAACTTAGGCACCTGCCTAAGACAGAAAAGGTAGGCGATCCAGAATGACTTAACAGAACTGAGGTTCTTTCACATTTTGAGGCCAGGAAAGGGCAGGCAGGCGAAAGAGCTGACCAGGATTGGGGGTGTTTCCAGGAGAGGGCATCTGTTTTAGAGTTTCAGTGTTGCTGGAATACCTGTGTGGGCATCACTGAACTAAAGTGGGGTGAAAGACCTTCCTCATTCCCAGCAACCGGGGTTCAGAGAAGAAACTCCACCGAGGTGGCTATAGGAGGTGGGGTGTGGGCTTCTGCCGGGCCCAGCAGAACCTCAACTGTATTCTTGATCTGCCTACAGAGAACCCATGGCGCTGTGATTGCGCCCTCCACTGGTTGGGCGCTTGGATCAAGGAGGGGGGTCAGCGACTGTTCAGCACCAGAGACAAGAAGATCACGTGTGCAGAGCCACCGCGTCTGGCACTGCAGAGTCTGCTGGAGGTGTCGGGCAGTAGCCTCATCTGCATTCCTCCCTCTGTGCACGTGGAGCCGCTGGAACTCACAGCCAACCTAGGGGAGGACCTGCGGGTGGCCTGCCAAGCCTCTGGCTACCCGCAGCCCCTGGTGACCTGGAGGAAGGTGCCTCAGCCTCGTGAGGACCGTCCGCAGGCGCAGGCCCAGCTGGAAGGCGGAGCGCCAGGCCTGGGTGGCCAGGCCGCCCCGGACACCGGCAGCGGGATGCTCTTCCTCACCAACATCACCCTGGCGCACGCGGGAAAGTACGAGTGCGAGGCCGCCAACGCCGGAGGCGCCGCGAGCGTGCCCTTCCGCCTCCTGGTTAACGCGTCCCGGCAGCCGCCACCGGCCCCGCCGCCACGCCCCCCAGGCCGCGCCCCGAGGCACGAGGCGGGGAGTATGGCGTTTCGAGCGCTAGGCCTGGCCACGCAGACAGCCATCGCGGCGGCCATCGCGCTACTGGCGCTCACGGCGCTGCTGCTGGCCGCCATGATCTGCCGGCGGCGGCGGCGGAGGAAAAAGGCGGGCGCGCAGCCAGGAGAGGGCGCGCTGTTCGTCAACGACTACTCGGACGGGCCCTGCACCTTCGCGCAGCTGGAAGAGCTGCGCGACGAGCGCGGCCACGAGATGTTCGTCATCGACCGCTCTAAGCCCCTATTCGCCGAGGGGCCGCCAGAAGCGCCTACCGAGGGCAGACCGCCAGAAGGGCCGCCCCCCTCACTCCACCTCCCACGGCGCGTCGCTTACGAAATCCACTGCTGAGCCGGCGGCGCGCGCCGATGACGCGGGCGCCGTTCATTGGCCCGCGTGGCGCAGCGCATGCTCATCAGTAAAGGTGGAAGCTGCGTTGGAGCACCAAGCTGTGGGGCGCCTGCAGACAGAGCCGCGAGGGGCCGTGACCTGGAAGGTCCACGATGCCCGGGGAGAGCCCTGGCCTGCAGTGCTGGTGGGGTTACGCGGCCAGAGGGAGGGGCAGCAGGCCAGATGCTAGTTGATTCCCAGTAGCCATGCTGGGGATATAACAGAGGTGGGGAAGTCACACTGGCCAGTTGGAATAGAATAAACAGGCAAAGATTCAAACTCCAGACACGCTGCACGTTTGTACCTTGACACCACCCTCCAGCCCCATAGCCAGCTGGCGGGGTGGCTCTAGCGCCAGGGCAGGGAACACGGTACAGGCAAAAGGCTGCATCAGGACCTAGGCCTCGCCCCACCTTCAGCCCCACAGTGCTGCGCTCTTGGTAAGGAGATGTGAAGGGCCCGGAAGTGTCCCTTGGATAACAGCTGGGATCCCAGGTACATCCACAGAGAGCCAAGTGCAGCTATACTGAGCAGGGTAGTGCAGGCCTGAAATCCAGCATGGGGCCCACAGTCAGCCAGCCATTAGGGAGCAGGTGCAGGGCACTGCAGAAAGCATGGGATGCTTAAGGTGTGCCCAGGAGCAAGACAGACTCTGCAGGAAACCTGAGACCAGTCTTTGTTGTCAGGCCTCCAGCAGAGTCCCAGCAAAAGCTCTTGGCCTGTCTCATCCAAAGCCAGGAGGTCACAGGCTGAAGTAGTCTGCAGCTAGTCGCCCATAGATGTCTGTTGTCCAGAGCACATGGGCACGGCCTGAGGCCAGCAACAGCTGGTGCAACTCAGCTTCTACACGGGCAAACTTCTCCTCGTTGATGGAGGCTTCCAGAAGGACAGATGCAGGTGGAGGCCAGGGCAGGCCCTCATAGCAATCCACGGGGAAGGGGTGCACCACAGTGCGCAGCTCAGCCTGTACCGCTGAGTCCCGCAGCAGCTCCTTGAGGCCAGCCATGGATAGCGGGTTGCCATAGAGGCCAAGGTAGCGGAGACTGGTACAGCGGGTCAAGGTGGGCAGTGTGGCTACTAGCTGGGCATCAGCAAGCTGGCACTCAGTCAGCTCAAGATGCAGCAGTGTGGCTGCTGCCGCCTGCAACAAACCCTGGAAGGGCACTAGCTGACTTCCTGACAGATCATTACCACTCAGGTCCAGCTTCTTTAGGTGAGCAGCATGGGAGCTCCTTGCCAGGAAGCGCAGGTCCTCAGGCAGCAGAGCACAGAAGGCCAGCTCCAAGCTCTCCAAGGGGCTCTGCAGGGTACTGTGGGGACACAGGGGTCACAGACAAGTAGGCCCAGGGAGTGTCCCCATGGAGGGAAAGGGTAGAGCATTGATGGGGCCCACTCACCTGAGCAGCTGGTCCAGCCTGCCTGAAAGGAGAGAAGAGCCCATGCTGAGCTCCCGAAGACAGGTGAAGCGGCCCATCTGGGCCAGGAAGTAGCGGAAGTTGTCCTCACCATCTACAGAGGGCTGCCTTGAGTCCCCATGCACATAGTGTAGTCGCAGACTGGCCAGGTGCTGGAAGCGAGCCACATGAGGGATGATGACAGACAGGCCACGCAGGCCCAGATTGTTGAAGCGGAGGTCCACTCGGCGCAGGCAGCCTGCGTCCAGAAGCTGCAACAGGGCCACAGTGTTGCGCATGGGCAGGTCCTCAGCCCGGAGGTCCCGGCAGCATAGCCGCAGAGGGCTGCCCACGCTGCTTCGGAGAGCCTCACGCAGGAATGAATAGGAGGCCCGGTTCACCCGAAGGTCCACACGAACCTCCACAGGGATAGGGGCTGGTCCAGGTTCAGCAGTCCTGCTCTGTTGCTGGGCAATGCATGTGCGGGCCACAGCTGCTGTGCAGTCCCACATGCTCATAGTACCAGGGTCCTGCTCCACACCATCATCCAAGAGACCAGTCATGTCCAGCACCCGCAGTGTGTGCTTCCTAGAAGTAGGGATGGCCTGAGATGGGATGAGAGAGCAGGGCCTACAACCCCTCCCAGCCACTTTGGGACCAGAACAACAGTCTGCTGCCACACAGAGCTCTTGGAACTTTGCACCTCAACCTATGCTCTCCTCAGGGAACCCTCTTTGTAACTCCAGGCCTGAAGTCCCCACTGGTAAGTCCATACCTACAGAGGGAATGTGTGCCAGCTTCAGCTTCTGGGGTGTGGAACCGAGCAGTCAGCCCCAGGATTACAGCTTGCATGCTCTCAGTGCTGGGTCGCTCGTGCAGCAATGCCCGGCTACAGTGAGCACATTCCTGCAACAACTGCTGGAAGCTGAGCAGTGGGAAGGGCCATGTGTGCACCAGCTCACGCAGTACCACAGTCTTCTTGTCCATGAAGGCCACCTTGAATAGCAGGGGAAAGAGCTCTCGGGGCAGCAGGGGCAGGGCCTGGCAGGCAGCTGGCTGGCACTGGAGCACCTGCCGAGTGCTCAGGAACACAAGTGTGTGCATGGCGCTGGGCCGTGCAGGCAGCCACCTGCAGGAGAGGAGCTTCAGTGAAGAAAACCTAGAATACCACTAGGTCATATCCACTCTCTACACCAGTGGTGAGAAAGCCCAATATGGTGCCCAACTGGAGCAGAGAGTGGAGAACAGTGACACAGAGAAGTACCCACTTAGGTACCTGGCAGTGGCTGGGCAGAGTGGACCAGGGACAAGGCCACACCCCAGGCCCCAACCTACAGAAGCAAAAGGCTTTGTTAGGAAAACAAAGCATCGTAGTACATAAATGGTGTCACCACTGAGTTTACTTGTGCTTCTACAGATGGTTACTGCTCTGCAGAGGCCCCATTGGCCCCAAATCACAAAGCTGTTTCAGAAATCCTTCCTCAAAAGTAGAATAGAGCCCAGGCCCCTCCCTGTAGCCCGTTGTCAGCCTGCAGCAGATGGAGTTCTCCCAGGGGGGCCTGCAGCCCCCTCACAGCTCCCTCCCTCATCTTCCTCACAGATGTATTTGAGGGCTGCTCTCAGATTCCACAAAGCACAGACACAGCTTAATAACATCAGGGCTTAAAAGATTAAAACCTGGGAAACAGAGTTAAAATGACATGGCCTGGGATCAAGGCCCTCAACGTTAGCCCAAGGGATAATTACTGTTTTCTGGGATGTCACCAGGGATGGAAACCCCCGAGAAAAAGCAAGTCTCACCTTCTGTGACCCTTGCCACCTGTCTAAGCATCTCTCTTCTTCCCTGAGGAATCAACGTGGAGAGAAACCAAGGATTCAAAAAGGCCCAAGCCTGAGCTTGCTCAAATGAGGCACAAACAGCACACAAGCTGAGAAGATGCATGCAAAAGACCCGAGGTTGCAGAATATCTGCGACAGAAGGGCTCTGCCCTGCTTCCTGTGGGCCAGCCACCTTACGCTGATCCCCCTCCTACAGTTAGGAAAGCTAAGGCCTAGGCCTTGACCAAGGTCACAGCCCAGGAAAGCGACAGAGAGCATTCCAGCCACAGGGCCTTGAGCTTACTGACCTCTCGAGGCCAAGCCCTTCAGGAGCCACTTCTGGGAAACCCCGTATGCCCACCCTCGGCTTGCCGCTCCCGTGCACAAATCTCGCGAGGACGATGCATACCTCGGTGACAAGACAGACGGAATGAGCACCTGTCGCAAAAGGAAACGAAGGCAGCCGACCTGGCCGCCCGGATAAGAGTCTCTACGCGATGCCCCCGATCGTCCGGCGCTGGAACAAGCGCAAAAGCCCCTGTCGGGCTCCTACGGGCCCTCAACCTGACGACCCTCCGCCGCCCGAGCAGGTCTGTTCCCCCAGGCCTGGCGAATCCCCGGCGACCCCGAGGCCGTTCTCACGGCGTGGGGGTCTCCCAGGCCGTTCCCGCCCCCAGCGGCACCGCCCAGGCTCACAAGCGCCAGCCCTCGCCTCCCCGGCACGAGCGCCCGGCGCTACGCCCCTTTGTCCAGTCAGTCCTGCCGACGCGCCGCATCACTTCGGCCCAAGGCCCGCGGCCCGCGCTCACCGACCCCAGAGCCACCACCACAGTCTCCAGCCCCGCCTCGGCTGTCCACCGGCCCCGCCCAGCCCCGCGGCGCGCGGCGATGACATAGACACGACCCATTGGTCGACCCTACAGGGCCCGGCGGATTGGTCATCCGTCCCAGCGGCCCCGCCCCAGCCCTGCCGCGCAGCTCCATTGGCTGGTAGACCGACGTCGCTGGTGTGGCGGGAAGATTCGCAGGACGCGGGACTGGATCCCTATGGAGCGGCTGCGGGACGTGCGGACGCAACTCCAGGAGTGGGAGCGCGGGTTCAGGCGGCAGCACCGGCGGCGGCCCGGCCAGGTACGAGCTGTAGTGGGAGGGGAGAGCTATAGAGGGCGCAGCCTCCGTCTGACACGTTCCCTTCACAGGAAGACGTGGAGGCGGCGCCCGAGGACGTCCGCGGTGAGCAATGCGATACCGGGGACCGCGGAGCGCGGGACGGCCTGCCGGGGGAAGGGGGAGCGAGGTGATGCGGACCCCGCCCTGACCCCGACTCCCGTCCTCCCACCCACCCAGCTCTCTACCGCGAGTACCGCGCCCTAAAGCAGTCGGTGGTCCTTGCCGGCGGCGGGCTCCGCAGCTCGGAGCCGTCGCTCCCAGCGGAGGAGGTACCTGAGCCCGTGACCCCAACCTGCCGGTCAGCTTCCTGTATGGCCGGGTGTTGGGAGCCAAGAGCAATCTCAGCCAAGCCTCCGGAGCATAGAACTTGGGAGGAGAACAGAGCCACGCCTTCCTCCTGGGGGTGGGTGTTGCAGACACCTCAGCCCTCCTGCCAGCCTTTTTCTGGTCTGGACCTCTGCTTCCTCCTCCTGAAGGTTCTGGAGGCCAGCTGCTGGGGACCCCACCTGAATCGGGCAGCAACCCAGAGTCCACAACCTACTCCACAGATGAGCCCGGGGGGATCTGTGCAGGACTATGGAAAGAGGCTCAAGGCCAATCTCAAGGTCATACTACAGGTGAAAAGTGGAAGTGGGCTGCAATACATTGGAGCTGGGCCCAAAGGTGCCCTAGACCCAGAGGCAGGCCTTTGTGTCCACCTTTCCACACTATATGCAGGCACAGGCAGGGCCCCTGTGTTGGTCAGGGCTTGACTTCCAAGTAGTACTCAAAGATAGCCTTTGCCCTCAGTCTTGTTCACAGTCAGGTTTGTGCATCTTACCTTGCGCTGTCATTTAGAGTGGGGTCTCTTTTATCCTCCCTGTCCCAGGCTGAGCCAACACTGGGCAGCAGACTCCAGCCTCCACGAAGACCCTTGTCCAAGATGCCCACCACAGGTCCACCCAGCCCAAGGACTGCCCCCACTTCTCCAGAAGAAGTCAGTGGTGGCACACTTCCCCAGCCATCCGAGCCCAAGCGAAGTTCAGGCCGGCTCCAGCAGCTTCGGGCATCTCTGAGTCTGCGGCTGGGCTCCCTAGACCCTGGCTGGCTTCAGCGGTGCCACAGTGGACCCTTAGATTTTCTGAAGCCCCCCAGTGCCTACAGTCCTGGCCTGGGTAGAAAGGAGTCACAACACCTGACGTCGGAAGAGTTTCTTGTCTTTGGTCCCAATACTTGCTCTGAGGAATTCTCACAAGGTCCAGAGACTCCAGCCCCACAGGCAGCCCAAAATGGTATGGGGAGCCCTCAGCCCAGCAACCCTCAAGGCAAGAAGCCAAAGTGGAGTGAGAATGGAGGGAGTCCTGTGCAGCCCCAGCAGGACATCAGCCAAACAGGACCCTTGTCTGAGGGGACAGGGGCTGTAGCACTTGAAGAAGACCTTCCAGGGCAACCTGTACAGGCCCAGCCATCTCAGCCCTGTAGCAGTTCTTCAAGTCCATCTAGGACAAAGAAGCGTAAGGGGATGGCCCATACGTTGTCCCGTAGACCAGCTGTCCAGGACAGAAGTAACTATGTCCGGCTCAACATGAAGCGCAAACGTTATGTGTGGGGTGGGGCCCTTCGAGGTAGGCTCCTCCGCAGGCAGGTGAGATGGGCATAGCAGGACAAGGGTGGGCCTTCCCCATACCTCTCCCATCTCCCTTTTATGTGATTCTCTCTTGTGCGCCCTCCTCAGGCATGGAAACAGAAGTGGCAGAAGAAAGGGGAGTGTTTCGGGGGTGGTGGGGCCAGACCCCCAGCCAAGGATTCTTGTTTCCAGTCTGGGCCGTTTGGCCGCTGGGTTCCCCAGTGTTCCAAGCCAGGTGAGGGCCTCCACCCCGATAAATGGGAGGGGCCAGTGCTAAGCAGGGAGTACGGAGCCCCTTTGGTAGGCACTTCTACTCAAATAACGCCCTGTCATCTCCTCACCCTTGGCCCAGGCCCCACTCTGAACCTTCAGAAGGAGATTGGCAAGAACAGGGACAACATGCAGTCCTTTCCTACTTTGGAAGAAGCAGCCTGGAGAGCAGACACTGCTTGCTGCCACCTCCCCAGTAAGTCAGGGGAAGAGGGTGGTTATACCCAGTGGCCCCTGTGCCAGGCTGTTTCAGTGCAGCCTGGAGCCCCCAAAATACCTTCTCTCGTCTGCCCAGTTGGTGAGAACACAGGACTTACTGGGCCTGAGCTACAGGTGTGTCCCCCATCCCAGCACCCCCCAGTGCTACCCCTCTACCCACCAGGGCCCTCAGGACAGGTAGCAGGTGAGCAGAAACTTACTGCACCAGAGCCTTTACCTCTGGGTGGGGAGACTTTGGAGGCCTTACTGACAAACACCTGTGTCCACAGAGACACCAGCTGAGGTGTTCCAGGCCCTGGAGCAACTAGGGTACCGAGCCTTCCGCCCAGGGCAGGAGCATGCAGTCATGCGGATCCTGTCGGGTGAGTGTGGCCACTGGGGACTGGCTCTAGCCTTTGGACACAGCCTTGCAACTGCCTCTTGTCTGGCCTAGGCATCTCCACACTGCTGGAGCTACCTACAGGTGCTGGTAAGTCCCTGTGCTACCAGCTTCCTGCCCTGCTGTGCGCCCGCCGCACCTCCTGCCTCACACTGGTGGTCTCCCCGCTCCTGTCGCTCATGGATGACCAGGTGTGTGGATCAAGTGTTGGGAACCAAAGCCTCTGGTGCCCTGGGGTTGCTTTTTGTTCCCTGAACACCAGGAGCTACAAGGTGTTCTGCTCACCTGTGCTCAAGGGTAACAGGGCCTAACCCCCAACACCCACCATCAGGCCCCTTAGCTTCAGGGCCCTAGGCCCAGGGCTCTCTTCCAGACCCTCCCAAAGGTTGGAAGTAAAAGTGGTCCAAAAGAGGGGTGCATTTTGGGGTGGTGGCCCACAGCCTCAGCTGAGGATTCTTGTTTTTTGTGTGGGGTAATTCGGCTGGTCATCACAGTGCCCCCAGCCAAGTGAGACCGCTGCCCTAGGGAATGGGCAGGGCCAATGCCTTTATCCCAGAACGCAGGATCTGGTGCTTCTCCCAGGGAGCCGGTTGAGTACCTGCAGAATTCAGGGGAGAGCCAGGATTGGACTAGCCTGTGACAGCACTGCCTCTATCTGCAGATGTCCAGCCTGCCCCCATGTCTCAAGGCAGCCTGCCTCCACTCAGGCATGACCAAGAAGCAGCGGGAGTCTGTTCTGCAGAAGGTCAGGGTATCCCATGGGTGGGGGTCTGTGGGTAGTCATCTGGGTAGTGCCCCTAACCCTGATGCCTTCAGGTGCAGGCAGCCCAGGTGAATGTGCTGATGCTGTCCCCAGAGGCACTGGTTGGGGCTGGGACTGGCGGCCCTGCCAGCTTCCTCCAGGCCTCCCAGCTGCCCCCCGTGGCCTTTGCTTGCATTGATGAGGCCCACTGCCTCTCTCAGTGGTCACACAATTTCCGGCCTTGCTACCTGCGCATCTGCAAAGTGAGTCAAGGGGGGGTCAGGGTGGGTGGTGGATGGATAAGGGCCCCATGGGCTGGGTGGCCTCACCATCACCCTTCCCTTCTGATGCAGGTACTTCGGGAGCGCATGGGTGTACGCTGTTTCCTGGGTCTCACAGCCACAGCCACACGCAGGACTGCTCGTGATGTAGCCCAGCACCTGGGTGTAGCCGAGGAGCTTGGCCGGGGTGGGCCAGCCCCCATCCCTGCCAACTTGCACCTGTCTGTGTCTGTAGACAGGAACCCACACCAGGTAGGTGTGCACATAGCAGGGTCCTGGGCAGAGAGCCCACATCCTGCCTGGCCAGTGACCACTGCTCCCTGCCAGGCTCTGGTGACGCTGCTGCAGGGTGACCGCTTTCGTGCCCTGGATTCAATCATCATTTACTGCAACCGACGGGAGGACACAGAGCGAGTTGCTGCACTTCTCCGAACCTGCCTGTGTGCAGGGCAGGACCCAGGCTCTAGAGGTAGGGCACCACAGGGTAGGCCCCAGGGCCACCCCGTGTGCCAGCCCTGATGCCACCAGCCATCTCTCCATCTTCCCCAAGGTCATGCCCCAGAGACTGTAGCTGCAGCTTATCATGCTGGCATGTGCACCCGGGAGCGGCAGCGAGTGCAGCGGGCCTTCATGCAAGGCCATCTGCGGGTGGTGGTGGCCACCGTGGCCTTTGGCATGGGACTAGACAGGACAGATGTGCGGGCCGTGCTGCACCTGGGGATGCCCCCAAGCTTTGAGAGCTATGTGCAGGCTGTGGGCCGCGCTGGACGTGATGGGCAGCCTGCCCATTGCCACCTCTTCCTGCAGCCTCAGGTTGGCACCCTGCCATCCCTCACACCAGGCCAGCCCCTGGTGCCCTGGCCACACACAGACTCATAGCTCTGCTTCTACAGGGCAAGGACCTGCAGGAGCTGCGTAGACATGTGCACGCCAACGGTGCCGATTTCTTGGCCCTGAAAAAGCTGGCACAACGCCTGTTTCCACCCTGCTCCTGTACGCCACAGCCTCCAGAGCAGGAAGGAGGCAGGAATGGGATGAGGCCCGCAGCTGGGGCCCCCCTGCAGGAGGCCAAGCAGCACAGTGGCCACTCAGCTGCCCCAGTGCGGGGACAGGTCTGCCCTGGCCATGCCCGAGCACTCCCAATACAGCACATAGTGCAGGCCCTGGACATGCCAGAAGAGGGTAAGGGCCGGGAAGACGGGGGAGGGGGGCTGTCCCCACACCACCTGAGCCCACTCCCCCCTACAGCCATTGAGACCCTGCTGTGCTACCTGGAGCTGCATCCCCGGCACTGGCTGGAGCTGCTGCCAACCACCTATTCCCGCTGTCACCTGCGCTGCCCTGGGGGCCCCACCCAGCTCCAGGCCCTGGCCCACAAGTGAGTACACAGCACCCTGGGTCAGGGATATGGACAGAGGGCCAGGGATGCTAGTCACATGCCCCTTTCCTCTGGAGCACAGGTGTCCTCTTGCAGCTGCATGCTGGGCCAGGTGGCCACCTGAGGACATGGGGCCAGGCAGCAGCTCCATGGAATTTGATGTGGTAGAGCTGGTGAACTCGATGGGCTGGGAGCTGGCATCTGTGCAGCAGGCTCTCCGTCAGCTGCAGTGGGACCCAGAGCCCAGGACAGGTGTGCTTGCCCCTACTCCCCCACCCGACTGCCGGCCACCCATCCACCCTCCCACCCATCCACCCTACACCTGATACACTCTGGCAGGTGTGCTGCAGGGAACAGGGGTGATTGTGGAGTTCAGGGAGCTGGCGTTCCACCTGCGCAGCCCTGGTGATCTGACTGCTGAGGAGAGGGACGAGGTATGCGACTTTCTGTTCAACCGTGTGCAGGCCCAAGAGCGCAAGGCCCTGGCACATCTGCGCCGAATGTCTGAGGCCTTTCACAGGTAGGAAGTGGGTGGGCAGGTGCTGGGACCATCCACTCTGTGCCCATGGGCAGTCTTGATAGGCTCCTCTCACCCCTGCACCCCAGTGTGGCCTTCCCCAGCTGTGGGCCCTGCCTCGAGCAGCCTGACATGGATCGCAGTGCCCAGCTGAAGGCCCTCCTCAGCTGCTACTTCGAGGAAGAGGAAAAGGAAGAGGGAGGGATAGAGGACCAGGGCCCAGAGCCTGGGCAGGTCCAGGTGAGCGTAGCCCCTCTGGGGTGATCTCCAAAGCCAAGGGTGGTGCCACACCCATATCCCTGATTTGGACAGTTCACACCCCCTACCTAGCCTGTCCACAGGCTTCCTCAGCTGCCAGGCTTGCCTATGTTGGATGTGGTTCTCTGGAAGCTCAGGGAAGTCTGATGTGCTTGTCCACCCACAGCTTCAGGACTGGGAGGACCAGGTCCGCCATGACATCCGCCAGCTCCTGTCCCTGAGGCCAGAAGAGAGGTTTTCCAGCAGGGCCGTGGCTCGTATCTTTCATGGCATTGGTGAGGGCTCCAGGGGCTGCCTGATGCAGACAGGGCTAGGGACAGGAACCAGCCCACCTTAGGTCTGTGTCTTTCTGCTCCACCACAGGAAGCCCTCGATACCCAGCCCAGGTATATGGGCAGGACCAGCGCTTCTGGAGAAAGTACCTACATCTGAGTTTCCAGGCCCTGATGCGCCTGGCCACAGAGGAGCTCCTACTGGTTGGCCGATGACTGACTGCCCTGCTCACAAGGCTGCTGCCCCCATGTAGGACAGATGGACACATGGCCACTCCTCAAGGCAGCAGTGCAGCTGCCAATGCTCAACACAGTACTGAAGTCTGCCAGCAACTGGATTGTGACAAAGGGGTTCCAAAATGCAGAATAAAAGGGGTCTGAGTTGTTTTCATGGGCCCTCCTTTCCAGCAAGGCGGCCCTTAGGCTGAGGACAGCTGTGCCTCACATTCTGCAGACACATTCAGGCTAAAGGCACACTTGGCTTTATTGACAGTCCTCCCGCCCAGTTCAGGCCAGGGTGCTGGGTGCCAGGCTAAGGTCCAAAAGGGGCAGTGCTGAGAGTACAAGAAAGACGGTGAAGCAGGGATGTGGGCCCAGACCATCAGCCAGCATTCCAGCCAGGGCACCCATCAGCAACTTGCCCAGCAGCTCCAGAGTGGCCAGGAGGCTATAGTGCGTTGCCTGGGGATGGGGTGTATGGTCAGAGCCTCAGGCCTTCCCAGCTCCTGGGTGTCCCTGCCACATCCCCTCACCTGAAGGGCCCTGGGTGCCAGCTGGCTGCAATGCATCATCACAGTGAAGGTGGCAGTGGTGACCAGGCCCCCCAGGAAGTGCTGCAGACACAGGCTCAGCAAGGCTGCTCCTGAGAGAAGAGAGGTCAGCAGGGCCCCAAACTCCCGGACCCTCCACCCCCAAAGCCAGCCCCTCACCTCTTAGGAGTGTGCCAGGGCCCACACTGGCCCCTGGAGTGTCCAGGTAGAAGAGCAGAGCAGTCTGGCAGGCCAAGCCCCCAAGGCGGAGCTGCAGCACTGACCTCAACAGAAGGAGTGGCTCCCTGGGGTTGGGGTGGGAGTGGGGAGGTTATAGGTCAGAGGATCTAGGACAGGGCCAAGGGTGAGGAGGGGGCAGGGCAGGCTGAGAAGGGCTTACCAATGCCTGGCCAGTAGGGCTCCACCCAAGGAGGATCCAGTGATAGAGCAGGCCACAGCACCCAAGCCGTTCCAGAGTCCCAGCTCTGGGGCAGAAGCACCATGGTCCAGTAGGAGGAGCGGAAATAGGCTGCCAGCGCCCTGCTCACCTGCAGAAGAAGCAGCAATCCCCATGCCTGCCCCTACTTCTCCCCACCTGGGCCCCTGCCCTGCCCCCATTATCCTGGGCCACAGGTGCTGGGAGAGAAATGCACTGGGCATTTGGTGGAGCCCAGGGTCAGCAGACAACAACACCAGAGCAACTCAAGGGGCTAGGACTTGGGCTGCAGCCGAGGGAGGACAAGAGGCAAGGCCAGGTTGCAGAACCCGGGGTGCTGCGATCCAGGCTGGGTTCTGGAGCCAGCCCAAGAAAGAGGGCGGCCCCTTAAGTGGGTCCCAGAGGCCTCGGGGACCCACCTGGAGCTGTCCCTGAGGCCCCGGTCCTGTTGTTGCCTGGCTTGAGACTTAACTCACCCAGCTTGTAGGTGAGCACAAAGCCTGCTGTCCACAGGGTCTCAGGAGCAGCCAGCAAATCCTGCAGGTGTGGGGTGTGCTCTGAGGGCTGAGGCCATGGTAGCTGGTGCAGCGCTGGTGCAGTCCAGGCCAGTGCCGCGGCCAGCCAGTAGGTGGCAGCCAGGAGCACAAAGACCAGTGGCCAAGATAGAGTGGGCGAGAGAACAAGCAGTCCGCCCCCAGCCAGCACTGCCCCCAGCTTGTAAGCGACCACCTGCACGGTGTTGCCGGGTCCCAGCTCGGCTGGATCCAGGAGCTGGACGGCCAGTGTATCCAGGGCTACGTCCTGCACAGCCGCACCAAGGTTCAGCAACAGCAGCAGCCCCATCACGGTGGCGGGCAGCGCGTCCTGGCTACCTTGGTTGGGAGGCAGTGCGGCCAGCAGCCCACATACTAGGCCTAGAGCCGCTGTGCTGAGCGTCAGCCAGGTCCGCGGGGAGCCCCGTCTGTCCACCAGTGGGGCCCACGCCAGCTTGAACAGCCATGGTGCATACAGACCTTTGGCTAGACCCACGCGCGTCAGGGAGAGGCCGCGGGCCCGCAGCAGGATAGGCAGCAGGCTGGACTGCAGCCCATAGGGCAGGCCCTGCACCAAGTAGAGACTGGCCAGCGGCAGCAGCTTTCCGTGCGTGGTCAGTGTCAGAAGGGCCCGGGCGGGCTCAGGCCGGGAGCAAGGCCCCGGAGGGGTCTGACACGGCATTGTCCCATCCGCACCGGGTCAGGGGCAGGGTAAGCTGGGGCCCGGGTGCGCGCGTTGAGGTCCTGGGGTTGTCGATACCCCAAAAGAACCAAAGCTGGGACAAAGCAGCCAGTAAGAACCAGGACCTCCACCCCGCAGGACTGCAGGCTCCTGCAGCCCGCGGCTCCCAGCGTGCTTTGCGCGGGGCGGGGCCTGGGGAGGCGAGTAGGCCCCTCTGGGCTGGGCCTCATGGCGCCTCCTCCACGGTACCCCCAGCTCCGTACCGCTGTCCCGGGGAAACCTTGTTGTTTCCCCCCCCCCACCCGAGCCGGAGCGGAGTGTGGACGCAAACCGTGGGCGAGAAGCCGCAGAAGCCCCGCGGCAGCCCGTGCCCCGCTCTGGAAAGCCGCGTGAGCCACCGAGATCCTGACCGGCCCAGAGCGTCGGCTCTCTGGCTCCCAGGCGCCCCTGGTGGCCAGCCTGAGCAGGGCGGCCCGTTAGCCCCAGCTCCTGATGCGCAGGAATCCGTGGTGGCCTCCACTGCCAGGGGCTGGCCTCCGGTATAGGAATCATCCTCTCCGCTCAGTGGTCACTAGCCCTGCCCCACCCCCTATTATCCGCTCTGCTCTACCAGTACCTCCCAGTATCCAGCCCCCTTGGAGAAGTGACCTGTCGACTGTGTTTCTGTCACTGGTCCTCCGCTGTGCTTGTGGCTTTAGCCCTCTCCCCAAGGTACTAGCCACCGAGGGCCGCGGAAGGCGGGGGTCTTACGTGAAAGGTCAGGGCCAGGGCTCAACCAGGACACAGCCAACCACACTGCCCCTACCCTCCGCTCCTGCCCCGCAATGAGGGGAGCCTGACCAATCTGGCCCAACCCTTCCTGACTCTGACCCTGAAAGGGAGACCCAAGTGCAGTCTCTGCTGCCCAGAGCTGTGCCCTCTGGGGATAAGGAAGCCAGGATGAGGCTGAGGAACCATCTCGAGCCTGGGCGTGGCGGCCTGAAATTCCAGCAACTCTCGCAAGTTTGAGACCAGCTTCAGCAAGACCCTATCTCAAAATTTATAAAAAGGACTGGGGATGGACCCTGGGTTCCAGCCCCAGTACCCTCCCCCCCCAAAAAAAAAAAAAAATGTCTCAAAGTCTGTGTATGTCTGCATGTAAGAAGGACAGCCAGCTTACGTCTGTGGCTTCTGAATCACTAGTGTCCCGTCACTTCCAGAGTCTTGGAGCCCAAATTTTCTCATCTATAAAACGGGACTACCATGCCTACCTCAGAGGAACACTGTTGCGGATCAAATACGATCCACAGCTGTGTTTGCAGGGTGCACCCAACGGGCCCTCCATCCTGTGTCTCAGAGGCAAGGACGCGGGACTTCCTCAAGGTACTCTGCCCTCAGCATCCCTTTTCTGCCTCCAGGCCTCCCAGTCAAGAGGGCTACATTTGCACTAAGATCTCCCCCTCCTCCTGCAGAACCCAGGTGGGCACTGCCACCTTGAGCCCTGTCACTCCCCAGTAGGAGAGAGCCCAGCCAGCCCCCTCCTGCTGGCAGAGGAAGAGTAGGGGTGAAGTACACACCTTTTTTCTTCTTCAGAAAAGGCTACTTTTTCTGATGGGGGTTCTCTGGTGCCACTGCCCCTGTGATTCACTATCAAGTCTCATCTCCTCCCTGACGGATCTGGGGCTGCCCCAGGAGGCACAGGTGGCCTGTCCTTACTGGTACCATTACCTGATTTTTATGTGACTTGTCAGACCAAGGGAATGGACAGCCAGCCCATGAGGTGCTGTCTCTAGGACTAGCAGGTGGATACTAGACAGGAGGGTCCTTCTCTGGGAGCCCACCTTGACCACTGCTCTCTGAAGATGGGCCCTGGTGTCCCTTAAGTGGGGTCCCCAAGCCTGCAATGAAGGTAGTCGGGGCAGCCAAAGGTGGAGTCATCACCCATGGAAGTGGGGCTCACCCCTCCAGAGTCATAACCACACTCAGCTTTATTAGGAACTGGCAGAGAGAGATGCCCAGCCCCCAAGGGGCAGCAGCAAGTTCTGAGGGGTCCAGAGACCACCAGGTCCCTGGGCAAAGTCAGTCCAGGCAGCCCAGCCTGGTCCCTGTGGTGGCCTCAGGAGTACTCCCGGGTGAACTTGGCATGAAAACGGCTCAGCTTCTCCAGCAGCAGTCGAAGCTTCTCCATGGGGGGCAGGATGGTCATCCTGGAAAGGGCAAGCTATAAGCCAAAGGGGGCACAGCAGGCACTGGCAGGCTGTGCGGGCCTGGTCTCACCGGAAGTGATAGGTGCCCTCCAGTTGCCCAAAGCCGCTCCCAGGCACCACGCAGATTCCGGTCTCCTCCAGGAGGCGCTGGCAGAAGAACATGTCTGGGGCCAGGCCGAGCTCCTGCGGTGTGGAGGGCGGTCAGAGCTCTATGCCCAGGCCTCCGCCCCACCCTGCCCTGCCCCACCAGACCTGAGCAAGCTGGACCGCCCGGGGGGGCAGCTGCACTCGAGGGAAGGAGTACATGGCACCCTGCACTGGGTTGCATCTGATGCCAGGAGTTTCATTGAAGACCTGCTCCGTGAGCTTGGCCTTGGCCGCCAGCTCAGCTAGCACCATTTGCCTCTCCTGCAGCCACGGAGGGGACAATCAGGGCACGGCAGGGACACAATAGCCCTCAATCCTTTTCCCAACTGGCTCGCCAGATGCCCTTGGCCTCATTTCCCTCACCTCCTGGAACTGCGCAAAGGAGGGGTCAGAGGGTGCTGGCGGGCTGACCACCATGTCCAGCAGGGCCTGGCCCGGCACAGGCGGGCACAGCCGCACACTCATCAGCTTCAGCATCTGCCGCTGCACTTCGGGGTCCATGTTCACCACCTCCACGTAGCCACCGCGGAACCCGCACCTGCCAGGTAGGGCAGGCGTCAAGGTCGAGGCCCAGCCGGGAAGAAGGGGGCAGGAAAGTGGCTGGAGTCCAAGAACCCCCCCCCCACCACCGGCCCACACGCACTCGCCCATGTAGCCCTTGGAGGCTGAGTGGAAGGAGGCAAGCTCCTGCTGCGTGGAGTACGGTGGGCCCATCTCGGTGAGCACCTTCTTGAAGGAGTAGAAGCGCGAGCCCTCTGCGTACACGTTGTCCTGGTACACCTGCAGGGGCGCTGTCGTCACGCGGCCGGCCGCTGACCCGCAGCCACCCTCCCTTGCGCATCCCTGTAAGCACCTCATCAGCCATCAGAAAGAGTCCCTCTTCGAATGCGAAGCGGATCACAGCCTCGATGCACTCCCGGGTCTGCACCTGCCCTGGGGACAGCAGCGCGGCCAGGGTCAACTGCGGGCACCCACCACCCCACCCCTGCTCATCTGGACAGTGGGGGTTGACTGACCCATTGTGGTAGGCCTAGGAGCATGTAGCAGCTGGAGGGGTCAGGGTAGGTGGGGCAGGGAGGTGGCGCACCGGTGGGGTTGCCGGGGTTGATCACGCAGAGCGCGCGTGGGCAGCAGTGGTCACGTGCTTGAGACAGCCTGCGCCGCAGCTCAGCCACATCGAGTGCCCAAGTGCGCTCCTCATCCAGGTAGTAGTCCACCTGCACCGCGTCCAGTTCGGCCAGAGTGGCCGAGTAGAGCGGGTACTGCGGGACAGGGATGAGCACGCCTGTACGCCGGCGGCCCTCACCAGCCACCAGCAGCTTCAGCACCGTCTGTGGGCAGGGGGAGGAGCGCAGTGTTGGCAGGGCCAAGGGGCTGCACCCGTCCCCTGCCCTGTGGAACCACAGTTGAAGAGCCATTGTGTCCTGCCGTGGCCCAGCCTACCACGATGGCATCACTGGCACCCGTGGACAGGAAGATGTTGTTGGGGTCAGCAGGGATGCCTCCATCTCGCCTCTCGATGTACCGTGCAACATCCTCACGGATCAGCTGGATGCCAGAGCTGATGCTATAGGCCCCTGGACTCCGGCAAGCAGAGCAGAGCAGACCCATGAAAGTGGCTAGTCCTCCCGCAACCCTCCCAAGAGATCCACCCTTCTCTGCTTCTTCCTGGGGCTTGGTCCCCGCCTGGCACCAGCACTCACCCAGGCTGTGGCCCCCGCATGCCTGCAAGATGCGCTGAGCCCTTCGTTTGGCATCCTCAGGGAAGTCAGGGCTGTGCAAGAGATCTGGGTGGACACAGAGGGCCAAGACCTGGGCGGACGGAATGATGAGGTCAGGGCACACTGATGGCTGGAGCCAGGGGACACAGGCAGTACAGGAGCCTCACCTGGCGGAAGAAAGTGATGGGCCTCTGCCCCATGGCCTGTGCATCTCCAATGTTGGCACGGATGACCTCGGTGAAGGGTTTCTTCACACCCTGGGAGGGAAAGGGAGAAGGCAGCCAGATTGGGCACCATTACCCCCACAGCCCTAGTCCCAAGTGCCACTGGGCCAGAGGCTGATCTAGTAGCCCAGGAACAGCAGGAGGGTAGCAGGGCCTCAGGACCGTACCTGGCGCAGCTCCTGCTCCAGCTCCAAGGCCCGCAGCACTATGGGGCCACGCACGGCGTACTCCACCTTGCGCACACACGGGTTCATGGAGTCCAGTGTCAGCACCTTCTCCCTCAGCCCATTCCGTGCAGCCCGGCTCTGGTCACCTACTCTCAAGGCCATGACTCTGCTCAGATCAGGCAGGAAGGTGGCTCAGGAGGTGGCAGGCCCAGAGGTGGTGGTGGGGGCAGCAGGGTCCAGGCTTGGGAGCTCAACGTAAGAGGACACCCGCTTCACTGCAGCCTACTGGCTCCAATGAAAGGGACAGAAAGGGCTGCAGGAGCTGGAGCCGCCTCGGCTCCACCCCATAGTCTGGGCACAGTTCTGCCCCAGGGAGGCAGAGGGCGTGGGTGAGGCAGCAGGCGGGGCTTGGGGTGAGTCCCAGTGCCCGCCCAGTGTCCCCATGACAGGAGCGCAGGAGACCCACATGGGGGGTAGGGAGAGACGGCCTTGGTGTTGGGGGAGGGAAGGGCTCAATGCCTGGGCCTAGTGGACCTGAGAGGTTGGCAGAGTTGGGTAGGGGTGACCCCTAAGGTGAGACTGCAGCCAGTAGCCACTGGATTTACCTCAGCAGGGCACTGCTGAGGCCTAGCCCTCTTGGCACCCCCATCTTTTCTTAGGCCAGCAGACAGACCTGTCTCCTAGGTGACAGCCAGACCTTAGGAATGCTGGGGGGGCTGGGGGGGACGAGTGAGGAGTAGAGACTCTGAGTTCCACCAGGGCAATGGCCATGGCCCAGAGACTACAAGAACACTGCAGCTGGACCTTGGTCCCTGATCAGCATTGCAAGGGGCTGGAGGGAGGAGGAGGGCTGCAGACAGGGCAGGCGAACCCCTTGCCCCAGGTGGCCCTCACACCCTTTCAACACACAGGAGCCTGGGGTTGCCCTTGGGGCCACACCCCAGGCATGGGGGTGGGTAGCCTGTCACCTTCCCTCCTTCCTGATTGGTGGAGAGAGCAGGAAGTAAACTGCGATAGGCCCCCAGAACCCCACCTCCACAGGCTCACAGGCCATTCCCAGGGTTTGCCTCTGCAGGCTGCCAGGCCAGCCAGATCCAAGGGTGAACTGACAGTCGGGAAGCCAGCCCTCTGAGCTGGGCAGTAGCAGCTGGTTAGACGGAAGGGGAGCCTTGGCTCCTCTGTTTCTGCAGATTGGGAGAGAAGCCACCAGGAGTTCTAAGTGGGGAATGCACGCGCGCGCACACATGCACACAGACACACACACACATACCTCTCTCAACTTGCACCTCTCAGTTCTGCTGCCACAATGGCCTCCCAATTCACAGGCCTGTCCTTTGGCCCTCACATCAGAGGACAGGTTAATATGAGCCCGGCCCCAGTCAGAGCCAGCCACTGCCTGACTTCTGGCATCAGGGCCCAAGTGGCAGCTGTGGTGGTAGGTGGACCTTAGGCAGAGGTACCGCCCCACTCACTAAATTTAACCAGCAGCTAGCCCCTGGCCCTCCCCCAGACCTGCTAAGGGCAGCAACCCTCCAACCACAGATGCTAGAAGGGCAGGCGGGCCCTGGACACTGAGCAGACCAGGTCAGTACCCAGCAAGGAGAGGAGGGTAGCCTAAACTCATACCACCCAGTGCGGGTGGCCATGCAGGGCTGCCTACTGTGGACAGAGAGATGATCTGGCAGTGCCCTCAGCCCTCCAGCTTGAGTCCCCTAAGGGCCCCTTCATCCTTACACATTGTACCCAGCCAGCTCAGCGCCTGAGTGGCCAAGTGCTTGTCACCTACACCAGCCCAGGCACAAGTTGTCAGCCAGGGCCCAGGATCAGGGCAACAGGCCACGAATTGGGGAACCACTGCCCCTGGGAAGTGCCTGATGCCGGCCGTGCCAGATTTGCTCTACTGGCTCTGGCCCAGGAATCCTGGAAAAAATACGCCCTCCCTTGGCAGGTCAGGACTCCTGCCCCTTGGTATGGTCCCCCTCAGCTCTGGCCCGAAAAGAGCTTCCTTCTGAAGTACCCTACTGCCCTCAGGAAAACAAAGAGTTAACAGTGCTTCCAGGAAGTCGAATATGGCAGGGAGGGTGTGGGGAAGGCCAGGCTTCTTGCCCAGTGGCCCTTGGGCCTCCCTCCCACACAGGGGCCAGGCCTCTACTTGCGAGCCCCAGCACGCACCTACAGGCCTGAGTGCTTGCTCGTGGGCATGGGCGGCACCTGTCCAGCAGCACCGCCTGCCCCTCCCCAGCGGAGACACTGGAAGGCTTGACGACAAACACCCCTTTATCAAGCGTCACAGGACAAACACTCTGCAGCAGATGCCTGCAGATACGGCTCTGCCTAAGGTCCATCCCCAACAGAGAGTCCACTGTCCTGAGGGGTAGAAGCTGGGGAAGACTCTGGTGTCTGCCCACCTGCAGTTCCAGGGCACACCCTGAGTGGGCCTCCAGGGCAAGCCTCGGGCTGGCCTGGAAATGGGTACAGCCCCTCACATGAGCAAGCAGCATGGCCTCTTCTCCATCGGGGCCTCCTCAGATGGGGCTGTGAGCTTGAGCAGGGGTGGGTCCCCGCCTGCCCTGAAGCCGCAGTCCGGCTGGGAGGACACGGGGTCAGCAGACAAGCCAGATTCAGGGGCCTCAGGCCCCTCAGGCTGTGGTCGCAGGAGCTTGGCAGCAGCCCGCTGGCGTTTGAGTTCGGCCAAGGTGTGGTGGGCCTTGTCCCGGACAAGGGTGTCTGGGGTGGTACTCTCCACAGGGCTCAGCTGGTACGACACACTCCGGTCCAGCCGCTTGGAGTACAGGTGCCGCCCTGGGGGGCCCCCTACTCGGCCATTGTGGGACCTGGCCACCTCAGGGTCATCTTCCTGTGGGCAGAATCAGGGCCCAAGGCTGTCAGGAGGCAGCTCCTCTTACTTGCCCTGGCCTCAGGATCTAGGCTACCTGGTTGTAGAAGAACAACCGTGAGGGGCAGGGGGACAACAGCCCAGCCCTGAGGAGCATGGCCCACCTAGGGGCACAAGGTCACTGGTCCTCCCAGCTCCACACTGGACCAGTGTGAATGGGAAACTCACATACTGATGCCAGGTCACAGCCTAGGACCCATGCCAAAGCCACGTGGAAGGTGGGTAGCACAAGGCCAGGACTCTCACCTCTGGGGGTGGCAGCCAGAGCTCTGCGTCTGTCTGGTGATCCTCATCCTCCTCCAGCGGCTCTGGACTTGGGGGTGGTGGCTGCTGCCACACGATGGCCTCCTGGGCATGCTCCTGGCGGTACAGGTCGGTGCGCTGGGTCAGGCTCACTCGCCTCACCACTTTCCTGGAAGGCCGGGGTGTGGTGGAGGTGAGAGGGGACACCAGCTGTCCCTCAGACCCGGCCTAGTTCTGCTGGCAGCTCCACCTGCAGGCTGACATCCCATCCATCCTGAGGCACAGCCGGGGTGGGGGCTGGGCATGGACTGTGGGGCAGCTCACCCGCGGCTGCCTGCACTGGAGGCGCGGCGGCGCAGCAGGGAGCGCTGGCGGCCCTGGGCTCGCAAGAGTGCCTCCTGCTTCTGCTTCAGCTGCAGCAGCCTGGCCCGCACCTCCTCATCACCACAGACATCTGAGAGATGACCACAAGCGTCACAGGGGCCCTCCCTGCCTGTCCCTTCCCCCAGGTGGAGGCAGCCCTGGAGCTCACCAAGGGGTGTCTCATCCGTCAGGGATCTCCCATTCAGGTCGGCCCCGTTTGCCACAAGCAGCTCCACCAGGTGCACCTGCAGGCCAGCCAGTGGGGGCTGCTGAGGGCTTGAGCCGCAGCCAAGAGCCCGCTCAGCATCTGCTCCTGACCACACTCACCTGTCCCCAGTAGGCGGCAGCGTGCAGCGGCTCCCAGCCGTCGAGGTCCTTGGCACTCAGGCTGGCTCCATGCTCCAGCAGCAGGGCAGCTGCCTCACTGAACCCACTGGCGGCGGCCATGTGCAGCTGCAGGCAGGCCACCCCGCCCTGAATCCCAGTCCCACACCCACCCAACAAGCCCCCAGCCCCTGAACAGACCCCCTCCACGTGGCCAAGTCCTCACCAGTGTGGCTCCATGGTCCAGCGGGTCATTGAGGTCAGCCCCAACATGCAGAAGGCTCTGGAGGTCCTTCAGCATGAGCAGCTCTGGCACGGCCCGGGCCTCCTCAATGCTGTCCTGGGTGATGCCTGTGGAGCAGCAGGCTCAGAGACGGAATGCCCAGGCCCACCCGAGCAGGCAGGCACAGCACACTCACCCCTGTGGGCCATGGCAGTCTCCAGGCAGTCCAGTGTCTGCTCATCCTCACACAGGTCATAAGGCATGTTCCCATCAGTGTTGACTGCCAGGAGATCAGCACCCCTGCAGGGAGGACGGATGAGAGCTGCCGGCTGCTCAGTCCCCTTTCAGCAAGTCCTCCCTGAGCCTCGGACTGCCTTCAGGAAGTGCCAGCAGACATGGGGAGGACTCGTAGGTTCTAGCTGCTGTTGGGAGAGGAAGCCTCTGGGCTCATCTGGCAGCCCCTCAGCTCTGGATCTTGTTCCTCAGGCAGACAGGCCATCCTGCAGTCTACCCATCTGGGCTTCAAGGCCCAAGGCACCCGTCTGTCCCCCATAAATACAGGGTACACCTGCAGGAGGTACGCAGCACTCTGGGGACCCCAGGGAGAAGTGAAGCAAGAAAGCCAAGCAGTTGCTGATTTTGAGCCCACAGATCAGGGGAAGCAGGCCTGGGGGAAGGGGAGCTTGGGGGAGCAAAGGACACAGAGGGGCTGCCTAAGGTTTGGAACCCACCTGCAGCCTGTCACCAGCTCCAAGGGGAGCCTGGGGGCCTGTTTGCTGCATGGCTACTGCTCTACTCAGAGGAGGCACTTATGTGTGATGGCAACAGCCAGTCACCCACACGAGGATCTCTGATCTACTGGAGAGGCCCAGGATGGGGGGAGGAAGGACAGGCTCCTGAACCTGAGGAAGCCACTAACCTCCTCTGCTCCATCCTCCTCCCATCCCCCAGTACTGGGGACTGAGCCCAGATGTGCTTTAACACTAAGTAAAATCCCCAGTCCTATTTATGTGTGTGTGTGTGTGTGTGTGTGTAACTAGGGATTGAACCCAAAGCCACGTCCACCCTTGGCAAAAGCTGAGCTACATCCTCAGTCCTTTTATTAATTGTTACTTTTTTATTTTTTATTTTTTTACTTTAAAGGGCTGGGGATATAGCTTAGTGGTAGAATGGCTGCCTAGCCTGAGATCCTGAGTTTAATCCCCAATACCACCAAAACATTTTTTTTTAATCTTTGAGATAAGATCTAAGTTGCCCAGGCTGGCCTTGAACTTGAGATCCTCCTGTCGCAGCCTCCCAAGTAGCTGGAGTTACAGGGCTTACCACCACTCCCCACTCCACCTTCCTTCCTGTTGGAGAAAAGTCCTCACCAATACCCACGCACACCCTCCGAGACCCACCTGGCCTCTCTGCTCCCCTTACCCCCTTATTCGTTCTACCCTCAACCCTAACCAGAATGGCATTTCTCAGGGGAGACCATGAGAAGGCCCTCCATCCAGAGCTGGTGGTCCAGCCTACCAGGTGGGCCCAAACTATCCCCCAGGGGTCTCAAGCAGGATGGACAGAGGTGAGGACACAGGAAGCCAGGACCTGACCAGCTTCACAGAATAGCCACATGAGCTGCCATCTGTGAGAAAGCCCCTCCATGATAAAGGCCCAATGGACACTACCGGGCAATGAGAAGCTCCACCAGGTGCAGGTGGCCACAGGTGGCTGCAGCATGCAGGGGGGTCCAGCACTCGCTGTCACGGGCATTGACGTCAGCCCCAGCCTCCAGGAGCTGTTGCACCATCTCTCGGAAATCATCAATGCAGCACTGCAAACACACAGCCTGAGTGGCCTGAGCCCTGCCAGCCCCTGCCCTGCCCACCCCGCACACAGGCTGACCTGGTGCAGTGCTGTCAGCCCATCCTCATTGGCCAGGTCGGGGCTGACTCCACTCCTGAGGAGCTGGCGGACTGTAAGAAGGGGGTGGTGACGTCTGGGTGAGGCCTTGACTGGCCTACGCCATCCCTGGCCCAAGGCCACCTGGGCCCATGATGCTGATGCCCAGGGATCAGGGAAGGGAGAAGAAGACTGGTGTAGATGGCAGGAAGCATGCAGACTCAAGGAGCCTGGGGTGTCTGTCTGCCCCAAATAGGCCGCACACACAGCAGCACCAGCCCCTCTCCTATCATGACACCCAACCCCTAAGACGGCAGAACCGGCCCTCCTGTGAGACCGCTTGCCGGTGATTCCACCCTCAGCTCCCAGCGTAGGGGCTTACACTCCTCTGATCTTCCTGATGTTGAGCCCAGCCCCTCAACCAGTGCCTGTCCCTGCCCTTGCTCCCCTTCAGACCACGCTATCGCCAAGGTCCCTGGGGTCCTCTCTGGCCATGCAGCAGTAAGACACGGCTCCTTGTGGTCAGGCCTGTGGCACACATGGCACCCTTCTCCACAGGTCCCCTCTCAGCCTCCAGGTCTCAGGAGGGCTCCTGCACTGTCACTGCCCACTCCTCCTCACCTCTGCCCCCAAAAGACACAGGAAGAGCCCTTAAGAAAAATCAAGAGGTCTCCTCCCCAGACTCCAGAGCCTTGTACTCAGAGGGTCACAAATACGAGGCATGGAGAGGAAGAGGGGCTTGCAGAAAGGTCAGGCTGGCATCAGGCTGGGAAGGCTCCAATGGAAAGGAAGGAGTCAAAGGGAACACTGACGGCAGCGGCGAGAGGGTCAGCCGTGTGGGCTCCGGGTCAGCTTGCCCGACTCTTGCAACTGGAGGTAAGTATGAGCACCCTCCTCTGCAGAGGTGGGACTCAGGGAACAGCTGGCAGAGGCCAGGGCGCTCACCCACAGCCTAGCATCCTTACAAGAGGCGGTGAGAGTTGTCAGCCTGCTCAGCCCCACACACTGGATGCTTCTGCAGGCCCTGATGGGCGCCCCCTGCAGCCTGGTACTCTCTCAACTGGCCTGCCTCACAGCAGGACCTTTTGCATGAGGCCTCTGCTGAAGAAGAGCTGTCTCAGTGGGGGTTGTCCTAACCAGAGACCCTGGTTGCCCTGTGGCTAAAGCCCAAGAGTGCTGGACGGGCACAGGCCCAGCCCAGAGCCCAACACACGATGAGGCCACGCCCACATGGATGGGAGTGCCATTGTGTACCACCCTGGGACAAGTGCACTCACCTTCTTCCAGGTCATTTCGGGCAGCAGCTTCCAGAAGGACAACGCTGGGAGGGAAGACAACTTGCTTCGGGGGCCCTCGGCCAGCTGCCTCCTTCTGCAGCTGCCTCCACTTGCCTTTTTTGGCCTGGGCCTCCTTCTCAGCCTGGGCCCAGATCTTCACCTGCTGGGCACGCCGCTTCTGGGCATGCTTCAGCCGCTCCTGGGTGCTCATCTTGCCCACCATGGGCATCTCTGCCAGTAGTTCCAGGTGCTCAGCCATGGTCGGGGGTGTCTACCCACAGGGCTGCTTGGGGTACCACAGTGCAGGGGATGGGGGTCAGACCAGGCTTGAGTGGCAGAGCAGCTGGCTGGACTGACACCTCTGAGGGCATTCCCTTCCTGAGGCTTGTGCCCTTGGCCCCTGGCGAGGCTGTGATCAGGCCCAGGCAGCCCTGAGGGGCACAGCCCAAGAAGGAAGGGCGTGTAAGGATACCACAGCTGGTCCCACGCAGGCCTGGCCCCTTGGTTGCTCAGATAGCAGGGTCTCTACACAGGCAGCACCTCACTTCCCTTTTGAGATCAGGGTACACCTATTGTGGGACGTAGCCCTAAGACCTGGCTGGACTCAGTCCAGGGTCTGAAGCTAATTACCCAGATAACAAAGCTCTAGCTTCCTGGTACCTTGCCAAGGGAGAGGGAGGGCAGGGCCAATCCACAGTGGGCCCTGAGAGCCCCTTGGAGCTTCTGCTCTTTCTAGGCCTCAGGAGCCTGGCTGGGGTCAAGGAGCAGTCATGGCCTGGCCCTGCCTGCACCCTCCTGATGGTGCTCCAGTCGGCACAGCAGGACCAATGAGGTGGGCCACATAAGGTCAGCCCTAGGCAGCCAGGGTACAGAGGACACAAGGCGCCTGTCAGTGTGTCTTCAGGGGAGCCTCCCCTTTTGGCAGCCACATACACCTGAAGAGCAAATAAGGAAGCACATCAAGGCCAGCTCAGAGGGTGGGGCAGAGAGGCTCTGGTGAGACCACTCCCGGCCACCCTGGGGTCCTGCCTTGTGTGGGGCCACCTTCTACCTGTGGAACACAGTGCAGGGCAATGATCCTTGGGGGGCTGCTCAGCTCTCACACTTAGGAAAGGCAGGATGAAGGGCACCTCAGGCTCCCTACCCACCCTCTGCAGGATGCCCAGGCACACCGCTGGGAGCAGAGTCAGGAGCACTGCCCACAGGCAGCCATCCCTGTGTGCTGTGTGGGCAAAGTCTGCCCTGAGTCCCTGCTTCACGCCCTGCCTCCTTGATCTTGGCCAGTGATGAGCTCCCCAGCCCCTCACTCTACCAAATGCTCCTGCTCCTTGCCAGGCTCCCTGACCGGGCCAGCCAACACTCCAACCACCCTGGGAACCTGGGCTGTATGGTTACAGGCACAGGTGACCGACCTGGCTGGAGGTCTACAGGGACCAACAGGCAAACAGCTTAGGCTGTAAGCTGAGAGGTACAACCTTGCTGGAGTGCCCATCTTGGCCCCTTTCCTCGCAAGCCATGGTCACCCACTGCTCTGTTCCTCAGAAGGAACAGTCACACACTGCCCAGAATCCTATTCTCCACACAGCCAGGCCTCTCGGCAACCTAGACACTAACCCCATTTCCCCCTAGCCAAGGGTCTCAACAAACACCCCTTTTGCCTTGAAGGGGACTGCGACGCCAGATGCCGCTAGGCTGGCCAGGTCCCTTCTGACAGGTCTGACCTGGTAGAGTTAGCCCCTGTGAGCTTGGTCTGAGTTTCCTAGGGGCAGAACCAGTAGGGCCCTTAGCCCTGGACTGGTGTGCTCTCCGTAGGTCAAGAGGTTTCCCAACAGAACTCTGCTGTGAGCAGCCTGCTCCAAAGTTGGCCACCACTGCAGACTGCTAGGGCCAGGGCTGACGTAAACCAGCCCAACACCCTGCCCAGACTCCCCAGTCCTGCTGTCACCCTCTCAGGTCCATCATCCCTACTCAAGACAACCAGGCTGGGTTCTGCAGGTACCCTGCTAGCTCCTCCAGCATAAGGACAAGGATTCCAGACCCTGCCATGTGACAGAGTCCTCCCTGCTGCCACCCATGGTAGATATCCTCCTCCCCAACAGGGCTGACAAGGTGGGACCTGCATCTCTCTGTCATCAGGATTCTGTCAGGGAAGTGGCCCCAGTCTGCCCCAAGAGGTCACAGCAAAGAGGGAGGCCCACTGCCCTGCCTGCCCCATCTCTGTCCAATGAAGGTAAAGAAAATGATACAAGACCACCTGATCAAATAGCCACACCCACCCCATCACTGGGTAGAAAGATATATATATATATTTTTTTGCACTGGCAAAATTGAACCCAGGGGTGCTTAACCACTGAGCCACATCCCCAGCCCTTTTCATGTTTTATTTTGAGACAAAATCTTGCTAAATTACTTAGGGCTTCACTAAGTTGCTGAGGCTGGCTTTGAAATTGCAATTCTCCTGCCTCAGCCTACCAAGCTGCTGGGATTACAGGCATGTGCCACCAAGCCTGGCTGATATAAAGATGTCTGATGCTTTTGTCCTACAGAAGAAAAATAATCTGAGGACAGCAACCACTTTCTCTTGTGTGTGTGTGTATTGGACTAGGGACTGAACCCAGGGGCTCTCTAACACTGAGCTGTACCCCAATCCTTTAAATAAATAAGTAAATAAATATTTACACATTTATTTGTGTGTATATGTATGTGTGTGTGTGTGTGTGTGTATATATATATATATATATATATATATATTTTTTTTTTTTTAAATACGACTTGCTAAATTGCCCAGACTGACCTGGAACTTGAAATCCTTGTGCTCAGCCTCCTGAGCAGCTGGGATCACAGGTGTGGCCACCATGCTGGCAACAACCATTTTTCAAATGGAACACAGCTGACTTTTAATGTTCTCATTCTGAGGCCCCCTCAGGATGCAGCATGAACCCTCTGGCTGCTATGAAAAGAGTGAGCATGGGATGCTCTGTCTTTCCCCATATGGCTCCCCAAAACAGTCCCCACCCCTGGATGCACCCACCTTGCTGAGCTCTCTGCTGGAGGCTGACTGAGCACAGTCTCCACCTGAGCTAGGGTCAGTCCCTACCCTGCTTGACTCCTTCCTCTGAAAGGACGTGCCCAGAGAGCCCAAGGAGGCCCAGGCCCACCGTGAAGGCACCCACCCCAGACAGTCGCCTTTCAGGGGTGTCCAGCACCCACCTCCACCCAGTAAAGCTATAAACTCCAGTGCCCTCGTTCCCCAGATGCTGCCTGCCTATCCGTCCTCCAGAAGCCAACCTCAAAGTGGGCAAGCCCAACAAATGGCCACCACACCACAAATCGTCTCCAAGCCTCCCTGGAATGTCAAACAGATAATCTGGTTGACTTATTCTAGTTCTCAGCTCCAAGCCCAGGCAAGCTGCACAGAAGAGTGGAACCCCGTGGGGAGTAGCCTCCCAGATGGATATTGGCCGCATCCCCACCTCTCAGCCTCCCACCACTGAGCCACCCCTAGACTGCAGAGAGCACCATGGGGCAGCATCAAGGCAGCACCCAGATCCAGCCCAGGCTCCAACGGTTCTAGGATGACCTGACTTCCCTGGCCTGATACCCTCAGCACCACCCCACCCTGCCCCCAGCCACAGCCTTCCTCCAGCAGGTCCTCGCCATCATCCCCACGCCTAACCCAGAGCTGCCCTGTTAACTGCTCCACCACAGTGTCTCACACACCCACCTCAAGACCCCCACTGTACAGTGAGAGCCCAGAGTCTGATGGCTATGAAGCACAAGTCACCTTATTTGTCCAGAGACAGGGACGAGGCAGGTGGAGGTGCACTCTGTTCACAGAAGGAAAGAAGACACTAGGAGCTACAGAGAAATGCCAAGAAGGGGAAGAGCCTGGGGCACTTGTTACAGGCTCCTGTTCTCAGGGTGCATACAGGTGCACCTCAAGGGTGCTAGTGCATCCCCAGGCCTGAAATGTCCCCTCTGACAGCCCTTCTGGGAGCACCCTCTGAAGCCCGAAAGCGAATCAGGCAGAGGGACAGGATAGTGTCAGGGAGGCAGGAAGAGATCCTCCTGCTGTGGCTGTATACCATGGGGGAAAGCATACACACAGTGGGCAGCAGAGAGCACTGGGTAGCCAGTACAGGAGTCCCAGGAAGCAACATGGCTAGCCTGGCATCCTGGCCTGCCTCCTTCAGTCCAATTCTGGGGGACTTTACATTTCTGTGATGCTTGTGCTTGTTGCAACTGGTTCCCGTAACTCACAACCAGAAGAGTTCATATTGTTTGTACCAATATCTATCATGGCAAAAAATGGGAGACTCCCTAGACGCCCATCATTCTGGGAAAAGTAAATCATGGCTAGGCACAGTAGAGCACACCTGTAATCCCAGCGACTCAAGAGGTTGAGATAGGAAGATCATAACCTCAAGGCCAGCCTCAGCAACTTAGCGAGACCCTGTCTCAAAATAAAAAATAAAAAGGGCTGGGATGTAATTCACTGGTAGAGCACCCCTAGATTCAATCCCCAGTACGAAAAAAACAGTCAATGACATGGAGCCATTCTGTAGAACAATGTCTATAGCGTGCATCTGTCAACAAGAGGCAGAATGCAGTGCCTTGGGAGAGGGGCTGCAACATGTGGGCACCAGGTGCAGGGGCCGGCAGAATGCCACGAGAACTGTGCCTGGGGGTCTCAGCGAACCACATGAAGCCTGCTTAGCCACTGGGGAGGAGGACCCATAGGAGGCAGCTCTATGCTCAAAGGCCTGTACCCTGAGGCCATGGGCAGCCCCACGCAGTGAAGGACAAATGGTCACTCTGATCACTGTGGATGTAGGAGGCAGTGCAGGCCATCCCCAGGGCTCATCACTGGGGTATTCCTTGTGTTCATTGTGAAGTACCTGAAGTGCCATCCGGCCACTCAATGCAGCAGAATTTATGACATAAAACACAGAAAAGCAACTAAATGTCTATCAAAGGGGATTAATTAAATAAACTCTTATTGGAAGCCAGGCATGGTGAAACACACCACTAATCCCAGCAACTCAGGGCTGAGGCAGAAAGACAGCAAGTTCAAAGCCAGCCTCATTAAACTTAGCAAGATCCTATCTCAAAATAAGAATAAAGAGTACTGGCATCGAGGGCTAGGTTGTGGCTCAGTGGTAGAGTGCTTGCCTAGCACATGTGAGGGCACTAGGTTCGATCTTCAACACCATGTAAAAATAAATAAATAAAATAAAGGTATCGTGTACATCTACAAATTTAAAATATTAAAAAAAAAAAAAGAGTGCTGGCGTCAGGCAAGGTGGTGCATGCCTATAATTCCAGCAGCTCAGGAGGCTGAGGCAGGAGGATTGTGAGTTCAAAGCCAGCCTCAGCAAAAGCGAGGCACTAAGAAACTCGGTGAGATCCTGTCTCTAATCTAAATAAAATATAAAATAGGGCTGGGGATGTGGCTCAGTGGTCAATTGCTCTTGAGTTCAACCCTCTGTTACCCCCCACACACACACGAAAAGAATGTTGAGGATGTAGCTTAGTGGTACAGCACCACACCACACACACACACACACACACACACACACACACAAGTACACTTATCTATTTTTTTTTTTTAGTTGTAGATGGATACAATACCGTTATTTTATTTATTTCTTTTTATGTGGTGCTGAGGATCAAACCCAGGGCCTCACACCCAGTGCTAGGCAAGCGCTCTGCCACTAAGCCATCACCCCAGCCTGTACACTTATCTATGCATAAGAAACATGAAAAAGTAAAACAAGAAATGAATGAGTGGGGACAGAGCATGGAAGAAAGGACTTCTCTACTGCTGCACTTGGACCACGTGAAGACCACCCTCGGGAAGCAGAGCTACAGAGCCACTGCACAGGGACAAGGTCAGGGCCAGGAGGAGAAAGAACATGTGCTGTGTGCTACGCAAAGGGTATGGATGCAGGGGAACCAAGGCCGCTCGGTGGCTGCGTGGACAGTACAGCATTCTGTCCACCAGCTGTGGGAACCAAGAAGGCTCTCAGATGAATGCATGACATGATCAGATTATGCCAGAGGATGAAGAGGAAAGGTATGGGGCAAGGAATGGACATGAGGACAGTCCAGGGAGATGATAAAAGGCAAGACTGGGGAGCAATGGGCAGCCACAGTGAGAAAAGGCCAGGAAGTGCAGATGGAATGGTCCCGAGTAGGAGGACTTGCATCTAGAAAGGAGTGCACAGAGCCTAGGTGGTCCTCAGGGCAGCAGGGAGAGCCCCTCAGAGCCCACAGAGCCACCAGAGGTCCACTGGGCCGCACAGGGAAGGACTCTAGGTATGAAGTGCCACAGTAAGAAGCACTTACTTACTGGGAAACAGCAGGGCCCTCCTCACTTCTCACACCAAAATGAACTCCAGAGAGCACACACATGACGTTGAGAGAAGCAAAGCCACAGGAGTACAAGAAGGACAAAAAGGAAAACGTTCTGTGGTCCCAGCACAGTGGGAAACCTTCCTAAGCTTGCCACAAAACCCAGAAACTTACAAATCCAATTAAATTTTCAAAGTTTATATTATAAAAGCAAAACAAAAAAATCCTACAAGGTCAAAAGACAGATGATCAAGGCTGGGGCTGTGGCTCAGCAATAGAGTGCTCGCCTAGCATGCGCGAGGCCCTGGGTTCGATCCTCAACACCACATAAAAATTAATAAAAATAAACAAAATAAAGGTATTGTGTCTAACCAAAAAATAAATAATAAAAAAAAGACAGATGATCAATTGGGCAAAAACACAAAGAGAGTGACAAAGTCACTCAGGTCACTCAGGTCAGCATAGCAGCAAAGGGCTCCTTGTGCCCAAGGAGAGAGGGCACAAGTCCTGAGATAAGATTGCTATTCACCTCCCTAAATAATTAACACACACAGATCAAAAGGAGGCAGCCAGGTGAGGAGGCCCATGCCAGCTACTGAGGAGGTGGAGGCAGGAAGATCCCAAGTGTTCAAGGCCCCAGGTTCCACCCGCTCTGTACCACCAATACCACAGAAAGCCTCCCCTCCTTTCCCGATGCTTCTCATGTACTCTTGGCATGACACTTAGCAGAACAGTATGAAATAGAAACCTTCCACTATTTTGGCAGGACTGGGGACTGAACCCAGAGGTGCTCTACCACTGAGTTACACCCCCAGCACTTCTCCCCACCCCCCATTCTGAGAAAGAGTCTTGCGGAGTTGCCCAGGCTGGCCTTGAACTTGTGATTCTCTGTCAGCCTTCTAAGTAGCTGGGATTACACGCTAAGCCACCACACTGGGCTTCCACTATTTTTGCTCTACAAAATGAAATGTTATTTAGCTCAGTAACAACTGTCTGCTGACCACCCTGTGAGGAAGGAGGACCCACGCCATCCATACATCTATGCACGCCATTCTCCTAGCCCACTCCGGCCTGGGGGTAGAGCTATGCGTGAAACACATGGGGGTCTGACCAGACTAATTGTGAGCTCTAGCAGCAGCATCTGTCAGCAATGGAGAATCTGGGGGGGGTGGATCTCCCCAGAAGTCAGGGCAGGCTCTAAATCTCCCTTCTCATTTCCCTTTCCTTTTGCCACATGACTCCAAAACACATCTAATAAACTCACAGAAAAGTGTCAGCAGACGTGCCCAAATGAAAGCAGATAGGCAGCCAGAGACGTCTGCATTTAAAAAGAGACTCAATGAGCACTGAAGATAAAAGCCAAGATTCCCAGAAAGACAACAAGACAGGGAAGACTTCCAGCAGCCCCTGCAAAACAAATTTAGTAGAAGCCAGGGCCACGGGCACCACTCCACTGAGCAGCCTCATTTAGCCTTGGGGCTCTAATGCCCCATGGGACCCGCACTATATAGATCTGGAAACTAAGGTCTGCCAAGTACAACAGTGAGAAAACCAAAATCACAAAAGTGAGCTTTGAAGGGGACAGCGTTATAACCCTGGGTTTGCTCTGGCTCAAAACTTACTCCCCCTCAGAGAATGAGCCTCGTCAAGATAGGACAGCAGTCAAGACATCTATCTGGCAGCAGGGCTGCTGCTTATGGTTCAGGCCTGGGAGCTGTGGACACAAGAGGTATTTGAATATCCCAGACTTAGAACAGGAGACCTGTGGAGTCTAGATGACCAACAATGCCCACATTGTCTGAGACCCCATCCAAACAAGGAAACAACAAGGGGACATCCCAGGGAAGACAGTTCACAATTACTCAGCAAATTCCTATAAACTGGATGGAAGAAAGGTGGGGGCTGGCAGAGCACAGATATCCCCCAAGGTCACTGGGAAGAGAAATCATAGAGGGACACAATACGTAGGATGACAAAGTTTTAAAAAATCAGGAACATGACAAAGGGGACCTGTGATGTGTAAAAGAGCAGATTCCAGGCTGGGGTTGTGGCTCAGTGGTAGAGCACTTGCCTAGCATGAGTGAGGCAGTGGGTTTGATTTTCAGCACCACATATAAATCAATAAACAAAGGTCCATCAACAACTAAAATATATATACACACACACACATATATATACATATATGCACATATACAGAGGCAGAGACAGACATGCACACAAGCAGATTCCTCTGAACCCCAACATTCTTAGTGGGGTGCAGAAGTTGGGACACTGGCCAGGCGTGGTAGTGTATGCCTGTAATCCTAGCAGCTTGGGAGGCTGAGGCAAGAGGATACTTTGAGCCCAGGAGTTTAGGGCCAGCCTGGGCAACATAGAGAAACCCCAAGTAAAAGTACTTCAAAAAAGAGTAAAGACAGCCAGGCACAGGGGCAGCTGCCTATAATCCCAGTAGCTAGGGAGACTGAGGCAGGAGGGTCTCCAGTTCAAAGCCAGCCTCAGCAACAGCAAAGTGCTAAAGCAACTCAGTGAGACCCTATCTCTAAATAAAATACAAAATAGGGCTGGGGGGGCTGGGGTTATGGCTCAGCGGTAGAGTGCTCGCCTCGCACATGCAGGGCCCTAGGTTCGATCCTCAGCACCACATAAGTAAAATAAAACAAAGCTATAAAAAAAATTTTTTTTAAAGTGTTAAAAAAAAAAAATAGGGGCTGGGGATGTAGCTCAAGCAGTAGCGCGCTCGCCTGGAATGCGTGTGGCCCGGGTTCGATCCTCAACACCACATACAAACAAAGATGTTGCATCCGCAGAAAACTAAAAAATAAATATTAAAAAAATTTCTCTCGCTCTCTTAAAAAAAAAAAATAGGGCTAGGGATGCGGCTCAGTGTTTGAGTACCCTTGAGTTCAATCACCAGTACCAAAAAATTTTTTTTAAATAAAAATAAAAGGGCTGGGGATGAGGCTCAAGCGGTAGCACGCTCACCTGGCATGCGTGCGGTCCAGGTTCGATCCTCAGCACCACATACAAACAAAGATGTTGTGTCCGCCAAGAACTGAAAAATAAATATTAAAAAATTCTCTCTCTCTCCCTCTCTCTTTAAAAAAAAATAATAAAAATAAAAAACAAGGGCTGGGGATGCAGCTCAGTGGTAGAGTGTCTCTGGGTTCAATTCCCGGTACTGTAAAAGAAAATAATAAGGAAAAGAAAAGAAGGAAGGAAACTAGGAACCAGCTGGACTGAGAGTGTAGCCCAATAGCCACCTGTAGTCCCACAAACACAAGTGGCTCAAGGCCAGCCTGAGCAACTTACTAAGATCCTGTCTTAAAATAAATGGGCTGGGGTTGCAGCTCAGTGGCAGAGAGCTTGCCTAGCATGTATAAGGACCTGAGTTCAATCTGTAGTATCACCAAAAAAAATTATTAAGACAAATCATTTTTCTAATTGTCTCTCCCCCTACATACCTCATACTGGGGATTGAACCCAGGCATGTTCTACATTCCCAGCCCTTTTTTATTTTTTATTTTGAGACAAGGTCTCACTAAATTGCTCAGGCTGGCCTCAAACTTTTTTTTCTTTTTTTGATACCCAGGGGCGCTTAACTACTGAGCCACATCCCCAGACCTTTTATATATTTTATTTAGAGACAGGGTCTCGCTGAGTTGCTGAGTTCCTCGCTAATCTGCTGAGGCTGGCTTCGAACTCTCATCCTCCTACCTCAGCCTCCTCGAGTTTCTGGGATTACAGGCATGCACCACTGCGACTGGCTTCAAACTTTTGATCCTACTGCCTCAGCCTCCTAAATCACTGGGATTACAAGCATGTACCTTCACACAAGGGGCCTACAAGTCATTTTTCCAGGCAAAAGATTTGAACAGACACTTCATGAAATAAGATATACAGCCAAGGAGCTGGGACTGTGGCTCAGTGGTAAAGCATTTGCCTGACACTTGTGAGGCGCTGGGTTCGATTCTCAGCACCACATACAAATAAAGCACATGAAAAGATGCTCAACACCCTTCAAACTCAGAAAACTACAAATTAAAACCACCGTGAACTACCAGGACACACACATCTATGAGCATGGACAAAGTTTAAAAGGATTGGAGTTGGAGATGTGGCTGGGTGATAAAGTCAAACCCGAGATAGTTACAGAATAGGCTTGCCTACTGTCAACCTCACCCCACCTTATGGAAGCTATTGCTTCTATCTGGAAAGTTCTCCTACCAAATCTTAGGATCATTGGCTCCTTCTGGCATCTCAGATCAAGTCTAATGTCTTCCTCAGCAGTCTTCTATGGTCACCTCATTGTCAACACATTTTAATTTCTGACATGCCGCTTACTGTTGGCTTCCCTGCTGTATCCTCAGAGCTCAGCCAATGCCTGACTTACAGGAAGCACTCAATAACTGGTGGACAAACAGGAGAACAGCCACTGCATGTGCCAGCATTGGGGGTACCAACAGAATGGGACACGGGATGGGACAAGGAAAGGTTCACTCAGCTGTGCACACCAACATGCCAGGCACATCGAGGAGGTAGTTCCAAGAAAGCCTAGAGGTGAGAGAAGAGCCTTCAACTGCCACCCAGATGTCTTCTCTTGGCCAATGGGTAGATGTGGCATAGGCACTGGGGTGGGGCTGAGCAGGTGTGGAATCTAGGGGCTGAAACAGTCTGTTGGGATGCCTAAGACTGAAGTTCCTAAGCTCCATGCAATGGAGACATACAAGTAACCAGATATTGATACAAACCAGAGATTCAGAAATCCCTAAAACACAGAACCCAAAGTTGAGCCCAAAGACACAGAGCCCCCTCTCTTGGGGCCTGCCAGCCAAGACAACCCTCGGTGGAAAGCAAAGTTCAGGCATACCCTGAGCTGGTGAGGGAGGATGCCAGGAAGGCTATTCAAGATACAGGAGGTGGGCCTCAGCTAATAGGGGAAAACCCAGCCCAGATATCAGGAGAAAAACGGACCTCCTTAAAGCTTGTCCATCACAGCACTGAACGTGATGGGAAGACTTGGAACAGGGTCAGGCAGCTGGCCTCTCAAAGCTGTCCATCACAGTGACAAACACGGAGCAGCCAAGGTTTGTGCAGGTTTGGGCAGTCACCAGCCTCTAAGACCACTCAGTTTCATGCTGGAGTTCCCCAAGTTGGTTCATTGGGGACTCTGGATACCAGGCTGCCACAGACAAGAGGAATCTTTCAGGAAAACCCTAGTCCTTCCAGGAAACACCTGGGGAGCAAAGACCCCCAGGAGGTGTCACTGCTGAGCCTGAGAGAACGCCGTGGTACCCTGGCCTCCGCCTGCATCCCAAACAAGGACCAGGAAGAAAGGAGGGCTAGTTTTGCTCTGGCTCCCTTGCGCCTGGGATAACTCCATACACACCTCTTCTCGTTGAACCGGTGGAAATCAACCCCACCAGGCCCTGAGCTTTCGGTCTGGTTCAGCCAGAGGCGAAATCAGCTTAAGCACTTTTCACGGGTTGATTAGTACTTCACGCCTGACCCCAATTCGCGAAGCGTCGCCCACAGTCCCGCCTAAAAGTGAGGTCCCTTGAATTCCTGAGTGGCTCCAATTTCTCCTTTCCCCTGACTCCAAAGCACGCACCGAGAGTGGACAAGTCTCTTTTCTGTGGCCCTAATGTCCACATCTGAAATTAAGACCTAGATAGGTACTGCCTACATGACCAGCAGGCTGCAAGAACCACACCTGCCATTTGGACAAATGGGACACGCCTACTGGTGGCCTCCGCAAGCGGCCCTTCCGGAAGCCTCTCCGGACCCTTGGCAATCGCTGCCCGATCGGGGCCGCAGAGGCGCTCCGCGGCGGCCCGCCTCCTCCGCACCGGCCCTCCCGAGCTTCGCCGCCCTCCCCGCGCCGCCCCGAGTCACCTTCGGCCCGCAGGCTGCGCACTCGGTCCGGCCCCGCGGCGGGCCAGGCGGCCCCGCGCTCCTTCAGCGCCGCGGGGGCGGGCCCCGCGCCGGCCTCGCCATGGCAACGCGACACTTCCGGTCTGCCAGGTCCCGAGCGGAAGTCGCAGTGCCCCGTGGGAGCCGGGGGGTGGAGTCACGCTGCCCGAGGCGGGGCCCGGGGAGTTCACGCAGCTGGCAGCGCCTTTCCTCTGCGCTGGTGGGCGCCGCGGTAGCGCGAACGTCCCCTGATTTCGGGTGGGTGGGAAGGACAAGTGGCAAATGATCCGGAGAGGTGGTCGTCCATTCGTGCTAGGCTTTGAAGAAAGGGTAGTAGGAGTCTATCGATCAAAGCAGAGCCTTGGTGGGCGGAGTGAAGAGCGCGTGCCAAAACGGCAGGCCCGGACTGCCCGGAGGAATGGGCAGCAGCTCTTGTGGTAGCTGGGGGCCCGAGAGAGAGAGAGAGAGAGAGAGAGAGAGAGAGAGAGAGAGATGTGTGTGTGTGTGTCAGAGAAGAGCAGCTAGAAGGAGCACTTTACCCTAGCAGCAAGGGAGGACCAGTGGAGAACACCCTCAGACTTTTAGAGAGAACGTCCTTGTCAAGTAGAGCTAAGAGTCCATAGGTGTTACCCTCCTGAGACACAAGGACCCCTCAGTGAGAGTCCTGGAACTGAAGAGAGGAGAGAGCCCCGAGAGTGCCAAGGTGATAGGAGTCTAGAGAAAGCCAGATGCTGTCTGAAGGGAGAGTCTGGTAGTGAGAAAGAGCACCACCAGAGGGTGGCTGGAGCAGTGTGGTGCCCCACGTTCATCTCCCACCTCCGCCCCAGTCCCTCCTCCAGTGCACTCATGACTCCTGTCTTTTGCCTTTGGCACCTCATACCCATTGTATGCTGCAGGTCAACCATTTAGCATGCTAATAAAGGGTTCCTGCACATCTAGGGGCCCTTGGCTTTGGTATCAGCACCAACCACTACAGCTAGTGCCCTGACTCTGAAGCTCTCTTGGGCAAGCTTGCCTGGTATAGGGAGAAGAAACTGGGCTTTGGGTCTGGGTACAGATCACAGGTTTTGACTGGCCCCAGGTGCAGAGCCAAGGAGAAGGGGCTCATCTGAACTCTGTAGCACATTCCTGGGAAAAAATCACTTGAGTTCACTGTACCCATTCCCATTTTGCTTCTAGGATGGGGACTTCACAGTCTTTCCCTTCAGGAAGTGTTTCTGATCATGTTCCTTAAGTCCAGCCCATAGGACCCAGGTTCTACTGGCAGCTTTGTCTTGAACACCCGTCCCTTCTTGGCAACTGGCATGGACAAAAAGTCATTCCTATCTGTTAAAGGGGAGCCTGAGACCTGCCCTAGGCCGACAAAATAAGGAGGAGGTGGTACCCTCCTACTAAGGGCTTTTCCTTCAAGCTCCTGGGAGATGCCGAGCTTCCAAAGGCAACCTGGGAATGGGGAACTGTGGCTTCAGGAGGTCACCTGAAGTCCGAACTGGAATCCTCTCTGCCCCTCCCTTCCAGATTAACCGAAACCTGCTAATTGTGGCAGCCCTTGCAACTCCCCTCCCCCACAGCCTTTTCCTCCCTCCCCTCCCCCTTCCATCCGAATGATAAAGGGCCCGGCCTGCCTGCCCCAGCCAGGCCTCAGGCCCCAGGCCCAGCCTCCCCACACTACCCCACAGTCCTGAGCCTTCCAGGAGGCCAGGCCCCTACCCACGCCTACAGACTCCCCTGCATGGGGCCCCAGGATCCAAAGCCAGCCTCGCAGCCCCCCAAGAGAAGAAAGAAGAGATACCTGCGGCATGACAAGCCCCCCTACACCTATTTGGCGATGATCGCCTTGGTAATTCAGGCTGCACCCTCCCGCAGGCTGAAGCTGGCCCAGGTGAGAGGCTCCCCCGCCTTCCTCGTGCCCCGCGCTGGGCCTTTTCCCGGACTGGCTCCCCAACTCTCTCACTCTCAGGTGTAGCTTCCACCCAAACCTGGCCCACCCAGCTCTGCCACTGGGACCAGTCATGGAAGCCGAGGGACTCAAAGCGACCTTTCTTTCGGACCCTCCCCACCGCGTCTCCCTCTGGCGCATAAGTTTCCTCTGAGGGGGGTGCCCCTGAGCAGGGCTGTGAGGGAGGGGTGGGGTGCTGCCCCCCGCCTCGGCTCACTGCGCCGGTCAACCCCCGGTTTCAGATCATCCGTCAGGTCCAGGCCGTGTTCCCTTTCTTCAGGGATGACTACGAGGGTTGGAAGGACTCCATCCGTCACAACCTTTCCTCCAACCCGTGCTTCCGAAAGGTGGGGCCCTCGAAGGTCGGAGCCGGGGGGCGGGGCGGGCGAGTAAGCCCCAAGCATCCGGGATTAGGCGGCCCCACCCAAACCTACCGCCCCCCCAGGTGCCCAAGGACCCTGCGAAACCTCAGGCCAAGGGCAACTTCTGGGCCGTGGATGTGAGCCTCATCCCGGCAGAAGCGCTACGCCTGCAGAACACAGCCCTGTGCCGGCGCTGGCAGAACCCGGAGGCCCGCAGAGCATTCGCCAAGGACCTGAGCCCTTACGTGCTGCATGGCCAGACCTACCGGCCGCCCACACCCCATACGCCACCCAGCGAAGGCTTCAGCATCAAGTCCCTGTTAAGGGACCCCGGGGAGAGAGCACCCTGGCCCCAACAGTCCAGCCAGGCTGGACAGAGCAACCCAACTCAGGCAGACACAGGCTGCAGTGGGGAGGAGGTGGTGCCCACTCCACACTTACCCTCCTCTGAAAGGCTTCTGTGGCCTCTCTGCCCTCTCCCAGTGCCCACAGGAATGGAGAGGGAGACTTCCCAGGGGACAATCATTGGGCCCTCAGGCTTATCCCCAGAGCCCAGAACCTGGCCCTTGCACTACCTGCAAAGTACCTCCAACGCCGGGGTACTGTCCAGTGGGGGATGCAGGGCCTCCCTGTGGGGACAGTTGCCCACCTCCTACTTGCCCATCTACACACCCAATGTGGTAATGCCTTTAGCCCCACTACCATCCACTTCCTGTCCCCGGTGTCCACCTTCAACCAGCCCAGCCTACTGGGGGGTGGCCTCTGAATCCCAAGGGTCCCCAAGGCTGCTCTGGGATCTAGACACTCTCTTCCAGGGAGTACCACCCAACAAGAGCATCTATGATGTGTGGGTCAGCCACCCTCGTGACATGGCTGCCCCTGCTCCAGGCTGGCTGCTTTCCTGGTACAGCCTCTGAAGCTTTCTAGAGCAGGGGTTGCTTCTCTCCCCATCTCCTTGATGGGGAACCAAGGTAGGAAGATGTCTGTAGCCCCAATAGGCTCCAGCCTTGCTTAATGAGAGTCCACAATGTTTATTGGGCTGCTCCAGAAAAAGCTGCCACTCAGCTGGGCACCAACCTGGGCTTGGTCAGTCTTGCCTCTCTGCCTCCCCCTACACCCAGGGGCAATGCTAAAGGAGCAGGACTCAACCTGGAGTAGCAAATCATGATTCTATCTTCAGGCCTAGCCCATCTATCTATTCATCCATCACCATCTGTCACCTCCCTCCTGGCTCCAGGCTGGGGGAGGGAGCTCCTTAATGGTGGGTCCAGCCTGAAGTCCTGCCATCCCTCAACTGTCTGAGGAGGTAGCACCTTTTGGGGAAAGGGTTAGGGAATAAAAACTGGACCCTACATAGACTTGAAGTGGTGGTAGTGGTGTAACATTAAAAGAATTTACAGCATTTTAATGCCTAGTCTTATTTTTGGAGCAGAGGTGGTGACCTGGGAAACTCCTTGGCCAGAGTCATGTCTGGTTCCTGTGGCTCTGGGATCCCCTGCTGTGTGCTGTGATAACGGCAAATGGTGATAAGGAGGGAGCTGAGGGCCTCTGACTCAGTGGGGTGGGGCAAAATCAATTCTCCAGGCTCTTCTCTGGCTGGGGTTGTGGGGAGCAACTCTGGAAGTTTGGAGAGAAGTAGGCCCCCAGAAGTCAAGAAGATTGTCTTGGGAGACCCGATATAGGAACTGTACTGCTGCCTCTGCCAGCAGAGTTATATCCCCAGGTCTCTTGTGCAGGGCCTCCACCCAAGACTAGGGGGGAAGGTCCCCTGAGGGCCCTAGGGCAGAGCATGAGCCGCTGTCAGGGCTGGGGCTTGGAGGGCTGACAGGAGACCTCGTAGGAGTGCAGGGGGTCCCAGTAAGTGGGGTGTCGGTACTGAGGGAGGACGGGGTCTCGGAGCGTGGTGCCTTGCGGCGCCGTGCTGGTCCCAGCTCCACCTGACCCACTCGCTCCGCAAACTTGAGCGAACAGACGGTCTCCCCGAGATCCTCTGGCCGCGTAGAGATCTGAGGAGGAAAAGTGCTTGTGGGCCAGCCTGCGGTGCTTCACACACAAAGGACCCTCCTGCACTCCACCCGCTGCTGCCGGGGCGCACACCTGTAGAAGCAGCACAGCAGTGGTACCCGGACCAAGCGCAGGCTGCAACAGACGTGTGAGCTGCGAGTCGCGGAAGGGCACGTGGGACCGGCGGGCACGCAACGCAGCCATCACGCCTCCCAGCGCCAGCAGCGAGCGGTTGATAGTCTGGGCCTCCCGCAGACGCTGGGCACTGTTGGGATCTCCTCGCTGCGTGCCAGTAGCTCCCGCCTTCCAAGCACGCTCAGATCCCGCCAGGTCCACCAGGTGCAGCGTGCCTGCAAAGGTGAGCAAGCCCTACATGAAGGGAGGCCAGGCTTCAGGCACACTGGAAACCCTGCAAAAGCTCAGGCATTGCAGTGTTTGCTACCTGCAGTGCCTGGGGCGCTCGGTGGAGAAGCTGCACACAGCGTCAGTGTAACGAGAGCATGGGATCTGGAGCTGCGTGGGTTCATGGAAGTGGCGGCAGTGGCCCGGTTACTTCTCCCCAGGCTCAACATCTGTTAGGAGCGATGAGGCCGCGGCTGGTACACAGTCCCCAATCCCAGATGGGAGCAAGAGGAGAGGCCTTAGAGGGCATCTTTACCTGGTGCAAAGTCTCCAGGTTGGGCACGTCCCAGTGGGTGAGGCCAGCTACTTGGATTCCCCCCTGTCCTGCTGGGCCCTGCCTCACAGCTAGGCGCTCTGGAGGTCCTGGGGCCAGGAGGTCCCTGGGGAGACCAGGAGAGTTTGGTTCCAGGATTCTAAGGGTAGCAGGAGTCTTGGGCCAGGGCAAATAGTAGCCCACCACCCCTACAGCACAGCCCTGACCTGACTGCCTCATTGTAGATCTCCACCATGCTGAGGGTCACACGGTGCTGCCCTCCAGTCCCCATTTCCCTGAACAGTGACTGCAGCGCCCTGGGAGCTATGCCTGGGTCCTCAGGTGGGCCCTGAAGGTGGTGTGGAATACCCCATTGGGCTCACATTCAAGCCTCTGAGGCCTCCCCCCCCCCCCCCCGTGTGAGCTCCACCCCACCTCCATGCTGTATGTCTTTCCAGTCCCGGTCTGGCCATAGGTGAAGATGCAGACACTGTATCCTTGGAGGCAGGACAGCACAGCTGGTTCCAGCTCTCCAAAGACCTGAATGAAGGAGAGGTGGAAAAAGTGTCTTGAGCCCTTTCCAAGGTCTCTGTTTAGGACCTTGAAAGGTGGAAAGCACAGTGAAAAAAGTTTGTGTAGAACACAATTTGCTAGGGAAACGCCTCCAGGGGAGCACAGGGGGCTGCCCAGAAGATACCTTCTGCCTCCCTAGAAAAGGTGGTATTTGCAGTAATGGGTGAGGCAAAGAAGGAAAGAGACGTGACAAAAAGGGAACAGCCTGTGCAAATAATGTGGAGTCCTGATGACCATTTAGGTGGTCCTGGGGAGCAGTGGTCAAGGGTCCAGGTGCTGGAGCTTGACTGCCTGGTCCCAACCCTAGATGTGACTGGAAGCAAATTACTCATTCTTTGTGGCTCTTCTGTGTTGTTCCTCTCTATGGCACCTGTCTTGAGGCTTAGTGGGCAGTGTCCAGGCAGTCCAGAGCAGCACTTGGCACACAAAGGATGAGAAGGATGAGACCAGAAAAGGCTCTGGGGGTATGGAGGGTAGTAACCAGCCAGGACTACTGGAACCTTGGCCCTGAGGGGAGCAAAGAGGTGACTGAGGGGCAGATGGATAGACATAATAGTTGCTTTCATTTTTTGCTTTATTTTTGTAGTATTGGGGATTGAACCCAGGGATTCTCTACCTGAGAGCTGAGCTACATCTCAGCTCTTATTATTTTTCATTCTGAGATAAGGTCTCACTAAGTTGTCCAAGTTGACCTTAAACTTGAAAATCCTCCTGCCTCACCCTCCTGAGTAGCTGGTATTACAGATGTGCACCACCATGACCAACAAAGAGTGGCCTTTTGGGCAATGACATAACCAACTTTCACTGTAGAAGGTTGCTGGTAACTGGGTGGCTGTCACCTCTGCTTAAAGTCTTGGCTAATGGCCATGAAGCCATAATCTAAAATTGCCAGTATGGGGGATAAGAGTCCACGATTGGGCAAAGGAGGCACGGCAGGTGGTGGTGCAGAAATGAGAGACACAGGAGAGGTTCTTGGTCACAGTGCAATGACCTGTCGGGCCAGCAGGCAACCTGGGTGTGCATCACTGCCAGCCCTGTCCCTTACCTAACCCTCTCCCAGCTCTGAGCCTCCATTTCAGTTATAGAAGCTCCAGGAGCAAAGTTTATATGTAGATGGAAACCGTGTATTAGAAAGGTGACGGCAGGCTGGGACTTGAGCCCTGCTTTTCTACTGGTGTCTGGCAGAAAAAAAAAAAGAGGAGAAAAAATGGGATCTGAGCAAGGGAGTCGGGGAGTGCTGGGGCTGGACACTGGCCTGCTCACCCATGGCCCCCAACCTGCATTAGGGCCACAAAGCAAGGAGGGCTAATGCAATCCCAGCTGGGAAGAGCCTGGACCCCAGGGAGGAGCACTGATCTCTCATGGAAGCCTTAGAGGAGGCATCACTTGTGGGTCATGGCACTGTTCCTACCACTGTGGCACCCAGCTGTACTCTGTGGCCAGTTCTACATGAGCAGTAACTGTAAACCTCAGATAGATTCATTTTCCTTAGTGTCCAGCTGGGCTGCCACTCCCCAACCCTCTAGCTGCTCCCTTCCCTTTTAGGCTAAAACTGATTCACCCTCCCTTCTATAGGTGGACAGACTGGAAGGGGAAGGAGCCTTTTCTGGACTCTGGGAGACTCTGAGGAAGGGTCAGAATAGGTGCAAGGGTGGCTGTCACCTCCTCCTGGCTGGCATCTGGAGAGAAGACCCAGTCCAGGTGGAAACGACGCTGGCGCCCTCGATAGCAGGTGGTGACTGTGCCCCCTGGTCCAGCCTCCACACTCACCAGGCTGCAGGGTGTACCTGGCCTCAGCCGACATAGCACCCGAATATTCCCTGCAGTGGGGATCAGGTCAGCAGATTGCCTTTTCACCACTGAGGCATAAAAAGCTTCCACTCTCTCCAGCCTACCCTCCCTGCCACTCTGCTCCCCAAGTTTGCCATACCCTTAAGCTCCAGCAGCCGCCCTGGGCATCCAGTTGGGGGCCCCTGTTGCCCCTCAGGGAGCTGAGTCCCAGCCCCTCCAGCTGACAATGCCCCCAGGGCCCAGGATACCTGAGGGAACATGGATTTGAGGATGACAAAGACAGGTGTCCCAGAGTCTCCAAGCAGGGTGGAATGCTGGGAGCAATAAAGAGCCCTTGTAGCCCCCAGCTGCAGTGATTCACAACTTTCAGTGGCTCTGGTCCCCTGGGGACATCCTTTGGTTGGCCTGACAAGGACATCATATCTATCCTTCTAGGCTTCTCAGCAACTGTCAGTTTGCACAGGATAGACATGAGATCATAAGTCACAAATAAGCTCTTCTAGTCTAAAAGCCTACAACTGACCCCCAAGTATGAGCATTCCTTAGAGCCAGGAAGCTCCAGAAATAATAGGAACTCCCCTGGAAGAACAGTGAACAGGCTACCCAGACAGACAGATGATGTGAAGAGAAGAGGGTTCCTGACCTGGCCCTGGGCCTCACTCAGCGAACCCTGACAGCTCTGGGTAAAGGTGCTGACCAGTCCTCTGAGGTCACCACAGCCCTGGCGCAGGCTGGCCATCCGGGTCCGAAGTCCTGAAGTGGGAAAATAGTTGAGAGGGAAAGCCCAGAACCCAGGGCCTTCCATGAGCCACATGCTCCCAAACCTTACCTGCCAGTTGCCCATGCACCTGTTGTAGTTCCCGTCTGCAGTTCTGCTCCGTCTCCTGCTGAAGCTGCTGAAGGGCCCCTCGAAGGCCCTGCAGCTGCACCTCCTGCACCCCCAGCTGCCCCACCGAACCCCACCCCTGTCACTAAGGAAACAGGCACTTACCAGGCCCTATCCCAGATGCCCCCTTCCCAGTGTCCCAGCCCTCCTTGTCCCTGGGCCCCGAGCCCACCTGGACTCGTAAGGCTTCTGTGGTGTCCTGGGCCTCCTGAAGCCGGCCCTGGAGCTCCAACAGTGCCTCTGCCTCCTCCTGCAGGAATTGGGAGCCAGGTAGGCCATCAAGTCAGGTGTGAACTCAGGGAGGGGCATTCCATGATCCATTTCACAGATAGAAAAACAAGTCAAGAGTGGCAGGCACAGACAAACCCATGCCTCCCAACTCCAGGCAGAACTCCTTTCCCTAGTCCCTCTACTTTCCTAGAATTGGTCACTGAGAGAATTATGAAGTGGGGGTTCTCCCAGATGCATCAGCCTCCCTGATGGGCTTGCTCTGCATAGACCACCCCAGGACCTGCCTATTAGAGACGACCCCCTGATAAATCCCACTGCTTCAGCAAGCTCAAAGACCTAAGGAGGCTTGGGCACTGTTGCTAATGCCAGGTGTATACAAAGAGGAGCAACAAAGAGGCAGGATACCTGTGGGGCTCTGGTGGGGGGGCCTGGGCCCCAATGCAGCAGGAGGTCCCGAGTGAGGCTCAGGCTCTGTTTCAGGGCCTCATTCTCCAGTGTGAGATGCTGAACCCTTTTCTCTGAGTCTGTTGCCCCCTGGCAGAGATAGCTGCACTTAGGAACCATATGAAAATCCTGCAACCTCTTGCCCTCTCCCAGCCCCTGCTCCAACAGCCTCACCACTCCCAGGCGCAGTCTGCCCAGCTCCTCCTCCTGTTGCTCCAGCTGCTGCCTCAGTTCTTCCAGCTGCAAAAGAGTGGGATGAAACTCCTTTTTTGTGTCTCACTTCCTCCAGTCCCTGCTGCTTCTGGGCCCCTCACCTGTCCAAGGATGAGCTGTTCCAGCCTCTGCCAAGCTCTCTGCTCCTCCTCCAATTGAGGCAACTGTTGCCCCTGGGCCTCACCCCTTGGCACCTCCTCTTGGATAGGGGTAGGCTGGTAAGGGCTGTCTTCTTGAGAAAGGGCTCCTAAAGAGGAGCGAGCTCAGTTAGTACTGAGGTGGCCTGAATTCTGGGGAGCAAAGCTGGGCTAGGGATCCCAGATTGTACGCCACCTAGATTCTAAAGGGATTCCCTTCCTCTACAGAAGATACCCTTTACAAACCATCTGGAGTTGGGGGCTGCACGTTGGAGGCTGGATGAGTCCCCTGGAGCAGGACCTGCCTCCCCCTGGGGCTCCGAATCCATGCCAGAAGAGCCAAGAGCTGACTGGTCACTGTCAACAGTGGAGGGACCTCCCCAGGCTGTGAGGAGATAAGAATCAGAGCAAGAAACCTGGAATGGTGGCCCACATCTGTAATCCAAGATACTGGGAAGGCTGAGGCAGAATGGCAAGTTTGAAACTCACCTCGGCAGCTTAGCAAGACCCTGTCTCAAAACAAACAAACAAACAAAAAGCAGGGATGTAGCTAATCTGTGGAGAGTCCTAAATTCAGTCCCCTGGACTAAGGAAAGCAGATTAAGAGCAGAGATGGAATGGGGCAGGACTGTGGGAGTCACAAGGGCTAAAGAAAGAGAAGTGATTGCTGGAGAGCTCCTCTGCCCTGCTCACCTTGCCCAACTCAGGAGGATTCCCGCAGCTCTCTTCTGCCCCCAACTGGACCGAGAGGAACTCAGCAAGGCGCATAAGCGCCTCTTCCAGTGACACCTCTGCTGGGCGGTCCTCGGCTCCGGCTTCAGGCCCATCCTCAGACTCGGAGCTGCCCGCTAGGCCAAGTAGTAGAAGGAGGGGGCATTTCAAGTCATCGTTGCAGACTGGGCCTCTTTTCCCTCCCAATGAGGTCACGGAATCCCTCCCTCCCTCAGACAGCGAGGATCCCTCCAGGACCCCGAGGCACTCTGGCCTGCACTTACCGGCCAGGCCTGTCAGCTCGGTCCACAGTTCTGGCGTAAGCTGGTCGGGGCGACGACGACCCCGGGGCTTGCAGTGGACTCTCTAGGAAGGGAGCAGGGGGCGTCCCTGAGGAGGAGGCAGGCAGCCTGTGGGGCTCCTTCCCTCCCGGAACTGGGCCAGAATGGTTGGGGCCGAGATCTAAGCTCCCAATGCCCGGACCAAGAGCAGGGTCCTCTGCACCGCCGCGTCCCTCAGGGCCAGCGTCCTGAGGATGTAAGCTGGGCAGGCCTACCACCACCCCATCTCCTGGTGGGGGGCGACCGGCGCGGCAGGCCCACACTGCTCACCTGGGCGGGGTCCCCAGGGTCGGCGGTCGCCGTAGCACCTCCATCCCTGCGGAAAAGGCTGTAGAAAATGTAGATGAGAAGCGAGTAGAAGGCGTACATGGGCGCGCGGGGCGGCAGAGGACCCCGCTACTCGCCGCCCCGCGTCCCGTGTCCCCGCGCCCGGACTCCGGACTCGCCCGCCGCAATGCCCATGCGCATGCTCGCGGCGGCCGCCCCCACGGCCCAGATCCCGCGCGCAGAAGGCTCGGGCTGAGGGGCGGGCGTGTGGTCGGGGGTTCTCTGAAACCGGCGTTCCCGCTACCGCACCTCGCAAGGTCCGTCCGCTCACGGCTCCGCCGCTCGCCGCCCAGTTCTTAATTCGCTGACGGTCAGTATTGAGAACGCCCACGGCAGCCTCACCTCTTTTTGGAGTCCCTCCCGTCCTCCGCGGAGACCCCTACCACTCGTTCGTTACTAAGCACTCCGCGTCCAGGTGCGCCACCTCCCCACCCCTTGCAGCCCGCCCTCTTTCGAAGCCCCGCCCCTCGAAGCCCAGGCTCCGCTTGCAGCCCCGCCCCACCCTACCTCCCAAGCCCCGCCCTACCCCAAGCCCCGCCTAGATCCCTCCGCTAGGCGAGCTCCTTCCAAATGCCAGCGCCCACAAACTAGCCCAGGCCGAGCTCCTGATGCTGGTGCCGACCTCGCGCCTTCGAGTCCTCCTAGAGCCTTCGACCGACCCCCTCAGGCCCCGCCCCGGCCTCTCTAGCCTCGACTCCTCTCGCTGGTGGCGGCGCTCGGCCGCGCTCGCCTGGGCCTCCGGAGGCCACCCGAGGCGGCGGGGCCGACCGCTGTGGACCTGCCAGGGCCTCTGGCTCGCCGCCGTCAAGAACTGCGAACGGCTGGCGGCCCACAGATCTGCGCCGTGGGTCCTTCCGGGCCGGGTGTCGAGGACGGCGCTTCCCTGAGTGCTGGGATAGGCCCAGGCCGCCACAAGGGCCTGCGTGCCCCGCCGCTCGGTCTCCCCCGCGTCCTGCACCTACTTGAGCTCATGCTCGCCCTGCCCAGCTCCCGAGTTTTGTTCCCGCTGTTTCCAGTCTAATTAGTCTTTTAGCACAGGTGTTTCCAGTGGCCTTGGGACTCTGGCAAATTTAGAACTGTACCTATTCTATCATCTAGTCATGGGACCCTGGAACCTGGGGTTCCCGCAGAGCTGCCGTTAGGGCTCCAGGTCCCTGACTTCTGTTACTCCACTCCAAGTTAAAACTCTCTTTCCTGTCTCCTCAAACTCATTACTGCCCAAGTGCCATGGCCCCCAAGCCCGGGAGTGAGTGGAGCACAGTCCTGTCCCACCTGGTGCTGGGAATGGTGTCTCTTCATGGAGCGGTGAGTTCTGCGCAGGTAAGTAACCCCACTCCCACACGCTAAAATCCTAGTTTGCTGCACCAGAGAGAGGGTGATGGGAGGCGAAGGTGGGACCAGGTCTCCATGAGAAGTCCAAACCTTTTCCTGTTTAAAGGGGTCACCTACCCTCTTGTTTCCTTCACTAACAGTCAAGTCGAGGGGCTGCTGCTGGTTTCCTGCTCCAGGCTTTGGCTGCTGCCTCCATGCTGGTCCCAGGGCTGGGCACACATGAAGATTGTCTCGCTGGAGCCTGGGTGACCACAGTCATCGGCCTGCCCCTTCTGGCTTTCGACTTCCACTGGGTGAACGGGGACCGCTCCTCTGCTAACCTACTCCTGGGCGGAGGCATGGTGCTGGCAGTGGCTGGTGATCACCTTGGCCCTGAAGGCTGCTCTGTGGCTGGTCAGGCAGTACTGCTGGTGGTCGCAGTGACCATCCTCATTGTGGCTATTTTCACAGCCAACACTTATGGGATGTGGGGGGGTGCCATGCTAGGTGTAGCAGGCCTCCTGAGCCGACTGGAGGAGGAGAGGCTGCTGCTGCTGCCGAAGGAGGATGTCTGTCGCTGGGCCCTGGCTGCAGGCAGTTGGGCCTATTGCCGGGCCCTGCACACACAGCGCCTGCAGTGGGAATGACAGTTGCACACAGCAAGGCTGAGCTTCTCCCTTGGCTACCACCTTCCTTTCCACCAGCCTGCTCCTGGAGCTTCCTCCCCTAGGAATAGGCTTTCCCTCCTCCTACAGTGGGCTTGCTGCAGGTTGACTGATCAGGAATGGAGCTTAGGTGCTGTCTCTTCTCCAGTCACTGTAGGAACTTGCCTAGACCAGAATGAAAGGGCCAGGGTCCCAGGCATTTTGGGGGCCTCCTTCTGGGAAAGACATAGTTGTGGGTTCAGAGACTTGATCTCCAATAAACCTTAGGAATTCTACAGGAATATGAAATTTGCCAATTCTTGAGAGGGACTGAGGAGCCTTTGGTGAGCTTCCTGAAGCCTCCAGGGCATCAGCTGTTTTCCCTGAACAAAGAGAGGGGATGTGCTGGAACATGCATGGGCTTCCTTCAGTCTGGCCTCCTTCTGGCACATTTGTCAGGAGGGGCTGCTGTGCCTTGAATATATAGCCCCAGAGCCCTTGCTCTCCTTTGACATAGTAGATTCCGGATATTGTTGCCCAGCCTGGCAGGTGGCCCTCTGGGGCAGTGACCTTCACGGGCTGATGGCTGGGTTAGTAAGGGCAAGGGAGGGCTGGCTGTACCGCAGCGATTCGCAGAAATGCATCTCCCTTCCCTGTTTGCCTTCCAGTCTGTGCGAGCAAAATCCTATTCCCTAAGACCTTCACTTTCCTCTGTGGACCCTTCTTCGGCCTCCAACCCCAGGGATAGGAAACCGGGTTGAACAGAGCAGGGGGTTAGAGGTCCCAAGTGTGCCCCCTCCCCCGGGCAGTTCCGATGAGTCCAGCAGAAGCATATCCTATGCCATACACGACGGGTGGTCGGCCGGGCTCTTTAAAGTTGGTGCCCTTCCACTCGGGAAAGCCAGGCCACATTCAACCCCGAGTGTTGGGACACGATGGCGAAGGGAGACCCCCGACCCCGCTGACTTGCCGCGTGTAGGGGCCGTTCTTTCGCCCCTAGGCGGGCTTCCTCACCTCAGGTGCGCGCCCCTCCACGGGTCGTCCTGGCCCCGCCCCTCAGGCCCACCTTCCACAGGAGGCGGGCCTCACGCGCTTCGTGCACCCATTGGCTCTGGGCGCCGTGCCGTCTAGCTCCAGGCGGCGGTCCCATTGGCCCCGCTTGGAGCCCACGTGATGGGGAGGACGAGGGGGCGGTGGCGCGGGGGGGCGCGCAGGGAAAACAAAGATGGCGGACGCGCCGGGGTTGGTGGCCGCGGCGGCTGCGGGGCGACGCGCGGGCCGGGCCCAGTGAGGCGGCGGCGCGGAGAGTAGGCTGTGGGGTCGAGGCGGCGGGGGCGCGCGGCGCCCCTAACTTCCAGCCGGCGAGCGCGCCGGCACCCGCCCGTCGGGCCGGCCGGCCGCAATGTCCGGCGCCGAGGAGGCCGGCGGGGGCGGCCCGGCCGCAGGGCCCGCGGGCTCCGTGCCTGCCGGGGTCGGGGCCGGGCCCGGGGCGGCCGCGGGACCGGCGGCGGCGGCGCTGGGCGAGGCGGCGGGGCCCGGGCTCCCGGACGAGGCGGGCCTGGCCGGCGCCCGGCAGCTGCAGGAGGCAGCCGGCGACCCCGACGCGCCGCCCAAGAAGCGGCTGCGGGCGGCCGAGGCGGCCGAGGCGGCGGCGGCGGCGGCGGCGGCGGGCAGCGGGAAGCTGGAGGAACGGCTCTACTCGGTGCTGTGCTGCACCGTGTGCCTGGACCTGCCCAAGGCCTCCGTGTACCAGGTAGGGCCGCCGGCCCTGCCCGGCGCCGCGTCTCCTCGAGCCGGGCCCGGAGGCCCGGGGCCGGCAGCCGGGACCCTCTCCGGTCCTCACCTCCGCCTTCTGCGCCCGCGGGACCCTGGAGCCTGTCCCGAAACTCCTCGTTTTCTCTCTCCTCTCCTTGCTCCGAACCCCCTTTTTCCGTGTTCCGACCCTCTGTCAGTTTCAGTTTTCTCTTTCTTGTTCAGATCCTGCCTCTCCCCTTCCAGGTTCCTTCAAGGTTCTCTTCTTGATACCTTCCGCTCCCCTCCAGCTGACCCCGAGGAGAGCTAGAGACAGGTGCCTATGCTCCCTGCCCATTCTTGGCGCTGCTCCTCACTCCCAGGCTTTCTGGCACACAGGCCCCTTTACTTGAGGGAGATCCTCTGTTCTGGCAGCCACACCCCCAAGCGTGTCCCTCCATTTCTGAACCCGTATACATTTTCTTTTCTGTTCTCCAGAGCCCTGTCAAATTCTTTCTGAAAAACAGGAAGAAGGGAGGGGACTGCCTTTTGTCCCTCCCCCAGCCCTCCTGCTCCGGTCTGGAGGAACCCCTGCCACAAGACTGGCAGTCAGGGTACTTTCTCCAGATCAAGCCAGAGTTTCCCACCCCAGCCCCCCTCATCCATTCCAAGCCTGGTTTCCTTGGTCTCCCATTCACCATCTGAGGGAGATCCAGTGCAGTGGATGGACTCAGGATCCTTGCCACCTCAGGGCTGCTTGATGGGTACCTGGTCCAGGTAGATCCAGAATGTCCCCTCCTGGTTACAGAGCAGACTTCTGGTTTAGGCCCAGAGTCAGTGGGCAGTATCAGTCTGCCTTCTCCTGATCGTCCCACCTTGGCCCCAGCCCCTTTGAGAAACAACGTGGGTTCCTGTCAATTATTTTGTACTTACAGGAGCTGGAAATGGCTGGTGGGTCCTTGCTTCTGTTTAGACAGGGTCCTGTGCGAGAGGGCCACATATGTAGGAAGCAGGATAGGGCTAGTTTGGGTTGCTATTTCCCTAGCCTCTGGGTCTCTCAGTCCTTTCTGCTCTGACCAGAGGTTGCTTGGGAGGACCCCAGTGTCCTGGATGGGGCAACCACCTTCATGCATGTCAGGCTGGGGTCAGCGGGGGGAGAATCTTCCACAGTCCTGGTCCCAGCACCAGCATTTACCCCTCTCCTTGGGGACCATCTGGACCCCTTTAACCCCTAGCCCATTTTTTCTTGCCTACAGCCTCATGGTCCCCTCTGCTGGAAGAGCTTTTCCTCTCCTTGGCCTTGAGTGAGAGCCAAGTCAGTAGTGGGGAGATCCCAGGGAAGTCAGGGGTATCCTTGTCTCCCTTCCTGTGAATGGTCCGGAGCTGGACTTGGCATGATGACAGGCCACCCAGTACTGGCTTCTAGTGTACACAGCTCTGCTTGTGGCCAGACAAGCTGGTGACCAGGCCTCTGAGCCTGGCTGGTTCAAACTAGCCTGTACTCTGTTCAGAGTAAGCTCTGGCCTGGGCAGCTAGAGGCAGGGCAGCTGAGCAGATGTAACAGCATGAAGTCCAGGGTTGCCCTGACTAGTGCCCTGCCAGGTGAGGCTGCCCCGTGGCTTCCCTGAGAGCAGACAAGCTGAGCATGGGGAGCCATGGATACTGACACTAAGTTGTGGGCTCTGCCACAAGCCTCCATCCCACCTTCATTCTTCCCAGGTGACACTCAGAGCAAGAGTTTCTCTCTCATCTCTAGAAGTTGGGAGAAGGAACTAGAATATGTAGCTGTAGAAGAGCCTTTGGGCCCTGTGACGGAACTTTGGCTGCTTATGGACTTGCTGTGTGAAATGGGGAGGGGGCCAGGGGAAAGAAGGAAGCGTTCCTATTGCCTCTGAATGCCACTGGGGACACTTCCCATGGTGGTTCCCTGCCATGTACAGTGACTCTGGAGGTTAATTATTGCTGTCCCCACCAAGTCGTTGTGGGTCAGGACAGACCATGCTCTTGCCTGGTCTTTCCAAAGGTTCTAGGCACAGATGGAGTGGGCATGCCCCTAGTCAGGGCCTACTGCTGACCACTACCTTGGCTTGGCCCCTTCATCTTTTGCTAGCCTTCATTGATGACCCACATTGATTGGCTGTCTATCGTGAACATTGATTGACTGTCTATCGTGAACCAGTCTTTGCCTTCTTGCTCTCTGCTCCTCAGGCAACATTTTTCCCCCTGCTGCTGGGGATTGGACCTGAGGGCACTTTACTACTGAGTTACAGCCTCGGCCTTTTAAAAAAAAATTTTTTTTGTTTTGTTTTGTTTTTAATTTTTGAAACAGGTTCTCACTAAGTTATCAAGGCTGGTCTTGAACTTGTGATCCTCCTGCCTCAGACTTCCAAGTTACTAGAATTACAGGTGTGCAGCTTGGGTCCTGCTGGCAACATTTTGCCTGATCCCAGCAGAATTCATGGCTGGGAATGGGCCTCTGCCATGCCTAGTGTCCTGAGGGCTGGCTCAGGCACTCTGCTCTGACATGAGGAGAAGAGGCGGTGGCCATGCTGAGCCCTGTGTGTTGTATCTCACTCTGGGTTATGTGGTTGGCTGGTTACATGGCAACTTTAGAATATATTACCTGGCAGCCAGGCACCATTTGTGGTGCTAAGGAAGCTTTGGGTATTGGCAGAAACAGCCATGAGCCTCATGCATGTGTTCATCTACCTGGTTCAAAACTGAGTCCTTGGACCCACAGGGCCAGCTTCCCCATGGGCCAGACACATACACCAACATGTATCAGGTTGGGCAGTTTGTTAAGGCCCTCAAGCAAATGGTTCTCGCTGCTGTGGCCTATGTCATGTCGGGTTAAGGGCCACTGCAGGGATGGCCGATGCATGCTTTGATGTTCTGTGTGGGTGATAGGTGTGTCCTGGGCAACTGGCCTGGCGAGGTGTGCAGCCACCTTCCTGAATCCTGGGCAAGGCCCTTCCGAAGTTCCAGGCAGGCATCAGGGCAGGCAACCAGGTGTATGGCAGGAGGGCTGGAGGGGTAGCAGCAACACCCATTCAAGAGTTTAGGGGCAGGACAGGAAACTTATGCTGACACCCTGCTCTGGATACAGTCCTGGGCCCCAAGGGCAGTATGACCTGTTAGCACCTCTGCCTATGAAATACCTTCTCTGAGGAAGACCCAGCCTTGGTGTGGTACCCAGGATGTTACAACCACAGCCTGATTCCTGACCTCCCTATCCCAGCTCTCCTGGCACAACCCTTTATAGAAGGCTCAACTTGGTTCTCCCTAAGGCAGACCCAGTCCCAGCCCTTTGTCTGGATGTCTGTGAGGCCCAAAGCCTGAGTCTTGACATCTGGAGGAAGACAGTACTTGTCATTTCTACTCCTCATGAACTTTGAGGTACAGGAGTCAGTAGGTGGTGGTCTTTTATCATGGGATGTGGTCCAGCCTCCATCTGGTGTGACCATGGCCTTCTGGCATGCCCCATTGTTGCTCTAGCACACCTTGAGCTGCTCTCCATGTCACCCCTCACATCTGCTCTTCTTTTGGCTTGTCTGAGGCAGTGCCCCATGTCAAGACATTCCCCACTCCCTGCCACAAAGGTGCCCATCCCTCCCTAGTGCCTGAATCCCTCTCAGCCCTGAGGGAGGGTGGTATGTTCTGCTGCCATCCCACTCCAAGACCTTCTGCCTCCATGCCAAGTCTCGGCTCTGGGGACTTTTACCTGATTGATAGTCCTATCGATGAAAGGCCCAGAAAACAGGTACTGCTCCATCTCTGCCCACAGTCCCTCACTCCCTGAGAACATGTAGCAGCTCAGGCTTCATCATTCACATGGCCCATGAGCTCAGATACCACTGATATTTTTTTCCTTGAGACAGGAAAGAATTTTGGAAATAAGTCTGCTTAGGTGTCCAAAACCCAGGACTGAGCAAGGAGGGTTTCTGTAGTTTCTATAGTCTATGTTGTTCTTTTTGTGGTGATAGTTTATCAATATAAGTCATTTTATTATTTGTAGTATTGGGGATTGAATCTAGGGCTTTGCACATACTAGGCAAATGCTCAATCAGTGAGGTATGTTCCCAGCCTTTTAAAATTTAATTTAATTTAGTTTTGAGGCAAGGTCTTACTAAGTTGCCTAGACTAGCCTTGAATTTGTTATCCTCCTGCCTCAGCCTCCTGAGTTGATGGAATTTCAGGCATGTGCCACTGCACCCAGGTTTAAATTACTTTTAAGCAGTATTTGCTACTGAGAGCATTTCTAGGTGGGATGGGGGTGAGTTGCTGAGCCCCACCTGAATTTTGACATCAGGAGGGGAGGTCAGATTTCATCTGATTCAGTAATTCAGATCTAGCCTGAGTGGAAGGTTTAAGTCCTGCCTTCTCCCTTAATGATTATGTGGCCTTGGACAAGGAACTAGTCCTGCTCAGGTCCATGCTAAGGAGGTTAAGGAGGCTTGGTTGAGTGTGGGATATGTCCCAAAGTACCACTGTGGTTGTTAAAGCCTTGCCTACACTGGGAGGCTCTTGGGAGGAAGGAGGCACCTCCAACTACTGAGCAGTGCTTTAGGGTTAGTGTCCAAGGGGAAATCCCTCAGCTATATTTTGGTATTGTGACCTCTGCAAAGGGCTGTGGGTCTCTGACCACAGGGCAGAAGGGTAGACTGTTCACATGGGTCTGGGTAGTGGAAAGAGTGGGTCCCCAGGGTTTGAAAGGATCATGTGGTACAGGGTGGAAAGAGGTCCTAAAAGGCCAGCTGACCACAGAAAACTCATGACCAACTGGAAGTCGTGGGGCCCCATCTCTAGGACCTGCTTGTGGCCAGGCTTCTCTTTGGGCTGGGACAGGGCCACTTATATGAACTCCGGGTATACACAGGCTGAGCACATGTGAGCTGCCTGCAACAAGGTGGAGAGAAGGGCTAGGTGCTGTCCTGGGATGTACAGGCTATTTCTAGGTCTTCCTGGGCTCTGCTGTGGATGATCATAAGGGTAGTGTATGTTTTGAACCTGCTGTGGTCTGGCTCCCCACCCTTGCCACCAGTCACTTTAACCCTCTTACCTCATTATAATCATCACCTTGTGCATGTGAGGAAACTAAGAAGAAAATTGATGAGGCTAAAGTCATGCTGCTGTTGACCTTGGTCAGGGGTCTGAGTCCAGAACTGTGGCTCCAAGCCAGCATCTGCCCTAGGAGGGATTGCTTGGGAGGCCCTGTAGTGTTGTTCTGGATTGCAGGTACAAGTCCTCCTGGCTGCTGTAGGAGGGCAACCTGACCTGCGTTCTGGAGGTACCTGGGCTCTTGGGTGCCTGACCCTACCATGTTGAGTGAGCATTGTGTGTAGTCATTGGGTGGGGCCCAGCTTCTGGCTTGGCAGTGGGCACAAATCAAGGGGCCATGTACAGTCTGGCCCACCCACTGCTGAAACTGTGTGGCTACCTTATGGCCAGGCCTATGTGTGTTCAGGAGGTTGACAGAAGACATTAGGGCATAGTGACCACCCTGCTGTGGTCAGACTGTCTGATCTGAGAGTTTACCTGGAGAATGTCCCTTAGCTGGTGAGGGGCTGTGTGTGGGTGTGACTTGTCCAGTATGCCATAGAACATCTTCAGCTGAGTAGTTGTCAGGGGTGAAGGGGCAGTGACCCCAGAGCTTACAGATCCCCCAGGAGGCCCAGAGGGAGACTAAAGAGGGCAGGATTAATACCACCTCTCCCATAGTGAGGAATTAACTACTTGTTTTGGGGTCTGTGGCCAGGGGTTGGTAGCAAGTGTGGTGCTGAGAAGTCATGGTGCTATGCTTGGCAGCCTTGATACCCACCTGGCAGGACCCAGGATAGCTGGGGTGCTTATAATCAGGAGGAGAGGCCCAGTGGGCCAGGATGGGGGCAAGTGGCCCCAGCCCTGCTTGGAACTGCTGGGAAGACCAGGCTGTAGCCAGCAATACTGTTGCCCTCTCCTCAGGCTGGTGGACCCGGGAGGCAGCTCTTAGCTGGGCCCAGAGCTTCATCCAAGGCCTAGGTAGCCTCAAAGCAGGGGACTCGTGCCAGTTCCTTGTGGGCTTCCCTCTTGAGGGATGCCTCATGGTGCTACATGGCTGGCTCCCCTCTGAGGAGGCAACTTGAGGAATATGTGGCCATCTGATACTGTGCTATGTCCTGCCCTCCCTGGCAGTATCAGCAGCAGCCCTTGGACCAGACAGTCCAAGTAGGTGGGGGCAAAGAGAGGCCCTGTGACCTGAGCCCTTGTGCTACCCACATTCCACACCCCACTGACTCCTGGGGCTATACAAAGCAACCTGGTTTTCCCACCAGGACTTGCCTTAACCCCCTCCTCAGCCAGCTTCTATGTCTGGACCTGCTGCTGCCTGGCCCCTGCTAGGTTCTCTCATCCAGGCTGCACCCAGCCAGTCACTCCTCACTCGCTGTAGTGTGTTTTAATTTCTAACCTAACTTAGAGCATGAGACTTGAATGCAGATGATGTGTGGTGTTTTTCTAGATGTGGTTTCTGTGGCAGTACTCTGTTGCCATCAGTCCTCAGCATGTAGGTTCCATCAGGCCTGGCCTGAGAGGTCCTGCTGAAGCAATAGAAAGATAGCAAGGATTCACTAAGGACCCCACCTGTATAGTGTGATCCCTGGCATAGCCAGGTGGCAGCTTATGAACATCCTTCTCCCCAGTGCACACTGTCTAGAAGCTGTAGTGTGATGGGCTTGGCATATGGGTGTCTCTCTGTCTTCCTCTGTGCTGCTGGCATGGAACCAGTGCCTCTACAGGCTAGACACGTGCTCTCCCACTGAGCTAGACCCCAGCACCTGGGCCTCCCCTCTCATACTGTGAGCCTCTTGAGGTCTTCCTACCCCAAGTCCTTTGATGGCACCGTGTGATGCTCAGAGGTGTATGTTGAACAAGTGAGAGATGCAAGATGGGAATGATTGTGGCAGCACTGTCCACATGAGCAAGGTCCCCCCAGCAGGAGCGGTCTGGCTCTTGCTGACCCAACACAGTACCATGTTCGCTCACAGCCCCCATTCCTACCTGCCTCCATCCTGGGTCATCCTGGCCTCCTGCCTGCTACAGCTCTATGTCATTCTGGTGATAGATAGCCCCAGCAAGTAGCTCCTCTTTCTGGGCAATCGCAGCTGCTGGCTTTCACCTGTGCTCACTAGCAAGGGCTGGCATGAAGAACCAGGGTTTAGGTCACCCTGAGGGCCCTAGTCCCCACACGAGCAGCGTTTCAAGAAGGCACAGAGAGAGAGCCTGCTGCAGTGTGTGGGGAGCAGCTTCCACTCCCCAATGAGACAGCTGCTGGCTGAGGGCCTCTGCCTTGCCAGGCCAAGAACCAGATGTTCTTATAGGACAGGGCAAAGGAAAACTCCAGGTTCTAAGACCTGGGTTTGCCAAATCAATCTCCACCAGTCAGGCTTGCTTCAGGGAAGAGGCGGAACCCCCATGACCTGATGGTGCCCCACAGAGCTCAAGCTGACTGAGCCCTGGCACCCCCTGGAGCAGCTGTTACATTTTCTAGACACCAACATGAACTGGGGACTGGCGTATGCTCCCTCCTCTCCTCACCAGCTGGAGTCCCTTGGGACAACTGACCAAGCTGACGCTACGGGAAAGGGCGGGCACGTGTGTGCGCGCGTCCTGCAGGTCTGTGAGCTTCATCTCCCTTTCCTTCTTCACAGTGTACTAATGGTCACTTGATGTGCGCTGGCTGTTTTATCCACCTACTAGCAGATGCCCGGCTGAAGGAGGAGCAGGCCACATGCCCCAACTGTCGTTGTGAGATCAGTAAGAGCCTCTGCTGCCGGAACCTGGCTGTGGAGAAAGCCGTGAGCGAGCTGCCCTCAGAATGTGGCTTTTGCCTGCGCCAGTTTCCTCGTTCCATCCTGGAGAGGCACCAGAAAGAGGAATGCCAGGACAGGTAACCACTAAGGCTATGGGCTCCACCACACATGTGGGGCCCAGGATGGGGCTGGAAGCCCACCCTGGTGCAGGCAAGTTCCCTCCCAGGACAGGCTAGTTTGTCCTTGTTGTCTGGGCCTTGGGTACCGTATGCAACATAACAAACCTGTAGGCCCCAGGGTGGGGGGGGGGGGCGCATGGGGCTTCCCATGGGACAGGGCAGGTTCTGTGCCCATTTGCTATCTAGACATGACCCTGACCTTCAGGGTTCTCTGGCCATGGGGTAGCCCCTCAGAAGGCCCAGGACAGTGTGGCCAGCTCAGGAACTCTAGAAGCTCTGCTCTACAACATGGGCCCAGTAGGTGGACAGGGCCGCTCAACCAGTGGATCCCTAATACCAGGCCTACTCTGTAATGATGTTGTGTGGGACCATGACAGTGGTCATTGGCTCCTTATTATGAAGAAACACCACAGCAGTGGGTACAAAAAGCATGCTGGCTTATAGCTCTCTCACTCCCCCCCCCCGCCCCCGCTCTCTATTTCTGTCTTCTTCTCCTTCCCTCTTTCACTGTCTCCCTCCTCCCTCCTCCTCCTCCTCCTCTTCTCTCTCTCAAACACACACCACATGTGGGCATGCAGGTACAACTGTTCTCTGAGCCTGTCCTTGTGGCTGGGCTCAGGATTAAGTATGTCCTGCTGGAAGAGGTTTTTGACTGAGTAGAAGCTGCCTCTGGGGGATAGCTGGTCACAGCCACCTGCTTCTGGCATAGATGTGACCTCAGTGTTCACCTTCTCCCAGGGTGACCCAGTGCAAATATAAGCGCATCGGCTGCCCATGGCATGGCCCTTTCCATGAGCTGACAGTGCATGAAGCTGCATGTGCCCACCCCACCAAGACGGGCAATGAGTTGATGGAGATCCTAGATGAGATGGACCAGAGCCACCGCAAGGAAATGCAACTCTACAATAGCATCTTCAGCCTGCTCAGCTTTGAGAAGATTGGCTACACAGGTGAGGTGCCCCACTGCCCTCTGCATGCCACACGGGTATGAACTGGGGATGATGCTGGTGACCAGAAGCTGGGTATTGGGGACAGCAGGCTCTGTGCAGTGGGCACAGGCTGCGCCGGATGGCTAGGCTCTGGACAACCTCCAGGTGGACAGGAGGATATCTCAGGGAAAAAAAGATAGGTCAGGTCGGAGACTGAGCAGAGGGAGGGGCCAACAGGGCCTAGGGCATACCTGCATGGCTCTCACAGTAGCCCCTGCCCCTGTCCTCCCCACCCTGGCCTACCATCCCAGCAAGCTGGTATCACTGTGTGGGGCTCCACTGCCTTGGGACAGGTGGGGTCTAACCAGGAAGCGGGGCGTGTGTTAGGGAAGCCTGGGAACTCAGGGCTGCCACTCAGAGCTGGAGCAAGAGGAGCCTCCATCAGGTCAGGCCCTGTCGGCAGACCTCACTGAAGCCACCACAGGCCTCCCAAGGCTGGTAAGAAGCTGTTCAGGGACAGGACTCCAGAGCAAACTGAGGGCACCCAGCTCAGGCTGTAGAACCAGGAATGGATGTCCACAGATGGGCAGACTGGACTGGGCCTAGGCCCACTGGATCTTGTGGCTCCTGGGCTACTGCTACCACCTTTGAACATTTCGGAAAGCAGGAGTCAGGCTGGAGCCTGGTTCAGAGGACAGCAAGAAGCACCTGCAGACAATGGGACACTCAGGGAGACCCCATCCCTCTACTGCTCAGCAACACCAGGTGGCCAGGGCAACCATGCAGCCAGTCACACCATGCTGCCTAGACTGAGCTTGGCTGGGTATAGACCTGAGCAGGCTCCAGAGGCTGAGGGCCCAGGGGGCTACAGCAGCAGAAAGCCACAGCCCCTGGTTAAGAGCAGCCTCAGCTGATCGGACAGGCCCTGTGGGGTCTGGGTGGGCAGGGGCATGTGGCTACATCAGTGGCCAGGTAGGAAGCCCCATCCATGCAGGAAGGACTGGTTGCCTGGGAACCCACACCTCCACAGAGGGACTTGCCAGCCACAGGCTGTGGGTACAAAAGAGGACTGCAAAAGCAGGTCTGCCCGCTGACTGACAGCCCCAGAGATGCCAGGCAGAGCCTGGTTGCAGCTGGACACCTGAGGACCTGGCGCTCCCCTCGGGCAGGACTGGGTGCCACTTACTCACCTGCCGGCTTTTCTGGCAGCTCTGTATCCAAACCAATAAAGTACACTTGTTCTCAGAACTGCATCCTGTCTGTGTGTCTGCTTACCCCGCCCCTGCTGGGACACCAGGGCTAGGGTGAGGAGGGTGGTCCATGGGTCAGCCACGCCTGGGAGATGGCCTGACCTCCCATAGCCTTGGGTTCTACAGCTAATTGGTGTTTATATCCCCGGACCCCTGAAAGCTTGTGCACCTCCATGTGCAATACTTGCATTTGACTTGCCTTGTGACAAGTAGAGCTCACTAGGTCCGGGTAAGTTGCCTTTCTCCCTGGCTGAGCCTGTCCTCAGCCTGGTCAGAGAAGGCACCACCACCCAGCTCTGCCCAACACTAACGGCTGGCTGTTTCTGGCCCTGTCTGTCTCCACAGAAGTCCAGTTCCGACCATACCGCACGGATGACTTCATCACACGCCTGTACTATGAAACACCGCGGTTCACAGTGCTGAACCAGACATGGGTCCTGAAGGCTCGTGTGAATGACTCAGAGCGCAACCCCAACCTGTCTTGCAAGCGCACACTTTCCTTCCAGCTCCTCCTCAAGAGCAAGGTCACAGCACCCCTGGAGTGCTCCTTCCTGCTGCTCAAGGGCCCGTATGATGATGTGCGGATCAGTCCTGTCATCTACCACTTTGTCTTCACCAACGAGAGCAATGAGACGGACTATGTGCCTCTGCCCATCATCGACTCTGTGGAGTGCAACAAGCTGCTGGCTGCCAAGAACATCAACCTGCGGCTCTTCCTCTTCCAGATACAGAAGTAGGATGGGCTCAGGATGCCCAAGGAGCTGAGGGCCAAGGCCGGCGCCGCCATCCCATCCACCCCTGGCTTGGCAGCGGCTTCACATGACCATCTGATCATTTTAGCAAAAGAGGAGAACAGACAAAACCAAACACTGGGAAAGTCTGCATGCGTGTGCCACAGGGTCCCTGCCTCCAGCTCCCCCTCTTCCTGGCCTCCCCCTCCTGAGGGTGGCTGGAGGCTGGGCTGACCGCAGAGGAGACAGTGCTTTGGGCTGCCCAGGCTCAGGGATGGGTGTGAGGAGGGCAAGAACCAGCGGCCCTGCCCCTGCACCCATCCTCACAGTGAGGCAGCACTGCCTGCTCTGGTCCCGGGCCGGGCTCAGGGGCCCTCGCTGACTTCAGACGGCATATTTGATTGCAATTAAAAGGCAGCCTTGTTTCCTACTTTCTGTTTTGTTGGAGGGGAAGGAGTGGCTGTGAATGGACGGCGTGGGAGCTCTGGTATGGCTTGGGGGTTACTGTTACGGCACCTGTGTGTGCCCCCAAGAGAGACTTGGAGACATTGCTTCTCCCACAGTCTGTCACAGGTCTCTGGACTGAGGCCTAGAGAGGGACAGCCATGAAGGGTCGGGACCCCCCCCCCCCCTCCCAGCTACCCGGCTACTTCAGGGAGGCAAGACTCAGCCACCAGGGCTCAGCAGATGTTTTCGGAATGCAGGGTGAAATTCTGTCTCTTCCCAGGAAAAAAATTAAACTCTTTACAGGCTCTTCTAAAAGAGATGCCGTTTTAGTGAGAGAGAGCTCATTCACTTCCTTTTAGCCTTGGGGCCCAGTGTCTTCAGGCTGCAAAGGAGGCAGGCCACTGGCTGTGAGCCTGGCTGGGTGAGGTCAGAGAGGGCCACCACCCCAACCTGCTCTCAGGGACTGGCTGCTGGGCCTTTGTTCAGAGAGCCACTGCAAGGGCCAAGGTTGGGCAGCATGGCTTCTCACCTACAGAGTGTGAGCTATGAGCAGGACTGGGGAGTGGGAAGCAGCCCTGCTTGGAGGAGAAGACCCTAGTCCTTTATTCCCCTGGGACCCGCAGAGCTACTGGGAAGGTAGAATTTGCTTCCCTCAACTTTTGTTTAGGAGATGGGGCTCTTTTGTGATAGCTTTTTTTGCTTTAATACCAAAGAACTGGGTTTCCTCTGCCCTGACCAGGCCACCACACACCTGGGAGCAGCCCCCACCCTCCCTGCAGGCTGCCTGTGCCCCACGGGGTTGAAGGACTAGATAGCCCTGTCCACATGGGTGCAGAGTTTAGGCCAACTGACCCCTGAGGCTCCTCCCACCCCACCCCCAGGGGGCTGAGAAATGGAGAGAAGGAGCTGTGGCATAGAGCACAAGCCCTAACCACATTCCTGAGCATGGCTTAGCACAGGGGCCAGGGTGGCTGCCTGAAACAGTTTTCTCCTCAAGGATGGCTCTCCTGTCTCCTCACAGACAGAAAGTTTCTCAGAGCTGTTTTCAAAGATCCATTTGGGCTCCTGTCCCCAGCTCAGGGCACAGAGCTTACAGGGAACTCCTCTCTGGGGAACCATCTCTCCTGCAAAGCTGATGTGGCCTGGATAGTTGGGAAGACCCATGTTTGGCTTTCTGCATTCTGCAAAGAAAGACCCAACCCCAAAACCCAGCACATCTATAGGAGCGGTGGCCTCTGACTCAGGTACAGCCAGATGACTCCTCTGCCCTTATGGGGCAGCCCTGTCCCACACCCACTGACAGGCACAGAGGGCCTGTGGAGAACAGAGGCCCTTCAGGGAGCCCCTCTGGATGCCAAGGTGACGGTGTGAGGGACAGTGCAGAACTGTCCTTTGCTGGTATTTGTGAGACTGATCCAGCAGAGGGTGATGTGGTGGCTTCCTGGGGTGGGACAGAGTGGAAGGTTTGTTCTCCAAGGCCACAGCTATGCTGGGGCAAGGAAGGGCACAACTGGGCTGGCAGGGCTTGGAGGTGACAGATCTGTATGTATGTGTGTGGCTGTGGGGTCTGGGAAGCCACCAGGAGGGAGGAGGCCCAGGGCTGCCCGGCCTACAGCCTTTCCTCAGTGCTGGAGCCCACAGGGTCGACAACAGGGTCAGCCCAAGACAGATGTGGGGACAAGGGGTAGGGGTGTGGTGTGTCTGGTGATGCCCAGGAGGACTGCTTAGGCCTTGCAGCACTGTCCCCAGCATGGCCCCTGCCCTATGACTGTCACATGCAGCAGCTGAGCCTAGCAACCTAGGGGAACTGGGCAGTGGAGGAGACTGGCATGTCTCTGGGCCACACTGGGCACTGGCACCACAAACCTTGCACCATTGTCACCATGAACCCTTTATTACTGAAGGCACATCTACTGGCCTGTGTCCTCTTGCTGTCTCAGCCTGGTCCCTTTTCTGTCACCTGTGAGGATGGGGGTGATTAGTCTCTGCAGATGTTGGGAGGCTTGTGGGGGTATAGGCCAAGCCAGGCCTCTGCACCCCTCATCTCACTCCCACTCTCTGTGAGCACCACATCCCTCAGTTTGCCCAAAGTGAGACATTTACAAAAACAATAAAAATAAATTTTTAAACATCAGAGCAAGAAGTGCTTTTATGGCTGTCAGAAATGACTTACATGTCACTTTTGTGGTCTGCATTTTCTTTGGATATTTTCTGTATGTAATTGTAGTTTAAAAAAATATTCCAAACTATGTTTTGTCTGTGTGTCCTTACCAGAAGACAGCCTCCCCGCCGCCCCAGCCTGTGCCCTGCCCCAGACCTCCAGCCCTGTGCAGCACCTCCTGCCTGCTCACCTGGAGAACAGCATGGAGAAGACAGTCATCTCTGAAGGGAATTGGGCCCCTAGGAACTATGCTGTCCTATGAATCCGAGGGCTGGAAGGAAGGCAGTTCATGGTCTTCCCAGCTGCTCTAGGGCGTCCCTGTGTCTTCTGAGCCACCCTGTCTTCAGCCAGCCTCTACTTCCACACACCTTGATCCTCACCCCACCCCTCGTCCCTCACTATGCTCCTCACACACCTCACCAGCCTGTCCAAGTAGCTGCCTCAGTTTCAGAGCCACGATTTGGGTGTAGAAGGGACTGACAGTGTGGACCTTATTGTTCCCAACACCCCTGGGTCTAGCTGGGGGCCTGGTCGGGCACTTCACCCTCCTACATCCAATGTCTCTTCTCCCCCTGCTCAGTTCTATAGGCTTACTCTCACCTTACACCCGCAGCTGTGGAGACAGCAAAGCCCAGAACAGCCTAGGCCCAGGCCACAACTAGAGACCAGTGCTGTTTCACCATCTGGCAGCCCTTACTGGACCCATCTGCCCTCCACAATGCCCTCTCCGCAGTAGGCCTTGCTGTCCATCCACTGCCAGTGAGTTGAGTTTTACCTCATTGGATCTGTTTTTTTTTTTTTTTTTTTTTTTTTTTTAGTTGTTGTTGGACACAATACCTTTATTTTATTTTTATGTGGTGCTGAGGATTGAACCTCTCGGGCTAGGTGAGCACTCTACCGCTGAGCCACAACCCAGTCCTGGATCTGTTTTGATTATGATAAAAAAAAATAAACCCATCTATCTCCCACTTCTTCTGGACCTCCTCTGGGGCCTCAGGACACAGCCCAAGCACCAGGTGTCCAATACTCTTCTTACAGTGTAGCCAGGAGTGAGAACCCCAAGACATGGCAGATATTTGGTGTTCAAGGTAATGAGGGACAGGGTGCCCCAAGACATGGGATTCCAGACGTGTTAGGCCTTCCTACAGGTGAGAAATCTGTTAAAATGCTCCAAGCCTAGACCCTAACACCCTTTTATCTCTCAACACAAAGTAGCTTCGCAGTTTTATTAATGTGCCTTCACTGAATCTTCTAGTAATAAAACCTGCATATACATCTAGGAAATAGTACTTCGTTCATTTAGGAAAACACGGTTCCTTCTTTTTTTCCTCCCCCAAACATCCCTGGGATCTTGAGTCCTTTAATATGACTGGCTGTGTCTCCTGAATGCAGGTTGTTCCCTGGGGCATCTGTCCCCTTGGTTGACTTCACATGCCCAATTACCCAAAGTGTATTTTACTACAAGTCACTTTTGTTTCTTCTTACGTTAGGGCACTGCGTCCTTTTTTAATCCAAGTGTGAGGTGGTGCGTTTTGATTTCAGGAGGACGTAGCGACGGTGCAATAGAACACCTGGATGAAAGCAGGAGCCGCAGCCCCAAGGTGCTGTGAGCAAGGACGCCCCTCCGCCCGGCCCCCTGCCTGGTGACCAACGCTGGATGCTGATCTGGCCATAAAGCTCAGGGTGCCTGAGGCAGGCAGACTACACCTCCCAGGACGCTCTGCGCCCGCGCGCGCCGCGAGGAGGGGCGGGGCCTAGGAGAGACCCGCGTGGTGGACGTCAGGAGTAGGGCCTTGGGCGGGGCTTGGGCGTTGGACGGAAGGGGCGGGGCCTGGGCGGAACCTCGGCGCAGCGCGCGAACTCCGGATCGCGGCGGCTGCGGCGGCTGCGGCGGAAGCATGAACCTAGACCGTGAACTTCGCCGTGAGTCTCTTGGGGCCCAAGTACGGGAGCGCGGGGCGGGGAGTTGGTCTCCGCTCATCTCCCCGCCCTTCTTCCTCCCGGTAGAGCTGAGCAAGGCCAAGGCCAGGGCCCAGAAGAACGGGCAGCTGCACGAGGAGGCGGCCTTCTGCCATCAGCTGGGGGAGCTGCTGGCCAGCCATGGTGAGCGCACGCGCGGGCAGGCGGCTGGGAACTCTGCTCTTCCCCGCGGCCACCAAAGCGCCAGTAACCCGCCTGGCCCGGTGACCCGCGCCATGCCCTTATGCAGGCCGCTATGCTGAAGCCCTGGAGGAGCACCAGCAGGAGCTGCGGCTCCTGGAGAGCGCCCTGGACACCCTAGGCTGTGCGGTGGCTCACCGCAAGATCGGAGAGCGCTTGGCTGAGATGGAGGACTACTCCGCTGCCCTACAGGTGCGCACCCAGCGCGGCGGCCTGCGCTTATGGGGCTGCTGTCTGAGGAAGGAGGCCCCACTTGGGAGTTTCAGAGTAGAGGGACTGGTAGGCAGCCACACATTCTGGGCCTGCCAGGGACGCAGCCTGGTTCAGGGGTCAGCGCACCGCGGCCTTCCCTGGGACCAGGCAGTAGTGAATTCCTGGCAACAGAAACTGTTAAGGAACTATTACTTCTGCCCAGTTTTTTGGGAAGAGGGAGCGGGACCGACTGTTGCTGGAGGTGGTGGCAACACCCCAGCCAACTTCCAAGTCATCTATGTTATGAGCAGCTATTACCACAGACAGCCTCTGGCGCTAAGTAGATGAGGCATGTGTGGATGGCACTGCAGGGCTTTTGGAGAACAGAGGCTCTCCTGGGTGAGAGTGGCTTCCCCTGGGGTTGGGACTTATGGGTTTGCTTAAGGTGCAATCAGCTCAGCTGCTTTTTC